GTGGAACTTTAGGCAGTATTTTCGGCGTATAAATAAGATAAAATTAAATAATAAAATCAATGAAATAATGATGCATGTGTGCGGATGATGCTTAAGTGCAATCACTTGCTTTGGAAGCTGCGTTTCTACTCTCATGGTGGTCAACACAATTACAGTACATTCAAATAATGTTTCCTGTCGTGGTTAAATCAGGGTGTATGTCGGGGTTTATTCTCCGGGCTCTGGCTGCACTTGGAATTAATCTTTATTTATGAGCCTTGTTTAATTAAAATCGCCTGCACCTCAATCAGCCTTACAAATTCTTTCGTTGCATGACAAGGTGATGTTTTACGTGAACCGAGAAACAAACAAAACGAGTACACAAATGCGCTTTAATCCGCTGTGATGTTTAAAAACGAATTGTCGAAACAGAGCAAATGCTTGGTGAGAAACAATGAAACAGTGGGAAAAGGTCCCACATGCAAAACGAGATGAGTGTTTGCTCAAAGGCTGTTTAATCTTCGAGAGACAATCGATTTTCAATTGAAGCTCTCCATACTTGTAAATAGAACTGGGTGTCTTGCACAAATACTTCATATTTCCAGAACAGAATCAGCCGAAGGTGATTGGTATAACATGGCAGTGATAATTAGAGTTATCAACGTTTCTTTATCTATTAGGTTTGCTAGTAGTTTACGCATTTACATATCAGAGCTTTCCGAACTGGGAGCTAAGATAAACACTGCTATCATTCCTTTATTATGTGGTTGAATCGTTTAAAAAGTGTTTTTAATTTCAGGTAAAGCGATGCTTAAGTGACCAGCTACAGATGATGTGTTGCCAATGGAACGAGCCTAGAAATAACCAACTTCTTCATTAAATCACACGATTTCTTCAAGGAAAAGCCAAATTCAATTTCAGCCACAATTTTACGGGTCATAACTTCTGAGAGCACCCCAGGCTATGAGCAAAAAGGCATCATTTAAAGCGCAGATAGAGTGATAACGTGTACTTGGTAGATAGCGTTCTTAACCTCAGCATGAACAACAAAAATGATACGATCGTACCGACCGAAAATGGCAACTTTATCGAGCCTCCGCCAATGAGATGGACTCTCAGGTTGATTTTCGTCGTGGTTTTCATCGTCGGAGTCATTGGCAATTCTGTAGTATGCGCCGCTGTTATCCGACGTAAGCGAATGCGGACCAGCAACAACATTTTTACTTTCAATCTCGCGCTCTGTGATTTGCTCAACGTGGTGATTTATCTGCCGACGCAGATGGCTGCGTTCGAGAACGATCACAACTGGGCAGTGGGAAATTTCATGTGTCTCTTTGTGTACATTCTTGTTCCTCTATGTTTGTGTGCATCGATTGGGACACTGCTGGCCATAACCTGCGACAGGTATAGAGCAATCGCTTATCCAATGAAACCACGATTAAGTGGCAAGATGGTCAAGATTATTTTAGCCACTATTTGGAGCAGCTCGCTTGTGATCTGCTTTCCGCTGATTTTCGTCGCGGGAGAGATACGGCCTTCGCCGGGCAAGGTCTACTGCGACGAAACTTGGCCAGCACCAATTTACATGGAAATCTATTGGAACTTTATATTTGTGATTCAGTACTTTCTACCTTTGACAATTATAGCCGTTTTAGCTGTTTTGATCGCCATTAAAATTCGCCAGAACAACGCGATACACTTGCTTCCTAAAAGTTCTCAAGCAATTGCAAATGCAGTGAGGCAACGAATGAAGCAGACTTCTAAAATAACTAACATGCTCATCGCCCTCGTAGTTCTATACGCAATCTGTATGCTACCACAGCATATTAACTTCTTGTGGTTCACTTATGGCAACTTGAAAAGTTCCAAATATAGTATTTATGTCCTTCGATTCTCCAACGTGTTTCCTATGGCGAATAGTGCGTTGAATCCTATTGCTTACGGGACACTGAACAAGGAATTTAAAAAAGTGTTCAAAGGCTTCTTTGAGTGTGACTGCCGTAGAAGTGATTCTGATGTTTACTCAGCGAAAAGAACGCCTAATCCTTTAAACAGAAGTGGCAAGTTTAGGTTAGCAGTGTACAAGCACGCAAACGAAGAAGACTCATCCAGCGATGCGGCGGATAAAGGTCGAAAATCCAGTACACCCTCCCTTGCGTCATTTGGAAAAAGGAAAGACCCGAGAAGGAAAGGAAAAAAGGATCTTAAAAAAGGGCCGGACATAATTCAAGATTTTGTACCTAACGGAAATGCGACACTGAGTACGTCTCTCAATTCACAAGATCATAACTGCAACGAACAAGGAAGTTCCAAGAGCGATTTTTTCGATATCGAAGACCTTGACGTTAACGTGTCCCCGGCAACGACAAAAGACTTTCTTAAGTTGCGCGCAAGATCACCTTTACTTGAACAGCGGGAAGAAGAACAAGAGTTATTAATGAATGAAAGAAGAAAGGAAGGGAAAGCTGTAACTGAGAGAGGTTTTAAAGACCGAAACTCACTACAAGATCCGAAGAAGGCTTCTTATGATGAAACCACACCACAGTTTGGCGCGGACGATTATGGTACAAAACTTGACTTGAACGCCTTAGATTTGAAAGATAATATAACAACACAACTGTTAGCTCATGATTTCGAAAACGATGCAGTCATAAACAGTTGGGTTGAAGTAACCAATATAGATAAAAAGCTTCTAGCCTATATTTCCGCGTTAAAAGAGACCGACATTTAGAGTTTATATATCGAACGAACCTGTTCAAATGTACGCCAGATTGGATTCTAGGTTATTAAAATGCAGTTTTGTGCATGTGGTCGAAAGCAATAACAAGTTTTAGCCTTATGTAAACAAGATGCACGAAATCTACGTTTTTATTGACTGAAGCAACTGAGGGGTTATTTTTAAATTGCAAATAAAATAAACTTATACAATCAATCTCACTAAACAAAGCCAGCCGAAGAAGCATACAACACGCGAAGGAAAGAAATAATCTGTTTTCAAAAAATGGATTAAATATGCCTAAGAAAACATCCAAAACCATGAAATATCTACAGTACCGAGTTATAAGTTATCTAACAGATATTTTATTTCGTTAAGTTTAAAAAATATACACAGATTTTAACAAACATTTTGTTCCGATTAAGCGCCCGGGTCGAATACCTCCTCGTGTGCATGTACCCCAATAATTAACTTATTTTAAACACAAGTGACCAAGCGTAAACGGTTTTTGAAAGTCAAAACAAAACATTTATACCAAAGAGCTTGTTGACTCGCAGTAAATTTCATGGTCCAGCAAGACCTAAACATGTATATAATTTGTTTGTTGACAACAATAATAGAAGGTTTATCAACACCCTTATTACACAGTAATATAAAAATATCAGTTTTAGCGGACTTGTCCTAACATACAAAAGCTACCAATCCCAAAACATGCTTACTGTTCTCTAATTAGGTGTTAAGAGCATCATTTTGTCTGTTATAATTTGTTTCAAAACTCCCTGCGTTCAAGTCTCGATACTTCTTTAGAGAAAAAGCCTTCAAATTTAATATCCGAAGCTATATTTTTTACTGACAATTAATTATTTTCTTCTTTTGTTTTACGTCAATTACCTACGGCTGGTCAAAGTGGGTTTTTAGTGTTTGTAGAATGACTTCTTTGGAGCAGTAATGGTTTCTGTGATGAAAATAAAACCGATGTCAACCCTTTTTATCAGTGCGTTTAATAATGATTTATTTTCGTTATTTATGTCACCTGATAAATTTGTGTTATAAAAGGTATGTGAGTCGGTGGGAGAACCACAGTCGTATGTTAATGGGTTTAACCACTGTCAGTAAGGCCGTTATCTGAGGGTTTATGTGTTCCATGAAAAACTACTGAGAAATACCTTTAACCTTCATCTGTTAATACCATAAAAGCGTCAAATGTAAATGAGTTATCACTGATTCACGGGTACACTGTGCTTTTGTACGAGAAAGGCCAATTTTTATCCTATATTTTTCGACGTCAAATTGAACCAAATGATTTGAAATTCACTATATACTGCTAAGTTAGCTAAAGGAGGTGGGTTCGCCTATCTCAAGAGATCTGGGTGGAATGCTTATAATCAATTTACTTTTACAGTGACCGTCTTTGAGGTTAAGTGTCCGTTGTTCTTGTAGTCTCTCTTTAATTTCCTAAACACCTTTGTCTTTGTGTGAATACAAAAGGTTTAATTTAACAACGAAGTCAAGTTAATATACAAGAACTCTTAATTAATAAATAAGTAAAACCAAATAAATGTATGTTATTTCCGTTTACATTGTAAAGCAACTAACAATGCGAGACAACAAATTCCAACGTATGTGCACAAGGAGGTTGTTAGACAAAAACATTCATATCTAACAAGGCCATATAGTCTTCGTCGCAAAAACTTAAAAAGACTGATTAATGGTGGCAAACTTTTTTCGAATCGAAGTTTATCTCTGACGTCATAGCTTTGGTAATACTGCCCCTTGGGGTTTTTTGGGGGGAAACAGTTTTGTTGTTAGATGTCAACTGAGCCCGAAGTATATACCTGCCAACTCTCACGCCTTAGGCGTGAGTCTCACGCCTGCGGGTTGAAAACTTCGATCTCACGCCGGCTCACGCCTGCGGGCCAATTTCTCACGCCTGATTGAAAAATGTGAGTTGTTGCCGTCCTGCTTGACACAATTTCCAAAAATACGTTAACTCAGACTCATGTAAGGAACGAAAACCATGTGTAAAATTAATAAATGGCAATACCTTTCTCGCGATCTCTGATTTTTGAAGTGAAAAGCACTGGGAGCGAGCTCGCCTTTGGCAGACTTCGGACGTCTTCGGAAGACTTCGGACGTCTTCGGGAATCTTCGGAAATGATCGTGTCGTCTTCAAAAATCCCAGCACTCCCAAGATAAAAATCTCACGCTTATATATCAGAAAAAGTTGGCAGGTATAGAAGTAGTCAATGAGAGCACGCACTGTGGACAAAAGAAATCCAGAAAGATGCATAAATACGAAATTAATCTAACTCCTCCGATTAGAGCTTGATTTTCGTTTACTCGCTGGAAGTTTATTTCCATTGTTATTAATTCCCGTTGGACTGAGTTTTTCTGAGTTCGCAGACATTTTATGCTTGACACCTGGTTTCATGCTATTTCGACGCATACCACGAGAGGTTCTGCCGCTGATTTCCAATGTGTCTGTGGGCGTCCGTCTTAAACTTTCTGCAATAAATACAAAACAGTTGTTCAAAAATAAGTGGATATTGTCTGTGATCACACTATAAAAGATCAACAATAAACGGTAAATCTTAACTCTTTAATGCTCTGGCTTTTGCAACCACTTATGCTGAGGTAACATACCGTAATACTCTCTCGAAACGTTATTTAAAATTTTAAATTATTTTAAGAGGGTATGGGCTCATTTACCACCCATGCTAGAGTTTTCCTTTTTCTGATGGCTTTTATTTCTTTAACTGTTACATGCAAAGGGGTAAAGATATGCACAGGCTACGATGTTTAACGAGCCCTTGATTTCAACTCGTTTGGTGTCAATTTTAGTTACCATTTCGGCTTTTCCATGAAATCTGCATGCTATTGAAACTAAATGTCAACAACGACGTCCCTATGTTTGGATATTTTGTGTTTTGCGGCTCTGTAGCGGTTTTAAGTAATTTTTAGTTTTTGTATTCATTATTTAAGTGTGAATTAACGAAAGTTGTTGAATTACAAAAAAAAAGCAATGACGTCATCAATGATTTACTTTTGCTCACCTAAGAAATCTGTTGTCAGTACGTCCTCATCATCTAGGAGAGGTGTGTACAATGGAAAGTCGCGCCCTTCTGTTGGGTTTTCTGGAAAAAGAAGGGGGGCAATAATGATCATTTTAAGTAAAATCTGGGATAGATATTAACTATAACAACTACCTTAAACCTCTCGAACAAAAGTTCCATACTCTTTCGCTAAGATCTATCATTATCTATCATTGTTTGCCTTTGCCTTTTATATGAATATAATTCTACTGCTGACATAAACTTTGTTGACTGGTCAGTACTAACATTTGGGTAAAAAAACTATCATGAACTAGTAAAAAAGATGCACTATTCAAAATGATAAAGCTAATGAAAACAGTTTCCTCAAGATTATAGTTAATATTACTGAATAATCAATTACGAAATGTAAACATCTTCTTGATCAAATTCAAAAATTCATGTCTTACTTTCAACTCGCACCAGTATAAATGTTTCCCTTTCGTTGAGGAATTCACTGGCGTTGGAAGACTGGTGATCAGTGAGATTTTTGACCGCGCCTCGCAGATCCGATAAGTCGATAACAACTACAAAGAAAAAAGAATGGAAAGAAAACTATTGTAAAAACACCATTTTAAAGAAGTTGACACACGCTAAATTGAAAAAAAAAAACTGTTCAGACTCTAACTCTCTTTGCGTTCGTTAACCAATAATCAGAAAACAAACCGTTCTCTGGACAGTTGCATCGCCTTCTGATGTCTTCTAACAAATGAAGAATGCGGCAATTAGGATTGAAAAGGGCCTCTTCGTGATCTAGATTAAAGAATCTCACCCACCCAGTTTGCATTGCGCGCTCACGCTCAACTCACGCTCTTCATTCGCCATTTTCAGGGCCCCCGAAAATCCGAGTTTTATAACCTTGATATTCCATCCTTTCTTTCGATAATTTATAGGCGTTATTAAGGTCCTGTTTCCTCTGGAATTACTTCTATAGTTTCGGAACTATCTTTGTGATTCACATTTGTGGAAGAAAATTCTTTCCAAGCGCACTGTGTACTTAGTTTTCTGTCGCGTTTCGTTGAAACGTCGGCCAATATGGCGGATAGCCGTCCTGCTAGGGGCCGTCCAAGAAGACCAGAAGGCATCAAACGCCTAAAACTCAGAGAATCTACATATAATCTGTGGATTGAACGGAAGGAGGCCCTTGGGCTACACGGAATTACAAATAATGATTTCGCGGAGATGCTTCTTCACCAGCAACTTATACGAGAGCGTGATCGATCTCCTCACGCTCATCCAGATGATACTTCACCTCAAGTGCATCAAGGTAAAATATTGAATAATTTTTCAAAAAAAACTCTCTTTTTTTATTATGCCATTATAGCAGTTTTAGTATTTCGCTATTTTTTTTTTTATACATTGCGCATTCTTTCGTATTTTTTGGTAGGAAGAAGGCAGCTATTCCTCCAGTCGACCCCGATGGGTAAAGAAATCAGGACTGAGAATATCACAGTTTCCCCTTTATCCTTAGCTGGTGCTGCAGAAAACTCAAGTTTGAGCAAGTGAGTACGTTTAATTTAGCGTAGAGTCTACAATCGGTATGTTGTGTTAAAAGGATAGGCTTGGAAACCTTGTACTAATATCATACAACAATAATGAGTTTCTTCATTGCTTCGTTCATGTTTTCTTGTATTTAGGATTGAAGTTGATGAGCTAGAGAAAGACCAACTGACTGGGCACAGGACTCTTTTGGATGAGCTTTCTGATTGGAATCCCCTGTTTTCCTCTCTAGAGGGCAATCCTCATTCAGAGGCAGACACTATGAGTGAAGTGGAGTAAGTGTGTCTATTTCTCTTTGCATTTCTCGAGACAATTTTTTTTGCTGAGATAAATACTCCTACTCTTATATCAGTTCATAGTTAAGCTGCTTAGCATCTGCTTTCGCCCTTGCTACCATTATAATTTTTTAAGATAGACCATACCAATGTCTGTATCCTGAAAAGGGGGTGGGCAATCAGATATAATAATGTTAGGGATGGGCAAAACTATTTTAAATCTGAATATATTTGTGATCCTAAGACCCTCTTTGGGTTTTGGAATTTTGCAGTGTAGTGGCCTTCTTTTACCGGACAGAATGGAAATTATGCAGAAAAAACAACGTTACTTGGATCAGCATTTTCACATCCTGTTACTATTACAAATTTTTATCACAGAAAGTTCTGTTGTACTGTTCAGTGCATTAGCAATATTTTATTTTATTAGCTTCACCTATTACATGACACACAGCGAGCAAAACAAAGCTGAATAAGTAAGCATTCATTATTAGGCAAAGATTCCACAACACAAATAAGCCAATTACATTGGTCCCAGAGTTTAAGAACAACAAAGAAGCTTCATTTGATTAAAAACAACAACAAAGATGGAAAGACACATTACATGAAACATTACATGATGGATAGATGGTAATAATGGTGAATTTGTCATTTCAGGTCTGGTGATCATGCTTCTGATGCTAGTGACTCTGAGACTGCAGATAGCTGGGACAACAGTGATCAGTTCAGTGAGTCTGATGATGGCAATAGGAGTGAAGAAGAAATAACTTTTGAAAATATAGAAGTCGATCAAACAAGGTAAAGAATGACGTGTACTTGTTTATTTTGCCATGGCAATTTGGAAAAGAGTACTTATAAACACTAACCCAATTTTAGTATTTTGAAAAGATTTTTTAAATGTTTATTAGGTCGGAATGTTGAATTTATGATGATATGTTTATGTTATGTTTCTGTTATTTTTACAGCTTTTTGTCTGAACTTGACAGCGCCACATTGACAGCCCTGGACATTGATCTTGAAATGGAAAGTGCCCCCGAAGCAGTAGGAGCGCAGGCCCAGACAGAGGGTGAGCCCACAGGTCCAGCAGAGGTGCAGACAGAAGGTGAAACATGCAGTGAGTCATCACCAATCCTTCCTGTCTTTGGCCCAATGACTTTGGATGAGACCATCAAGGATATGAAATCCAGGATAAAGCCTGCAATTGAAGGACTGGCAGTACCTGGGGAACACCTGAATAGGTATCTTGAGTTGTTGAAGGCGGACAGGGTTATTGTGGAGGTGGAAAAGATTGTAGAGTTGCTGGAAGGAAATTGTCCAGAAATTGGGTGTACAGGTCAACGAAAAGTCATAAGTAAAAAATTGGAGGGTGGTGTGTTGCTGATAACACACAAGTGTAGTAATGGTCATGGTGGTGTGTGGAGTTCTTCATCTATTTTGGGTGAGAAACGTGGCCAAAAAATGTACGTGTCATCTGTGTTGTTGGCCTCATCAGTTCTGGTGTCAGGAAACAACTTTGAGAAAGTTGCTCTGCTAGCAAAGAGCATGAATTTGAATTTTATTTCGTCTTCCACATTCTCAAGGGTTCAGAGTTTATATGCTGTACCCAGCATCAGGGACATGTGGGATAAAATGAAGGAAGTGGTTTGGAAGGTTTTTGAGAACGATGTTCTTGTGGTTTGTGGTGATGGAAGGATGGATTCCCCTGGGTTCAGTGCTAAGTACTGTGTGTATACAATGATGGAGCACTACCTTAATGTCATTGTGGATCTTGAGGTGGTTGACAAACGAGAAGCAGGTGGTACGTCCTCTTTAATGGAGAAGATGGGGTGTAAGCGACTTTTGGAGAGGATGATGAATAGCCTCAAGCTTGGAGAGGTTGTGACGGATGCATCACGAGTCATCATGAAAATGGTCAGGGAACTTAAAGGTATTTTTAATTTTTTATTTTTAATTTTTCTCGGGGCATCTTTTTTTCTGTAACAAGTTGGATGTGTTAATACCAAATTCAAATCAACCAACCTATTCCAACATACAATACTACCATTGTTAGTTATGAAATAGTAAAACTGCTTTTTCTAATAAATTTACTCTGCTTAAAGGCTAGTTGACAGAGTGGAATGACAGATTTCCCTTATAGTTTTTTTCTGGTTTCTGAATACATGACAAATTTATTGTCTTTTCACAGTTAAATTTGTCCTAGGTTAACACATTTCTAATTTGTTTATTATCATTTTTGCAGAAGCAAATTGTGAAGTGCTTGGAAACCTTTTCCACTCCCTTGACATCTGGCATAAATCTATAAAGCTGACTGCCAAGATAACCACTGTATGTAGATTCTGATTTATTACTTGTACATAATCCCTCAGAACTGATTTAGTCCATTTTGTGTTGTGCTTAACTATATTTTGTATTCCTATCTCTTAATATTTCAACAGACTTGACTGCCAATGTGCTTCCTTTTTTATAGGCTGGGAAGATTAAGGGCTGTGAACAACTGTTACAGTGGGTTGAACCTGTGAGGAACCATTTCTGGCATTGTGCAGAAACTTGTGATGGAGATGTTGAAGAGCTGAAGGTATAAGTCTTACAATTATTTGTTTGACTGTTTGAAACTGGATTGCTCCTGCTGACATTTAAAATCAAAACAATTTTTATGATTTATTAAGGATATGTGGCTGGGAATCCTACATCATGTTTGTGGAGAGCATGAGTGGGATGGCGGAATGTGTTCCCATGGACCACTCACAGAAATAGAAGGTGGAAAGGAATACCTCCCTATGACTTCCAAGGCTGCCAAGGAACTCCGAAAGATTGTTTTAGACCGGGAGTGGCTGAAAAGTCTAGAGCATTATGTCAGGTTCAGGTATGTATTTTTAGGATCTCTGTGGTTTTAATCACTCTTTCTTGAAACTCTATCAGTTGTGTCCTCAACCAGCTACAATGTTTATAACAACTTACACTTTATTTGGACTGAGGCAATAAAAATTAATTTTTTACCCATTTTCCTGTTGCCCTTAACTTTTTCTTCCTAGAGGTTTTTTGGTTACTGGAGAGGTGCATAACAAAGGCCAAATTAATATGACCTCTGACCTTTTGTCAAATTTCCCTCTCTTGCTAAAATATTGTAAGCAAGTTGAAATTATTTTCAAGCTTTGAACTAGTAGGTTTTGTGGGGGCTAGATGGACAGGACTTACAGGGAATCTGGATGGTCTTTACTTAGTTAAATCATTTTTTTAGGCATACAAGCAATTTGGAAAACTTCAATTCCATGCTTCTAAAGTATGCACCAAAGAGGATTGCCTTTGCGTAAGTACATTTCACTATTAATTAGACAGTGCATGCTTTACCAGGCAATATTAAATGGTGACATTTTCAGATGCTGTTGCCCTCCTTAAGTATTAATAAATGGGTTGTAATATCATGTTTTAGGTATGAAGTTTTTACTGGACGGATTTTGCTCGCAGCTCTTGACCACAATTTTCATGTTTTCCGAAAGACACTGGAAGGCCGGTTTAAGAAAATTTATTCTAAAAGATCAGGTAACTGGAGGGTGGAACCGGTGAAGGAGTCAAAGCAATATCCTCACATGTCTCTGCTCCAGGCAGACATCTTAAGACGCCGCAGTGAAGACACAGAAGCTGTTACCAGACACATTGAAGTTTCCCCTGCAAATCCTGTCCATCTGGCTCCAACAATAGCCATGAAAAGGGCCCCTTCGACTGAGGAGCTGGTCAAAGCCAAATTATCACGATTTCAAATGGAAAAGAAATCACAATAGGTGCCAAAGAACTCTGCATCAGTAAAAATGCAATCTTTGAAATTACTTTGAAATGGTGTGTGGAAAAAGAAACTAGATTACATGTAATCTTGAAATACTGCTTAATTCCCCTTTGTTTTACAAGGAAATGTAGGGAAATTTAGAATAAGCGGTAACAAATTTAACAAAACCCACACTACAGCTTCCTTTGTTGCACACACTCTTTTTCAGTTTTCAAACCAGTTAGAATAAATAAATAGATACATTATTTATTTATGACAATAATTATTGTTATTGTCAGTGGTTGCAAATTTACCCACAGTTCTTCATCTAAAATATTGAAGGTAAACTGGTAATGTAAAGAAGCAGGTTTTTAAGGGATAATCCACAAAGAACAAAGCCTCCCATATAGAGCGCTTTTCAATTGAGTGTCGAAAACCAAAACCAAAGTAATCACAACGGCCATTCAGAGTAAAGGAAATTATCAGAGGGAGCCAATGACAACTCGAAGTAAACTCGTGTAACCGGTCTGTAGCGCGGGAAAACGCGAGTGACCAAGGGGCGATTGGTTTTAGTTTACATCTGATTGGCTGAGAGGGTGGCGCGAGTTTTCTAGACCAATCAAACAGCACAGTAAAGCAAAACCAATTCAATCCTGGATTACTTTCAACACTCAATTGAAAATTGCTCTAACTGCATACCTCTGTGATTGGAACCCCAACCTTATTGGTGGTATGTGAGAGCTCTTATCACTACTTTGTCCTTGCTTCCCATTAGGAGTCAGATTATCAGCATTGGGTTTGAATATAGTAATTTTAGATGAATATAGTTTTGAACATGAGAACCAGACATCAACTTTGGGAATTGTATCATGTTACATCATATTTAATTTGAGCATAATTAAAAGAAAGAAATAAGCTATAAATACTGTTGTGACATTTCTGGTTGTTACGATTCAACAGAAAAAAATTTCTAAAGAGAAATTTAAAAGCATTTTTTGTCAGTAAATAATAAACAAGTAAACATTTCTATAAAACTACATGTTGTCTTTCTTTCCATAGTTTGGATTTCTCCATTTGTAGTAGTACACCTCTGTAAGGCAGACACTTGGTCCTTGAGTCACACTCCCTTTATTTGACTGACTAGAAGACAGACAATACTCATTGAGAAACAGTTATTGCTGGTCCCAAAAGTGTCCAGCTTAGAGTGTTGAATGTATAATAAACAAGAACAGTGAAGAAATAGAACATAACTGCACTTCTCTACTTATTTGTATCAATAACAATAAAGGTATTTTGCCCCATGTGAGGGAATCAGGACAGTCTGGGATTCTGGAATCCACAATGGATTCCAGCATTTGTTATTCGAACTTGGATTCTGGATTTCAATCATTAGTGGGATTGTGGATTTCTTCAGTTGTATTCTGGATGCCAAAACCCAGGATTTCTGATTCCACGATCAAAAATTTTCTGTATTCCGGAATCCGGATTCCCTTTCATGACGCAAGATATTTCATTTTTCTAACGCTAAGAACGGCGAAAACCCATGTAATTACCGTCTGGTGCGGGATATGCTCGACGAATAACTATTACTACACAAGAAGGCAATATTTTTCGATTCCCTCGACCAAGTTTACCAAATTTCCACAATGTGTATTGCCGGTAAGCGGCCTTCCTGTAACTTTGAGTAGAGTAATCGGGTTCGTCCGCGCGGATGTCGCACCTGGCTCTTATAGCTAATTGCAGCACTTCCCGATCGAGGCAAACCGTGTTAAACATGACATAAGAAGTTACACATGTCCTCTTTTTGCGACAGACGTTTTCCTGTTCATCCGGCATTCTCCTGCAGACACCACAAGTACACCAAGTTTCAGGTATATTTTGCTCTGGTTGAGGCGATGGCGGGTCAATGTCATCGCTTCCGGTTAGCATGTTTCTAGCAAATTCAAGGCTACCGCGTCCTTGACTCAGCAGCCTAATAAGAAGCTGGTCTTTATCGTCAGAAGATAGTTTGGTCACAAACTCCTACAAAAAGAAAAGAGAAAGGCGAGGCTTAAATAAAAATATAACTAGGCTTATGTGTATAATACGGGGGATGCGCCGAGTCTGGAATAATTTGCATACATGATCCAGGTAAGTAAACTAACTTGAATAGAATTTTATAACCTCGTAAACAAACCTTTATTTCGCGCTGAGAGTCCTCTACAGCCTGCCTGTGGCGGGCAAAAGCACTCGGATTTCCGATCTCCTGACCTTCCGCGACCTGGTTTTTGCAAGGTGCTTTCTTTGTACCACACTTGCAATTTGTAGAACATTTTAGGTTCGCGTTTTGGCACGGACAGCCTGCGTATCTTGCACTTTTCTTGCGGCTGCAAGTATTTTTACAAGTGCAAACCTACAGCGAATAGAGCTGAAGTTAGTCACAGCAGTAACAACGGGTAACTGAAACGACACAAATACAAAATTTTTAGTTTGACCGGATTCTTACCACGCGATTGCTGTCGGCGTCGCTGGTACTTGGCGTAGCGACTGCGCCGGTAACGGTGGTTTCACGGCTATGAGCCCTGTTTACGGTTCTAATCGGCGATTCATACGCGTTGACCTCAACTTCCTCATCAGAAAGGTCGCTTTCTGAAAAATCACGCTCACTGTCTCCTTCAATTTCCATAACAAATGTGACCTTTCACGCTTGTCTGGACCTGGCTTATCTTTGACCAAATATGGGAGCGTTATAAGCATATCCCGGATAACAACAACAACAAAGGCGCGCAATGCAAACTGGGTGGGTGAGATTCTTTAAGTAAACAATAAACAGTAAGAAAATGTATCGATCAACCTAAGAATATCAGATTCTCATCCACATACAGATCCTACGAGTACCTTGCCATCTAATCGCCGAGGCAGTAAGACCAACTCTTACTGCCATCGAATTGTCTAAAGGGTATAGTTTATTTTTGTGAGAAAGTCGCATAAAACTGTTGTTAATCCATAAATACACGTACAGCCACCGACACTAGACAATGCTGTATAGGCCATCTGCTCCAGTTGTATCACTTGAAGTTCAGGAAACCTTCAAGTTGTAGGTATCTCAGGGACCCGTAAGAGATCCGGTTTCAAAATGCTTCCTAAATTGAAGTTTATTCCGCCCATTATTGGTTAATAAATCGTAGTACGTTGATTAACTTATCCGATTATTAAGCTTCGAGTCCGCCATTCCGCCTAATTAGTAAAGGAATTTCGACTGTCTTTACGACAATATATTGAATGCATGCTCAAATAGTTCATGGAAATAACGCGGAAACGTCCTGCGATCTCAAGACCTCTCTCTGTACAACCATCAAGGAAACCAACGTATTTATCGTTACCAGGCATCAAACTACTACTAAAACGCAGTTGTCGACGAGAAATAACTTTACTTGCGTTTCTAGCTAGCGTAGCCGATAACAATTCATAACACAAGACTCAAGACAAAAAATGGAAGCCTTACCTCCGTACTTCACTGTTATGAACATGTCTCCACTGGCTTCGTGGACGTAAGTGGTGAATTCACGTCTACTGAACGGGATAAGATTCTTTCGCTAAACGCCGAGTCTTCCGTGGTTAGGAAAGAATTCTGTGATACTGACCAATGTATACACTCTCTCCAACTAAAGTAAACACGTCTAGTAATAAGTAATCAGTTTGTCATCTGTAAACACGCAAAGAAGACAATTTTTGTTTTTAACCCTCCCCTTCCTTTTTTCCCCTTTTTTCTCCCTATATTCTGATAAAGGGTTTCCTAATGATCCTCGGCTGGTACTTCCAAAACTTCAAATCTTACTAAAAACATTAAGCGCACTTTCAGCATTCAGCATTCTTTTCTGACTGCATGCGTTCTAGCTCCTTCTCGGAGCAACTCTGCAAATTAAAATGGATGATTATCTGGAGATATAAGAATTCAAAGCATAATTTTCCTTTCTCGGGCTCTGGAACAAGTATGGAGCAAGGCAAAAGTCACGGTTATAAGCGCATATGTAAAACAGTTTTGTCATGAAAAATAAATAAACTTACATTTTCACTAAATGACTGATATAATAACTGCATAGTAACAATACCTTTCCTTAAGGTATTTTAAGGAGTTGACTTTAACTTAACTAATTGACTTAACTTTAAGAAAAATTCGCCATAATGACATTTCAAAACAGTCGATACTATTTTGTTTTCTATTGTTTTTTTGCTGTCAGCAATAGGATCGCCACACGTTGCAAAAGTTCTAGACGACGACGGGAAATTATAAACAATCCCAATCTTATACAGAATTCGGCAAATTATGGGATAATTGGGAAACAGCGAATCAGAAATAAAAAGGACAAAAACCGACGAGGATTTTCCAACCAACAAGATGAACATCTCTACCATGACAAATGATGTATATTTACCTCAAAATCAAGCAACGTTTTTGGTTCTGTTTTGAAAACATTCACTAAATAAATACACACAACACGTCTGCTTCGAGCTGTAAAAATCCACCTGCAGGTGTCCATATTTACAAGAAACTTACAGCAGGTTAAATTATTAACAATAAATTATTGATCAATGCCGGCAAGCCGGTGGGAGCAGGCAATATGTGTTTCCGATCGCTTTGTTTAACTCTCGGACATTATGAAGCATAGCAAACTCAGGTAATGAACACATTTAGCGAAGCTTCGAAAATTTTTAATTGACTATGCATGTAGTATTGGCTTTTGTTTACAACAAATTATGGGACAACATATGCGTCTGTAAGATCTAGGTTTTGCTAATTCATGGACACTAATTTTAACAAGTGTCAAAGAAAAATTTTATTTTCATGAAGTCGAAAACTGAGCTGGTACACTTTAATCTCCGTCTTTACTCACACACCAGTAATAAGCCTAGATTTGACATCGTCGTTGTCTTAATACATCTAGTTTAGCGCCAAATACGGCAATCTTATAAGACTATCATTCAAAATTCAAGAAAAATTAGAGTTTCATGTTGTAAAATATTGAAAAAAAGAAGCAAAACAAAAAGTACCAAGTGAAAGTGCTTCTGAAGAGACGCCATTTAAATGTTCATACCTTAAACTACCTGAGGATTTCAACCACAGTCTCAATACTTAGAACTATAAACAACACGCCTGAAAGCAATGAAAGAGCAATTTTGGTCACACCTAAGGATTTCGTCCGTCGAATCAAAAGTTTAAATTATATTACACATCTCATATATAACTGATCTACTCTGGGTGCAACAGGGCTCGCAACAAAACACAGCAAACCTAGTCTGAGACTTAAGTCCGTCATTCTTCGGGTAGAAAAGCACGTGCTTCGCTCCTTAATTACCGCAACATTACTGTGAGTTAGTACTTGGAATGTCGACGGTGATGCTCTCACAATTTCAGTTGAATAAGCCTTCTTGTTCTTGTAAAAACTTTTCGAATTCTTCATGTATTTCATCATCAAATTCAGGATCCTCTTCAACATAATATCCGCTATCATCCTCATTTGGACTGAAAACAGAAAGGAAATAAGCAAAGTCCTCAATCAATCAAAATTTTACGGATCATCTCATGTAAAGTATTCCGGTTTCCAGAATCCGGGAAATCTTAGCCTGTGCACAGACCCCCACCTCCCCACCTTCCCTCAGGAGAACCTTCTCCGATTTTTCCTGAGGAGTAGGGGGTCTGTACAGGCTGGAAAATCTTACGGAATTATCTGGAATCCTGAAATTTTTTATCGTGGAATCCAGAATCCTGAAGTTTTGAATCTGTAATCCAGCTCCAGAAATCCGCGTCTCACCAGTGATCGGAATTCGGAATCTAAGTTTCAATGACTAGGAATCCAATACCTTTGATCCCGAATCCACGACCGTCTTGAATTAACTTACATAGGGTGACACGGAAATAACTCAATAGTGGCAAGATTCAGACATTTGCATAAATTGAGTTTACTAATAAGAAGAAAGATGCAAGATTTTATCACGGAGTTGCAAGCATCCAATGTCCCCCACACTTTTCATTTTCTCGCCTCAGCCTCCCAGAGGTGTAAAAAGGTCGATGTGCACAATGGAGATTCGAATTAACGAATTTCTGAGCACTGGTCGGAGTCTTTGAACACAAATAAGGGCTATAAAACACGCTATACCGATGAAGCTGGTACTAAAAAATTAGCCAACATTTCACATAGGACAAGAATTTGTACCACTTACACGTAGTATTCATCATCATCATTATACTGGTCTGGAAAGTAGTACTTATATGTCTCCTGCATCAGAGATGGTTCATCTACATCATCATAATAGTCGCTCCATTGATCTGCATAGGAGAACAAACCTATATTAACAGGATGCCTCTGAAAAAGGTCCCCTTTAAGGCGTGTCTAGGTAATACAGCATGATATCGCGCTGATATGACTTTCACACATAACTGGAAAGCCCATCCTGTTTACTTGAGGGGTCTTCATGCTAAACGACACACCATACTTCTAAAAATTATTCAATGCATGGCGGCGCAGTAGCAGTTTTTCTCTTTTTCATGGAAGGATATATTTCCTGCTCGGAGTCACCATTTTTGCTGAAGGAAACAGAAAATGTAATCGGGCTCAATCAAGGACACATAATGCATCTTCAATGAAAAAACTGTCCATGAAAGACTGGGGTTCGCAAGTCAGTGGACTGATTAATGCCATGAATTGTCTGTAATAAGGTCATTCGGTTGGTACCAAGCTGATACACTTTGAAATTAACATATGTTCTTTTCAAATCTTTCTCACCTGGGTTTGTCACAGGAGTCAAGTCGTCTTGTAAGCTTAATTCATCCTAAAACATCAAAAGGCAGTAACTTAACTAGTCCTTTCACGCAGGCCCTCTAGCTCTCTTCAGAGATCGTCAAGTGTGCGTATGAAAATAAAAACCGCAGAGGTGGGGGAAATTAAGTCTGGGGAGGGAGGCTATTGACCGCTTGCACAAAGGCATGAGATTCGTTAAAAACAACTATGGACAGGCTATAATTAAACAGGCTATTTCCGAGTTTCCAAAACCCACCAATTCAAAATGAGGTCCACTGGAAAATCTTTCATTTGAATATTAGTGTCATTTGCATGACAAATGGCAATAATTTTCATATCTAACTTTTTTTTTCCTTTGGTCTAATTATTTTTTTACTTTTATCCTGACTTATAATCAGAAATTACCATTGACAAAGAACAGAATAAACGTAAAACAAAACTGCAACACAAAAAATACCCCACTTTTTAAAGGTAACTTGTGACAAATCTGTTATAAAGAACTTACCATGCCCAGGGGATAATCAGAATAGTAATATCCATCATCTGAAGGATAAACAGGGTAATTTCCAACAGCTCCCTCACTTGTCCCGCTCCCCCAGTTGGAAGCTCTTAGTTCTATCACTTTTGACAATAATTCTGTGACACTGCCAAGACACCAGAAAAAAATATATATTTACCAGCCATACAACTTAAAGAGGCTATGCCAAGCTATTTGCTATCTTTTTAAAAGCTCAATTGAATTCCAAAAATACTGGTCCAATTTAGTTTCTTAAGACTATATGGTAGGCATTGAAACTGTTTTCTATCACAACACATGGCAAGGATGAACATGGATTGAAACTTGAAACAGTTGGGCCAAGGTTTTCAAGTTTTAATGCTATGCCAACAAAAATTAGCAAAACAAAAATTATGGTTAGTGGTCGCCGATGAAATTTGTTTGATACATGTATCTTCTTCATTACTTAAGAAGAGCATTTTGTTTAATAATGGCTAAAGGCACTGAGTGATGACTTTAAGACCCTCTTGATATCCAATGGTTTCATACACACCATAAAATTAACACTTTTCCTTAGATAATCAAACAATCATGGCTTTGCAACTTTTTCCCCACTTCCCCGTCCCCAAATCTTCCCTGCCCCAACACACTAAAAAAAATTCATACTTAAAGACTGGAATACTGATGTCAAACTGTACAAGGAGTATGATTACCTTTCTGACAGACTAGAGTCTTTTAACAGGTTGTTGACATCGTTGAAAACTTTATCAACTTTTTCTTTGCGGTCTTTCTCAATTTGCAAAAATTGAGGATCATCCAGAAGAAAGCCTGTCATCTAAAAAATGTGCAGAAAATGTTACTATTAACAAGAGAATAAAATATCACAACCTGTTTCAAATAGCAACTTACATGCATTCCAAAGATAGGGACAAATTATTAAAAATGCATCATTGTAGCTTAAAGAAAAGTGTTCACTAGAAATTCTCCAGAGTGATAGCCTGAGCCATAATAATTATGGCTCAGGCTCTACAAAATGACATCTGAGAAACAATCTTAGAAATTTCATACTGATGATGTGTCAGTACCCAGATCTGGGAAGTGCTTCTAATTGGTTGACCGCCATGAGATACATTTGCTTCAACCAATCAGAAGCACTATCCAGATCTGGGTAGTGACGCATCATCAGTATGGAATTTCTGCACCTGTTTCTCTACACATCATTGAGCAAGGAGAGCAGTGATGGCGTCACAAAATGTTGGCTATTTTCTCCAGCTACCAGAGTGACTGAGGAATAGTACAAAATTTCAAAGCCCAAGAAACTTTGAGACACTTAGGTAAGTAAAAAACCAGTGAACACTTTGATTTGATCCCAACAAGTCAATCGCGGACTTACCAATATCATCAAAGTGCAAACTAGTTTTAATCAAACAACTTCTTTACCTTTAACATCTTTCCAATACATTTCAGGCAATCCTCTGAATGGTTTTGTAGAAGGGTGTTCAGCATTTCTATCAGCCCTCTGTGAAACACTTTTAATGGGTGACTCTCACCTAAGGGCTATACATACATTCAAAATTTACCCATCACACTGAAAAAAAAAATTATCAATGGAGAGAGAACAGGGAAAGAAGACGGTGGGGAAAACCTCCGTAAAAAAACACTGTACAAAGGAAACTCCACATGCCATCCAATCACGTGACAGATGTAGTGAACCACTGGGCATACACATACCGCCTGACTGCAGACGACTAGCACTAAAGCCACTCTTAGTTGTTAACTTATTTTTGTATTAAAATGCATAAAAGTGAAAAAAAGAAAAAAAAACTTACTCTGTAGTTGCAAAAGAGCTCAGCCTCAAACATTGCAAAGCCAAGAAGAAGTGCTTTAGTAGCTGTATTTTGCAGGGTTGCCTCTCGCTTTATATGTTCATCTTTGCATCTGGAAAAACAAAATGACAAGAAATCTTGAAAAGTTGAAAGAAGCTACCTGAAGTGAGTAAAAGGACAAACTAGGCTGGAAAATCAACAGACAGTGCTTTGACCAAGGGCATGATGAATGCCTGCCAGATTACCTCCAGGATGGATCACCAAAAGGAGATCTTCCTGGAGCTGGTATTAACTTTCTGCTTAGCTAAAAATACATTTTTAGCTGACATTAATGAACAAGGTCCATTTGAAAGCATGTTCATGACTGAAAACAGAGCTGAGATAAGTATGGCTAGTTGTCTTAAATCTGTCTTTACTATGGTTCTCTAAATGGAAGCCCTAAAAATAAAGCATCCAGAACTATTACTACATGCACTTTAGTACCTGTTGAGAAACACACTGCGAAAATTTTCACCATTTTTAGTTACAATGTTCTTGTCCTTTTTTGATAATAAGTTACACAGTTTGGCTGCCATGTACTGGAAATTAGGTTCTGTTATTGACTAAGAAAAGAAACAGTCACAGTTAACTTGGAGACAAATGGTTTCCACAGCTAGTGAAATTAATTCAACAATGCTTGCCATTATTTGAATTGTGACGGGCAGGCCAGGAGAAGTGGGGGAGGGGGGATCAATATGGAGTACAGTGCAAAAAATACGAATAAATGCAGATTTTTGGTTTAAAAGGGTTAGCACTGCCAGTAAAATAAAATACTCAGTGGAACCACTGTTAAAGTTATACCTACATAATCAAAGATGAGATCCACAATTTCCTGCAAGGAATCAAGAGAACTCAGCCACTTTTGCAACATCTTCACCAAAGTCTCCACATAAGAATCCAATTCGCCAGGAGTTTGCGTTAAACCAAACAACACATCTTTCACACAGTTCATCAACTCATTCTCAGGTTTATCGCTCAGCTGTCGGAGCATTGGAGGTCTCCGGCCTTGTTGAGAGAATGACTTTGGAACAAATTCTGGTGCTTCTACTAGAGACTGTAGATTGTAACCAGTTTTTGGAATAAACTCTGCCGCAAGTGGTGATAACTTAGTTATCTTATCTGCTTGTTGTCCAGTTGTTGTTTTTAAAACACCACTTTTCACTTCAGCTGGTTCTGCAGCCTTTTCATCGTTCTTCTCAATTTTTGTAGAAGTGTTTACAATACTTTCCTCCTTGACTTTCGACAAAGCAGTATTAACAACTTCTGTCTTTTGAGGTGAGACATCACTCTCCTCTGACTCCTTTTGCTCACTGGCTTTCAATAGTTTTTCCTCTGAATCTTGGCTTGTCCCAGTATCTTCAGCTTGTTTATCATGGGCTGGTTCCTCCAAAGGTGGATCATTAACTATTTCAAATAACGGTACAAAAAGTTCTGGCAGAACGTCAAAGAAACTTGCAGAGTATGGTTCTTTCATAATACATAGGCTAAACTTCAGAATACCCAGCCACTTAATGTTTACATCTCCTTGAATGACAAAAGAAACTATTGTATATGCCTCGTGCAGCATTTAGAAAAGTGGCCAGGCATTCTGAAGTTCCTAACTGTATGAACGCAAGTAGTCACACACAGCACTGCATCATACCATGTTACACTCTCGTTAAAACTATTTCTTTACTTTAAGAAACAAAAGCAAAGTTTAATATCACCTGTTGACTTAATCTCATTTGTATAATTATAAGCTTAAGCTTATATTCTGCAACCGTTTGATCTGGATAAAATTCAAATTTGAACATGTATAAGATCCTAACGAGAAAACGGTCACTACACTTCAAATGGCATACAAAATTATTAATAAGTCAAGGAAGATGAAAGATCCGAATTGTATAATAAGAAGATCGAGATTGAGGCAGTGAATAGAAGCCTTTAACCTTGTGCCATAAAGGATTTGCTTATATATGTTGTTTAATCATATCTCTAAATTTAACTGGGAAAATAATAAAGCACTCTCTCACCCTTTTCACTTTCGCTCGGAGCGGAAGAAGAGTATTTCCCGCCATCTTGCGATGTAGAGGTTGTCGCTGGCTTTTCACCTGGTCTTCGAAGTGGCCCCGTGTACTCTTTCGATGTTATGACCTGCCTACCCCTTCCTCTACCAGGCATCTTGTGATTCTAAAAATCAGTGTGCGATTCTTGGGCTCATTGTCGTAGAAGGAACTGCTGTAAAACTGTGTCACTTTCTTCAAACAGAGAACAACATGTTTTGAGTCCATGCGACCTGGCCTCTTTATCTGGAAAGGACTGGACCCGGAACTTCGACAACAACAAGAACAATAACAACATCTTTTATTTTAAAACACGATATTAAAGTTTACAGCGCGTAGCTGTTGTGGTCGCATACAACATAACTCAAACTTAACAAAAAGCAATAACGAAAAGGTACTAGAATCATTCAGCCGGCGGACTTTGCACGAAAATATTCTTTACAAATGACTGTTCACAGGTTGCTATCTACAATTTTCTATTTACAATTTTCAATTGTTACATTTCTATCCGTACAATAATCAAATTGCTATTTACAATAATTATATCTGCACTTTTTTAAGCCCCTCCTTGAAGGCAGCTAAGCTTTGCTTCCCCAAGAAGATACGACTCAAGAAATTCGCTTTTAGTATTTATCAACAATTTCTCAAGATCATGTCAATGGACTTCTATATAATATACGCCATGTTAGTCAAACCGCACATGATCAGGGGCACCCAACGGGAAATTTTGAGAAAAAGACCTAAAGACAACAACAAAGCGTGACTAAAGTTTTTTGAGACTATTTTAAGCATTTTGGGAGATTGCTGGAAAAAATTATCTGTTCCTCACTCCCAGCAAGACTGAAGGAAGAGTTCCCAGCCAGCAATCTTACAACCTGCAACCTGACTTACTGGGAAGTTTCATAGGGCACAATTCAGATCTTGAGTGGTAAGTAACCCATACAAGTAACCCGTAGCAGCTATTCTAGACTTCTGACCTCTGACACCCTGAATTATCTTTTTCCCAGCAACACTTTCTTTCCAAGGACTATTATTTCTTCCACATCTCCCAGCCAGCAAAAATGTGCCTGAAGAACAGATATTTTGAGGAACAGATCCATTGGGTGCCCCTGCATGATGACTGTAAGTTACGAATTAAACTGCCACGTAATATCAGGATCTCCCCCGATCAGCACAGGCAATTCAGAGTCGAACATCCTGTCTACGACCACCCAACAGCCTGCCCAACAAGTGCAACATGTGCGAGGGGTTAGTGGTCGCACACGGGAGAGTCGAACTGCGGGAGGTCTTTTTCGAGGAGAGGTGAATATATACATCTACTTTTTGGAGAGAATATACGCACAGTTTCTTGGGGTTACAATATAGGTAAATCCATGTCGTGTAGTACACAAACACATAGATTAGACCATTATATCAGGTGTTTGCTAAAAAGAAGTTTTTTTATGAGCGTAACTTATAGTCAGTCGCGGTCGCTTATTCCAACTTTACAGGGGCGGATCTAGGGGGAGGGTGCAGGGGGTGCGCACCCCACCCCCCCGTGAGGAGATGACCTGCGGTTTTCTAATACCGGACTGGTATTCTGCACACACACACACAAAACTATGTGGTTTATTGGTGTTGAAGTAGAGCAAGAGACAACTGCACCCCCTCCTAAAAAAAATCCTGGATCCGCCCCTGCTTTAAGGCTTTGACTCAACCTCGTCCCCAGGGCGCTTTTCCCTAAAAAAAAAGCGCCCTGGGGACGAGGTTGGCTTTGACTGAGAAAATATTTGGTGTTCTGTAAGTGCTCGATTATGGGAAATGGTCGCTTACTAGAGGTGGTCGTTCATAATGGTTCGGCTGTACTATGATTTTCCTTTATCATAAAAAAAATACTAGGCCTGGTTTAACTGTCTGGGTAGTTAAGTTCGTAAAGGGCTTTATAGCTCTTTATAGCTTCGAGTTGTGGCCAGAAAGAGTATTGAGCATGATATAACGGTTCAATAATATAATGGCTTCCAAAGTACGCTGACTTGCAAACTTCGCTCTCACTGTGTTCTTTCAATGCGTTAATTTAGAGCAGCTGAATTTACGACGAACCATCAGATCTAGGAAAAGGATTCCGGGAGGGTGGGGTGGGGGCGCCCATCTGTTATTTTCAGACCATCAGCCCTTCCCCACCTAATCTCATACCCATATACACTGGTGTGTCGGATAAGGTTGCCTGTGCTAGGTGTTTTCAGTCAGTGCGGACGAGAGAAAACAGCGAGCAAGGAAAGAAATAGCGAAAGAGGAGAAACGGCGGGAAGAGAGAAAAGGAGAACCTGTAAGCATCAATCCGCCCACTGTCCCACCGACTTCCTGAAAACCTTTTCGCGTTTCACAATGTAAAATGCCAAAACGATCAAAAGCTACCGCTTTCCTCACATTCCTGTAGCCAGGAACAGGCTATCGAGAAGAGGGCTAATAAATAAAAGGGCAACAGCAGACTTTTTCGGCTCCTTTAATTCATTTTAGATAATGTTAGTAATTTTGATCTCGTGTATCAGTTGATGAATATATGTAGTCATACGTTTTACCGATGATCTAGCAGCACACTTAGATTAATTTATATACACTTTGAAAGAACAAATATTACACTCAAAATCTACACCCAATACTCCGGCAATTGACCGTGTATCGTCTCCACGGTAACCACTGGTCCCTCGTCACCATGACGTGTCACGTGGGCCAAATTTTCCCGTGTGACGTCATCAACAACTTCATTCTTCAAAGCAGGGTATTCTTTCAGGATTGGAGAGGAAATCACCAAGCAGCTCTCGATTGTCGTATCTGCTGCTGACAGGTTCAAGCTCACATCCGGGACAGAAGGTATGGAGGGTTCTAAAATTTAAAAGATTGATCAGTTTTGACAAGGCAATGAAACCAAATCGAAAACATTAACTTCTCGTTTCGGAACAGCGTCACTGTTTAGCATGCACAGAGGATAGAATAATAATAAAAAAAAGGATAAGCGATTCGGTTATAAGCTTTTCTTCAGGTTCAAAATATCGCTGTGCTATTAGGATTTTTACTCTATGTATCTTTCCCTGGCTGCGAAGTCATTTTCTTTTTTCTTTCTTTTTCATTTTTTTTTTCACCGATAGCAAATTGCCCTGAAACTCAGATGTTTCGTGCAAACAAATGATTGTCTTTCACCACATGTACCACTATTATAAATTTCATTACCTTCGCTTGAACGGTCCCCTTTGGTGGTGCGACCAGTGCTATCATGAATAGCGGTCCTTTTGAGGACGGGCCTCTCGTAGCACCCCGTAGCTTGAGCCATCGCTGCGGAGGACCGGTAACTTCTACGAACGTAATGGCTTGTCTCCTGTTTCATTCCGGGGCTTACTGGAATGTTAAAACCCTCGTTGTTGTTGATGTCATGAAGATCCTGAATCTTGGTTGTCTTCCATGGATAGGATCGTGCTTTGTTTAGTTTCTGAAAGGAAACAATTATAGTTGAAAAGAGAGAGAGAGGTCTTTTGTCCTGCACTTCAGTCGAAGTCACAGCTCGTGATTTAAACGATTGAGAGGATGACAATGACCAGGACGTGACAATGCTGACGACTATGATGCTAATAATGATCACCATAATGATGATGATGATGATGATGATGATGATGATGACGATGATGTGATATGACTCATAACGAATGGAGTTAGTGTCAGCAGCTTTGTCAAGATCATATGATCATGACGATAAAGGTTACATACGGGCGAGCACCGTCACGCCGGTGGAGCCGGAGCAAAGAAAAGTAGCTTTATTTATTTCCGTCCCACACCTTCCCTAAACAACTCCTCCCTACGAGCCACTCGAGATTAAGACTGTCTGCGATGCAGGCGAGAAAGCTTCTTACTGGTATTAAGTCATTATTTAAAATGTTCTGTCATGATATAGCAGAAGACTGATTTACTGTACAAAAATGGATGGATCAATCAGCAGAAAGAAAACTGATTGTCTCACCTTGTTGACTGGCTTAATGGTCCTCAGAGCGCAACCACTGTCGAACTCTGACATAGTTCTCTTTCTTTGAAACCTTTTCCGATCCTCCTCCAAGTCCAATCTCCTTTCCCTTACTCCCTGCCAATGATACACGCACACAACACACGACAAAAAGATTGCAAGAAGACAAATTGGCAGTAAAACGCCAATATAACCACTTGAAATAGCAGTAACCATCGAATACTTCATTTCGCTCGCCTTCGTGGGCAATTGGGAAGTTCTTGGTTGCGTTGGAAACGAAGCTTTTCTTTTTATCTTAGCTGTAGAATATTCACGTGTAGGGGAATAAGCCGCCGAGAAAAAATTGGAAACTTTTGTGGCAGTTTCGTTAGACATAAAGCCCTTCCAATTTAAAACGAAACTCTTTGATAAGTTTAGCGCTTTAGAACTGACCGAGCAATCACAAATCTTCAGTTGAATTCGAAATGAGTGCCATAAACTGGAGCTGTACTCACCAAAAAGCGCGGAATGTAAAAGAGTGTGAAAATGCGCCAAAATGTGGCTGAAAGCAGAAAGAAAACAATAAGGAAAGTTTTGTCAAATAATTACAGTTGTCGCTGGTAAAAAAAGAATGGAATTCTTTAGAGTACAAGGGCGTAATTCTTGGTGAAATGTTTATATATAAACGAACAATACATTAAAAACCAAGCTAAACATTTTTTTTTTTAAGATTTAATACACGTAAGCCATTTCTCGAGTTCCAGATTTGGAGGCGATCCCACTTGCAATTGGTCGCTTATTCAGTTGTTTGATTCCGTCCCGATTCGATTTTTTCAATCGCTCCCGCAAAAACCATCATTTGAGATATAAAGCATTGGGTGTAAATGTACGGTGTAACAATACCGAAAAAAAAAAGGATAAAACATGAAAGTAAAAAAAACAATCGGACATGATATACACAACAGAGTCAACTGTAATTTTTAAAGCTTCTTCGGTTTCAATTTTTAAATTGAAACCGATGTCAAATACTTAAAAGTATTTGACATCGCACAATAATCTAATTTCTACCAAGGCGTATCTAGATTGGAAGGTGTAATCACAGCAAGGCAGACTGTAATTTGTAGCTGAACACTCGGAAAAGTGGAATCTATTTGATAATAAGGATGTTTAACTTTCTACGCTGTTTCTAGTGCTCCAAATAAACGCAACCTAACTTAACTAAGAACTTCATGTTCTTTTACAACTACTATAATTTATTATTTTCACTACATGTACCTAGCTTCCAGTTAATATTTACAACGTACAGCTGCAGCAGTGCTTACAAATTATATCTTACAAATAAATTTGTACGCCAAACAATCTTAATTTCAAGGACGTTCGTTGCCCGAAACTCACAAGAAATAATCGGTTATTACTGTTTCTGTCAGAAACAAAAAATGATTTTTTTTCAAGAATATGGACTCCCAAAAAAGAATCAATGCATTAAATAGACCTTCAGTTGCAGAATTTTGATCAGTTAAGAAGTTTCATAGCCAATTGAGCATAATTATTTTTCCAATATTTTCCAATTTTTAATAGAGAAACTAAAAATTGTGTAATTTGCTAATGATCATTGTAGCTTCACACACTGTATTCGACCTTCCTGACCAACTTTCGTAATCCTTCAGTCCTGTCAAAGACCTTGAGTTAATTTCTCAGTATTACTCCTTTCAACCATCTACAGTAAGATTTCATCAGTTCGTTGCTGCTGGCACCTGAAAATCTCACTATTAATTATTTTTTCTGTACAATAAGAATGTTGCCAGAAGTGATGCACGTAATGTCATTCTCGTGGTTTGAAATATGTGTCCATATCCTTTGCAATGTGGGTCAATCGAGGACCATAGTAATCAATGACATATGCTGATCCATCTGCTGGCCCAACAACCTGTTAAACAAACAAGTGCATCGCATTAATTTGGTGCTTCTTTAGATTGTCTTTGTGAATAAATAGCAGTAAACACATGCTGTGCTTTAATAGTTTTTGAAAAGGTACCAGCGACACTCAGAGTTCTTTTAAATATTATATAATATATCAAGTGCCTGGTTTCGTATTTTGCATGTTAAGGTATAGCATAATATTGTCAGTGACAATATTGCTACGCTGTACTTTGATTAAGGCTACCATTGGAAAATGGTCATCTTTGACTGAAAGTGAAATTTCCATTTCAAAATTTTTTTTAAGCCATCTGTTCCCATTATTAATTTATGAAAGTCATTTCTAATGATGATGAACTGTAGTATCTCACCTGAGTCGCTATCAATACAATGTCTACAAGATGAAATACAAAGAAAAAACCCAAAGTACAAAACTTCAGCAGGCCTATAAATAAAGAGGAAATGCACTTTGCATCAGAAAATTAATAATAATTACTTCTTAATTTAAAATATTAATAATTACTTATTAAAAGGGAGAAAAAGAATTTCCATCTTTTGGTTGTCAACACAGAGAACCAAGAAAGCTTGAAATACTGTATTTTAGGAAAACTTGTTGTGTTTTATTGTGTTATGACAAATTCAGTTGGAGATCAAGAAAATGATGCAAGCTACTTTGCAAAACCTCAAACTAATTACCATTGCTGCCTGCAGTTCTTTTTTTTTTTTCATGCTTTAGCAGATTGGCTTTTTCCGTATGCATGCTACACAATAATGTTCCAAAAATATTTCTCACATTTTTTCATGTTCACATTAAACAAGTAAAAGTTTCAGCCAAAGTATGTGCACATCTATGTATCTTACCTATTGCTGGATATCCCAGATAAAATCTATCAATTCCAAACATTCCAAGAAAGACTGACAGCAAAAGCGCAGTTTCATAAGAGTGACCATTGCTGTGCAGAGAATTTAAAGATAAAACATGTTAGTAAGAAGAACAGTTGCTTTTCCAAGGTTTCTTTAATGTTAAGGCTAGTATTTTTTCTTTCAATTGCTCGCACCAGGGACTCGTTTCTTTAGCTCTTGGGTCCTACTAAAGCCAGATTTTAATATCAAAAAAAGTACACTGGGTCCTACACTGCAGCTGACAAACCAGTTTATTAAATAATTCTGTTCAACATAGAACCAACAGGTTCAATGCTATTGGATTAATCTTTGCCTTGAGTGTAAACACAGCAAACATAAAACAGCTTTCCAGGCCTGCTAATCGCAAGGACTTTTAAGAAATAAACCTTCATGAATACTTCAGCAGTTAATTCCACAGAATCTTATATCCATTTTAAAGCTTATCTTGGGCAATATAATGCAAAATAATACTTAAGATTAATTAATAAATAAAATAAGAAGCGAGGTTTATAATGTACATGTTTTAATAATTTTTCTATACAGAAAACACATTACTGTAGGTTGTAGCTAATACATACAAAAGAAGTTTACTTACGTGTGGCGACATGTTACATTTTTAAAGCACTTGGTTATATTTCGTCCATCTTTGTCTATGGCTGTAGTGTCACATTCCACTAGAGAAAATATAATATTTGATAATTCAAGAAAAGTAAGGAAACCATGCAAATGTACAAGTGCGAAATATAGTTCATCTGTTAATAGGCCATGATAAAACACTAAATGGCAACAACACCAGGATGTTGTAAATGGCATTTTGCCTAAGCAGAGAGGGCCTGAGAGCTGCAGATTACAAAAATCAAGCTCTAATAGAGAGCTCAAATGCTCACATGTTGAAAAAAAAACACTTCTACAGGTCACTACCTTTGGCATCCAGAGTTTGACAAGGTGTGGCAAAGAAGCCACAAATTTCACTGCACATTTTAAGGCATAGTAAGTTTTATCAGCTCTTAGTACCTAGATACATCATAGATTGGTATGAAGTCACTGCCTTCCATGGCCAAATTATTCCAATCCAGATTGTTCCACAATATCGTCAGAACTATTCAGGACTATTTGAGCAACGAGCAGAAGCAAGAGCATTGCTCCTGTGTTTACCTCGTTCTTTAAGCCAAGAAAGCATCCCACATGCTTTAAGCCAAAAAAGCTTCTTTCACATCAGGTTTTTTCACTGAAACTGTGGAACAATCTGACTATAAAATGAAACAATCTGACCGTGGAACAAAGTGGTTGTAAACCCGTGGATGGATAAACGTAAATACTGAAAACTCAATTTAAAAAAATCACTTAATAAATAACTTACTTATTAACAAAAAACTGGGTATAAAACAGCAAACCTAGTTTCAATAAGGTACTACAGTTGAACGCAAAGATTATTTTCGTTCCATTTGAGAGTTCAAGTAAGCTGTCATCGCCTCATTATGCAAATTTAAGTTATGTCGATCAGAAAACACTGTCTGCATGCATGCAGATAACTGAGATTGCATTGTGAAGATCAAATCACCTTCAACGGTGTGATTCTTTGAACAGTCAACAGCTGCCTGAGTAGACGAATCAATTTCTGGACTTCTACATCGATACATATGATAGTCAAGGAAAAAATTGGTAAATATGTTAAGCTTACTAAGACAAGATTACACTGATCAGTACCAGATGAACACTGGTGAACACATATACACAAAAACCCACAACAGATACCGTATCTATAAAAAGGATATTGCCCAAGAAGAAGCTCAGAACATTTATATTTTTCTAGAGCTTCCTGAGGATTTATCCACGTACAAAGGCTGGTCAAGAAAACCGATAGTAAATAGCTTTTCCAGCGAGAAATCATGACGAATTTCCTGGTAAAACATTCATCCGACGGCCGCCATTTTGATTTTCATTGCTTAGCTTTTAGCTGCTGACCAGAAAAACCGTGGAAACGACTTGTTCCCAGTTTCTCTCGTCAGGTATCACTAAAATGGCGGCCTCGTTGAAATGATGTCTGTGAGTGAGGAAGATGTGCAAAGATGGTTTGATGTTGTGCTTCAATGGGGTAGTGCAGATACCTCTGAAAAATGCAGAGATACATTTGAATGCCTTGATGAACTGCTAGTTTTTCTGAAACAGCTCGAAAATGCTCTTGGAGGATTGGTAGGTATTAATCCAGCTGAGACACAGCTGGCCTTACGCAGCCTTACGGAACGAATTAGCCCCACTAACCCTGATCAGACTATGGATAACAGAAATCCGTGCCTAGACCATGTAGGTCCATTTATCGTGAGGCATTTGTTTTATAGAAAAAAACATCCATGTAAAGAAACTTCATTGCAGCAAATACATTGTGCAAGTCCCTTGGCCCTTTGTTTATTATATATCGAGGTTCCAATGAACTGTTACTTTTAATGTTCTTTAATTATCTAACTGTTGTTTTTCAGATAGGGAACCCAAAGCTCATTTTGCAGAAGTTTCCAAGTATTGGGAAATTCGTTGGACAATTATTTGACAACAGTGTCATTTTGTTGTCAGGTAAGATATGATTTACTGGTGAAGAGGAATTCAGGATGGGAGGAGGGGGAAGGGGGATGGCGAGAATATTGATAAGATGCATATCTCAGGTACGTGTGGCGGGGTGGGGTGGTGCCTGCTGTGCCCCATAATTTGGCATCCATTTGTCTTGAGAGAAAAGTAGTAATAGTAATAGTAAGTGTTTTGGATCTCTGTATGTGTGATTTTTTTAAAAAGGTTTATCTGAATACATTTCACCAATTTTAACTGAGAACAATTTAATATTATAATCTACCTTCCAGGTTTATCTGTTAACAGAGTCACTTGCTGTGTCGTGTTTTGTTCCGTAGATGATGTGTTCCACAGTGTTATAAGATGCAGCTTAGCACTCGCAAATTGTTCCAATTCTCAAGGAACAATTTTCAGCAGGAAAGCCAAGTCTTGGGCTCTCACACAGCTGAGATGTGCATCCACGCCCACTCTCAAGCATAGCAATTTAGTGGAGGTTGGAGAATACTGGGGATATAGTGCTGAGGAATCCACAGAGATGATGGTGGACAAGGTATTAAGGAGTACAAAAACATTTGCAGAACCTTGTATTTTGCTGCAATGTTAAATGTATTTCTCTATTTAAAAGTCTGGTATGAGGTACACACATGAAATTACTTGTGGGAAGAATCACAAATTGTAGATCAGATACCAAACTACACCTAGATAGGATTTCCTTTTAAAATTGCCCCCTTTTTAACAGTTATCCAGTAATTTGCAGCACCACAGGATTAAATTTATATGCAGAGGAGGGGGGCAGAAGGTAGTGTCGGTAGTGTGCATGGTGGGGGTGTGTTTTGAGATAGGATTGGAAGCACCATCCTTTCCTGAGAAGGAGAGGGTATCCTGGCCTCTTCAAACCCCAACCCCTAACTCTACAGCATCTACCTGAGGGGAGGGGGCGACTATACACAGGCTAGATTTGACCCAGGGGAGAGGGTTGGATAACTGGGTTGTTTAATACCATAGTACTGGAGACAGAGCTACAAGTTCAGGCTTCTACTGCAAATCTTGGTTTTAAGTGTTATTTCAAACAAAAAGATGATTTTCTTTTTTTTCGTTCAGCTGGTGTCATCACTATGCCATGATCTGAAAGTAATGGAAAGCTTTAAATGGAATGACAAAGAAAGGTACATTTATTTTATTATTAAGAGCGGGTGATGGCTGAAATGTTTTCTAACAACTAAGCTGGCAGCATGATTCAGAACCAATATTTTTATGTCACTGCAAATTCAAATTACAAGTCTCTTAAGAAGACAGTCTTTGCAGTAAACCATTTTCATTTTCAGTTACACAAACTTTGCAGCTCAAGTTTATGTCTATTATTTTTGTCTTCATATTGTAAGTTCTACATGTGTGACAATCTGGTAGGGCAGTTGGAAATATAGGAAAGGAATTTTTTTTCTTTTTCATCTCTTGCAGAGAATGTTATCCTCTGAAACAAGTATCAGGATCATGTCTAAGGGAACTTTGTGAATTCTGTTTGCCTCTTCTACCTTTGACACAAGCAAAGCCCTTGGTAAGAAAGTTTAGAGCTTTGGTTAGCTACCATAAACATGTTCATGTTTCCTCTGTCATTGGAGTTCATGTACATGTAATTTGTTGAGTTATTCTACAAAGTCTCTAAATTCAACTTGTCTTTCATCTGAATAGGTAGAGAAGATTCTTTGCTGTCAAAAAAGTTTGGATTTAATATCAAGGTAAGTTACATGTGTACATACAAGATGCAAATATATGAGAATTCCAACATGGGAGACAGTGATATCATCTTTTAGTAAAATCCAACCAGTGATCTATTATCAATGCTGCATTCTGATTGGTTGAGCTACTACTAGGCTATATGTTATAGCCCACTAGTAGCGAAAAGCACTGGCTTTGGAAACCAAAAGAATGGCAGCTGTATCGCGTTTTGCTAGCTAAAGTTGTTTTGTCTCGATATTTTTGACCGACTAGTTGGATTTTACTAAAACAATTATTCTTCTCGCCCTCATGGCCTCTGAGTCAATAGCCCATGAGGCCAAAGGCCTCATGGGCTATTGACTCAGAGGCCATTCGGGCTCGAGGAATAATTGTTTTTAATAAATAACCAAGATTCAAGTGGCTTTGATTGATAACATTAATTTTTAATACAAAGGCACAGCTAGAGTTTCATGGTTAACCAAAGTGCAATTCTTCTTTCTCAGATCATTAATGCTCCACGGACAAACCTAACTGGTTAAGTCCGTCTGCAAAACAGTGCCAAAATCCTTTTTCTTAGCCCTGACCTGTGTGCCAGGATTCAAGCACGTGCCATGATTGGACTGTTGAAAATACCATTGTCAAGCCAATCAGGATGAAAGGAAATTTGAAATGTAAATCTGGTAATTCATTGAGTCCATTGTGGTCACAGAACAAGGATATCAGTGCTGCTTTCCCGACTGTATTTTAACCAGGGTTAAATTACATCTGCGATGCAGGCCAAATCCAGAGGGACCCAGCTATTTTATTTTAGTTAGGGTACCAGTCAAAGAATAATTAACCTTGTGATTCTGTTGTTTTTTTAGTTATCAAGACAATGGCTTCAATATTACTGACAGTGTTCCCTTGATGTTTTTGAAAGCTGTTGCATCTACCAAAGGTGGGCATGAATATATTCTGTTTCTATTAAAAGTAAAGCAGTGATAACTGTCGAGTTGGCCACTGCATTTGAAGTTATTGCATTAAATTTTTTGGTGCATATTTAGAGCACAATTCCCTTCTTGCAGAATGGTCTTATTTGCATTTGTCATAATGCATGTAAGAATGCAACTCAGTGGTTTTTCCATGTGGCAAGTTTACCATCCTAACAAGTTTGCCTCACCCCTCCCCCTCCCTGACCAACCTCCTCAAGCTGAATCATGTTGGCTTCTTCACTATTTCCTTTTTCAGGAGTCATCTATTCTTAGTGATACGTCCAATAATCAGGGATCGGTGTTAGCGGACCTTACCCTTGTAACAAGAATCATTCATTGTCAATTTCCGAATGCAAACTCCCCCACAGCAAAGCCACTGGAAAACAGGGATATGTGTGGGAAGTAGTGGATCTGAAAACAAAGAGTGTGGTGGGGAGAGTTTCCGGGGGGGGGGGGTACTCCCATACATTACCTATACGGGTATGTGCCGCCCAAAGGGGTCGTGATTTTGAAGCTCCTGATTTAGAATGGGGTATCCATTTCAGAGGCGTTTTCTAGAACGGGGTATAATATTTCGAATGCACAAAAGCTCCATCCACTTTTGTAAGCAGCCATTTGAAAGTGTTCAAGGACAGATTGCTTTTAAAAATACGGTTCAATGCGTTAACGAGCAAACCGTTGTACTCTTGTTGCACCCTAGAACGGAGTATAAAAAATTGGCCCATTTCTAGAACGGCGTATCAGTTTTAGGGCGAATTCTAGAACGGGGTATAAAAAATTGACCCATTTCTAGAACGGGGTATCAATTTTAGGGGAAATTTTTTCTAGAACGGGGTGCCAATTTGGAGTCCCGGGCGGCACATACCCACCCAAAAAATACCCAAGTGACCCCCCCGGGGGAGAGTTCTCACTCCTAATGCTCTTATTTGAAACACTTTTTAAAATACAACTGTTCTAGATTTGTCTTTGTTTGTTTTAGGGCTGTTGTTGTCATACGAAGCTCGTGTAGCTTTATGGAAGAGGTACCAGCCGAGTTTTGAATCAGAGGTGAATAAAAAATGACGCTTAGCAAGTCAATATTCTCAATTAATATTCAGACCAATAGTCTCAATATTAAGCTGGTAAGACAGCTGTGTAATTATAATATTAGAGGGTTTTCACCTTGATGGTGCTTTTTGATGGTAAAGCCCCCTCAATTCTACTGCTGTCTTTGCCACAGACATAATTCATCATCATCATCATCTTCGTCGTCATCGTTGCGACCTTTCGAGGATAGTTTATGCTGTGTGTTTACTGTTTTCTCATTTGCCGACTGCAGATCATTGTCCCGCCAAATTTGGACTAAGTACTTTGATTTTTGACCACGCCTAGATGCTTTTCTCTGCTGAGGTTCCCAAAGAACCAAGATTTGCACAGGGACGTCACTGTGGTGTAGGCGATGCCCCGGTGACTGATACTCGCTGTTCCACAGCCTTTTAAAATGACTTGTGATTAAATTACTGAACGCTCGCTTGCAAAACCCCTTAGGTAGCTGCCTTGTAATAGGCTGGATATTCATAAAGATTGACTTTTATCGTCAGTTTGAATAATTGACTTGACCTACCACACCATTTAGCACCACCTGATTATTTTTTTAGGTTTTAGATTTGATCGAAATGTCAACCATTCAACGACCTTTCATCTCAAGAATTGAGCTTAAAGACGCTATTTCTTATAAAGAACTGGTGAGTTTTTTTCTGCTTACAGTCTTTTGGGAGAACTTTCAGATGGTGGAGTTTTACGAGGCAGACATATTCACAATGAAAAGGGAGGAGTTTGGGAGCTTAAACAAAGGTGTTTACGAGCGACGCGTGCACGGGCGTCAAAAATGTGAAGCGGATTCTTTGGAAATACCCCACGAAGGACTTTTTTTGAAAGTCTACACCAGCACAGAAAGTTGTTGGTACTGCGGATGTTTCATATCTGAAAGAGGATAAACCTTTCGTTCACTTGAGAAAGGACGAAAACCATAGTTCCCGTCTGAGAATACGAGAATCACCACAATCTTTTATCTAATCATTGGTTCCTCTCATACAACAGTGTGCGAAACAAGACGCAACTGAATGGGGGTACTGTATACCCCAGCTCTACAGTGTGGCAACACAGACCAAAAGACTAACATTCTAACATGATAGCCCACGTTCGATATGTTAAAATTCGAACATGACTCCTAGGCTTTTTGGTCATATTCTATATTTGGTTTGGTTTTCTTTGTGCTCAAGTCTCTTCTGGGAATTGCGAGACAATGGATTCCTTTCTTGGTTTCTGGAGTGGTTTCTGGGTAACTGACCACCTACCCCTCCCCTAAGTCACAATTTTGCCCTTAGTGAGAAATAAGTGCTAATATTGACTTACGGGAGGGGTAGGTGGTCAGTTACCCAGAACCCTCAATACAACACCGATTCAGTCTCACGCAAAACCTAAAACTGGCCACTGACTGTGCAATTATCGGAGGCGAAACTAAGAGTGGAGGCCAAGTATATATTCAAGGATATACAATTTAGTGATTAAAGGAGATTACATAAGCAAGGTCTAAGCTCAACTAAACTATTGGACAATCACATCGGGATACATAGGTCGAGCGCGGTTGCTAAGTAAAAGGATTAAGGGCTATTCCCACACTGACCGTTCACCTGATCTTGTTTACAACAGCCACGTGCTTCTGTGGAAAATCCGGAGTTATTTGAAGTGGCTATGAGTCTTCTGAGGTAAGAAAAAAAGAAAAAACGCTATATCTACAGTCCAGGTGCCCGTTTCTCGAAAGTCCCGGTAAGTTTTCTAGACAGAAGTCAAATACCGTCAAACCACGTTTATACTGAAGGGGCGATAGAAAGCGTCCGTATTAATAGGGTGTCTGTATTGATCGGATTGAATTTAGAGAAAATGTAAGGGCTTTCTTTCCCCAGGAACAAAGAACAACGAGGTGTCCGTTAAGCGGGGTTTGACTGTATTCAAATCAAAAACCATGGTCCTAGCTAACAGTCCATTTTGTTTTGTAAACTGTTGTCATGTTATTTGCAAAACCATCGAAACTTCTCATCTTGAATGTAAACAACAACAGGGCCGAGTTGTTCAAAGCTGGGTTAAGATAACCCAGGGTTAGTGCGAGATTTGAATTCAGATTTGAAAGCACAAAAAGCGGTTCAGTCTTAATTCTTTTGGTCTACAATTTGATGATGACCAGGGGCCGCGGAGCAAGGTGAAAAGTGGGAGGGCTGACAATTGAAAATAATTTTTCATATTGAAAATCGAAAAAAGGAATAAAATCATAGTATTTGATTTTCAAAAAGTGGGGGCGGGGGCGCAAAAAAGTGGTGGGGCAGCGGCCCTACCAGCCCCTCCCCCTCCGCGGTCCCTGATGACTGGAAGCTCTAAAAATAAGGGAGAGATTATCCGAGAAAATGCTTTTGAACACAAGAAAAAGAAACCCGGGTTAAGCGCTAATCAGCCTTCGAACAACCGGGCCCAGCTTTTAGTCAGTGGCTTTAGTGGCTTTCATTAGGGGAACTTCGAGAAAAGGGCCCAGCCCTTACAAAATGCCCGGAGGCGGCATTTCTGAGGCGTTTATGTGCTTAATGATGTCAGTGGACCACAAAGGAAGTAACTGCATCTCTGATACGGCTGCGTGGCCGTTGTGTTGCCAGGTTTCTGTAAGGCTTCCCCAGGCCCACACGGAAAATTTTGTTTCAGTATACGTAACCAAGTTCCGCTCGCATCACGTCACCTATCCGAGACGCAGTCATTTCAAGGCAAAAAATTTGAAGCCTAGGAACCAGGAAAGCCAATTTGTAGATCTGGATATTTGCAGTATTTTTCTCCTTTGGGACAATTAAATGCTGGCCATTTTTATTGTGAAGAGGCAGATTTTGATGACAGTGTTTCCCCTTTTTTTGTCTTGATGAACTGTAGATGAAAAGTAAGTAAAGTAATTTTTTTTATTAACTTATTTTGGGGCCTGTTTATATGGAGGTGGGGGACCCCAGATAGGTGAGGTAACATGTGGCGGGTCACCCCACCTAACACGTAAACTTGATCAAATTAAAATGAGAGATTGAATGGACAGGCGGGCTACCCAATCTAAGCGGGTTACCTCTCCTACCTGGGTTCCCCCACCTCCTCCATGTAAACAGGCCCTTACTCTGATACTTATTACAGCTCATTTCTCGTCCGATCTGGTGGAAGTACGCAAGTTGCAAAGCTTATATCTGTGTTTGGTGAAATGTGTGTAGAACAATGCAAAGATGGAAATCAACAGGCAAGAGGCCCGATTTAAAAGAGTCTTTTTTTCTGTGTTTTTGAACTTGGTAAAACACTCCAACTCGTTGACTACACAGTTCATAACGTGTTTCTCTTCTCCTTTTCTTTTAGTCGCTGTTAAACCTTACCGACTTGTTTCCTTGCTTTTGCTGCTCGATTGTTCCTAAACTGGCGCTAAACCCACAAGGTTAGTTTCAATGATAAACCGCTATAAATCTACGAAATATTTATCCAGCGTTCCAACAGAACCCGTGAATATTAGCCTGCTTTGATATCAATTTTCTGAAAGTTCAGCTCTCGCTTGATAGACCTGCGTAATTTTTATTTTCCAAAATTCTTTCTTGATATTTGAGAAATAAATTTTTCAAACAGAGTGGTTTCTACCAGACCTAATACCTTAACCCCGGTTAGTAACGTCTACAAAGCAGCACTGATATCCTTGTTCTGGGCCCTCAATGGTCTCAACGAATTACCGGAAATGCGTTTCAAATTTCTTTTCTCCCTGATTGGCAAATTGACAATGTCATTTTTAACAGGCCAATCATGGCGCGTACTCAAATCTGGGTACACAGGCGGGGCCCCCGAACAAGAATTTCGGCACGGTTTCGCAGACGGACCTAACCAGAGTTTAGTTTCGTCTGTGGCGTAGGCTGGCGAATAGAAGCAAAAACCATTTCCTACTTGCTCCAAGCCTCTTTTTTTAAAACGAGGCCGTTCAATTCGAACTTTTTGACGTGCAAATAATTTTCTCTTGTTATTCAAAACAGCTCATTTCACCTTTGCACTTGGCCTCCTTTAGAAAGCGAGGCATTTATGGAACTCGGAAATGTTCCATGAGCAAATTGCCGTGTGATATTGATGTCTAGTTCTGGTACCTCTCTCTTTTTTAAGCAACTTGCACGACAAACGGAGGAGGCACCCCAATTCTACCCATGTGGTGCACCCAATATATATTTAATTAACATACATTTGCATAAGCTTGCTGAGCGTGTGCCTAAGGCCAGTCCACACTAATGTGTTTTCGTTTGAAAATGCATACATTCCGATGCATTTAGGCCCTCCGTCCACACTACACTAATACGCTGTTTTATCGAGAACGCATCGATTTGAAAGCGTTCTTGAAAGTGGATCAAATCGAAAACGCACTGATATCATACTGGTGTTGACGGTCGAAAACGGTCGAAAACGCATCAGAATGAAAGTATCGAGAATATCGCAGGCGCGTGTGTTTGTTGTATGCGCATATTGGAGTTCAACTTACACAACGTGCAATTCTGTCTTTTTCAAACGTTTTAGTGTGAACCGTCGAAAACGCGTCAAAACGGTAGCGTGGACGCGAATCGAGCGATGCGTTTTCGATGACAACGAAAACGAATACTTTTTAAGACAGGGCAGGGCCTAAATTCACACAAATATTTGCTAATTTGCCCCGGCCCCTGAGCCGGATAAGAAATTGATAGTTAGTTTTAATTACACTTCTGTTTTAAATCCCGGGTATTTTTAGGAGTAACTGATGAAGCGTATGCACTAAGCAGTTTGCAGAGTATTAGTATGGAATTAGAGGAGATAAGGCAACGATTGTCGAAAAGGTAAGGCCTAGCTGTTAAAGATAAGAGTTTGAAATGGAACCGTGTAGTTTTGTGACAACTTTTTGGTACAATATATTTCCCAGTGTAAATTTAACGACGTAGAGTTTTGTAAGGTGCTTTCCCTTGCAAAATCTTCCTTAACGGCTTAATAATCAGAATCACTTAGCCTGGGAAAACACCCCACGTTAAGCGACAACACCTCTACTTTTCCCCGCGAAATGACGTCAGAGAAACGTACGCAGAAATTCCACACTGATGACGTGTCACTACAGAGAACTGGGTTGTGCTTCTGATTGGTTGAAATAAACGTCCCTTGCGCCACAGCACGAAAAGTGAAATTCACCTAACTTTACATGATTCCTTAAAGTTCCGTAAATTAAAGTTCATACAGGCAAACCTTTATGGATTCAGTATACATTTCTAACTGTTCTGAAGTTTAAATCACGTCCATATAAGTGACTTTTTACTGTTGGCCATAAACTCCTGTTATAAAATTCAGCTTTACAGTGAGTAAAGCTCATAAAGCTTACCTCAAAGCTTTATAAAGAGAATCTGTACGCCGCGTAAACCAATATCAGTCACTTCTTTACTGAACAAAGCTCCGTAAAGCTCCGTAAATTTGGACACTTTTCATGACGTACGCATCAACGTAAACTTCCGTAAAGTTAACCTTTACAAATAAGATGCGTAAATGTACATAAAGTTTGTCTTTACGGTAGCATTACGCCAGCTTTATCGTCCGGAACAGTAAAGTTACCATTTCGTTCTGCGCGGCGCTCGGCATGACAATCAGAAGCACTACCCAGATCTGGGTAGTGAATTTTCATCAGTATTGAAGTTTTCTGCAGTCGGTTTTCAGCAGTCATTTCGCGAGGAAATCGGTGGTGACGTCGCGACTGAAACGTCCGCTGTTTTCTCAGGCTAAGAATCACCTGGTTTGTTAAGGATATTACACATTGCCTCCAGGTAGCTTTAACTGGTGGCTAAGGCAAAACGTTTATAGTTCAAACCGGACGTTTTCAATCACCTACAAACTAAAAAGTTAAATATGCCTCCGCTTCGTGGCTTGTGAATGAACTTTTCTCGATATTTTTTTGAGCTTGTCGCTTGATTAACATGGAATAACATAGAAAGGATATAGCAAGTTAATGGCACTTTGATATTAAACACTTTATTGAAATAATTGGTGGTCTTTCTGGCGGTCAGCGAAACAATTTGAATTTTCTTATACTAATTTAAAAAAAATAGGGCTATCTTGATGTAATTACTTGAGAAAGTCCATGTGGAGTTTAAGGGAAGTCTTAAATTAACGTTGGTTCATTGGTTCTTTGATGGGCAGATGGAAATGGATTTTTAGCAAGTTCCTCCTAAAGCTCTTATTTATTCTTCGGTAACGTCTTAATCATGATGTCTTAAATAGGGAATTTAAGATCCAACGACTCGACGGCGACAAGAACGTCGCTTAAAAAGTGAATTTGAGTTTTTTCAGTCTTTATAGCTATTATTCCTACCCACTTACTTTGTCAATTGTAGGCGAACCCTCCTGAAGGTGAATTTCAAGGGACCATATTCAAGCTCAGAAAGGGAAATAAAGTTTCGTCGTTGCTTGTTTACATCCACCATAAAACGCGAAATTAGGCATTTTCACGTCGTAGTCGTGCAAAAACGGGAAAGAAATGTACAAAAACGTGTGATGCACGTGCGAAGTTGTTGTTTTGCTAATTAACCCTATTGTTTTTTTTGACGTTCTCGTTGTCATCCGCGTCGTTGGATCTAATATTTAATATTCTTCACCAAAGCACTACTTTAGACATTTGCGGATGTCCCAATTTTTGCAATAAACACCACTCTACTCTAACATCCCGTGGCTCAGTTTAAAATTCACGAATATAATACAGAGCAAATTCCCTCCTGCGTGTTTACTAATGTATTTTTTTTCTTTTTAAGTCCAATTTATATGTCTCTCATTTATCCCTTCGCCTTATGTGAAAATAAGCAATAAACTTATCCATGGCTTAATACAAATTTGGTCCGTTTCTTTCTATCAAATTTAACACCTTTCTTCTCTTGATTTTGAGTGAAATAATTTTTAATTCATCAACTCCTTTTTTCAAAACACTTGCCAGCTGCCGACCTTTCTTGATCGGCACTATGTTTACAATTCAAAGTGGACAGACTGCAAATTATCTTAGTTGCTAAAAAATATATATCTACGTGTCGCAACTGTTCATCAGTAGGATGCCTAAAATGCGTGCAATTCCACAATTGGTTTCGGCTCCATTAAATCCTATACCAATTGCAGAACATTTTAGGAGGAGCCACCCACCATGTGAGCACAGTCACAGACAATGTATAAGTGAGGAAAATAACGCAAAGTAAATTAAGACGTTAATAAACGAACTAAATGTACACGTCAATTAAATAAATAAAGAAATAATGCGCGCGCTCAAAATAAAATTGTACGCAAGTTATATTTTCCTTTATGCATAGGACGAATATTTTATCTTCAGCTTAATTAAACGAACGTCACCTTTTAATGCAGTGGAATGATATGTCATATTTCTGGAAAAAAATGGTCAAAAAAGTGTCCCCCCACTTTCTGTCCAAGCAAATTTCAAATAATAAGCGTTGTATCCGTGATATATTGCTGTCCAGTCGCATTAAAAACTACGTGTTTAATGTTTTCCTTTTCGACGTGAACTTACTGGAGAATTCAGTATAGTATTATAAGTGCTAAACAGAAGGTTATTTTTCTTGATGAAAATAATTGAATGGCATGGAGGTCCAAGTTTGCCTGATTTGCCCAGACTTTCAGAGCCGCGTAATATTAAACTAAAGTATATAATTGCTGATTTAGTCCTTGAAGTTCCTTGGCAACCAGTTCCACCGTATAAGGCAATTGTAGAAATCCTTGGACACGATCGACAGGGCAATTTTCTCAGTCTTAAATCATATTATTGTATGTGTTTTATTGAAGGCGAAGTGAGATACGGTTTTAAAAATGCAAATTGTAATGCTCTACCGTAAAAGTACACAACCTGTGTTAATTTCCGTCTTTTAACGAGAAATTGACGCCTTTGTGGCCTTTAGTGGACGTTCCAGGTCCAATCTTTCACAATTCTAAAAGAGTATGATTTTAAATTTTTGGTCAAGATCAGTACGTAGTTGCTACATGTAACTCGAGTGACAGGAGTTTTACTTTTGTTTGCCAGCGACTTTTCTTTCGCGAGAGGGGTATTTAAAGGAGAGGCAAAGCACTAAGTCGGCGAAAAATCATATACACCTTGTAGACTTGAAGGCAACGTAAAATTGCCTTTTCTAGAAATGAAGAGAAAAGATCAAGAAAACTGAGGAGGAAGGAAAAGTTCGTGCAGTATCCTATATACAAAGGTCCAGGAAAAAAAAGTCGCTGTGAGAATTTCCGAGGCCTCAACTTTATCTACAAGCACGTCCAGATGAAAATAGATTATTAGTTGTCTGCTCGTCATTGCGGCTCAATTGTTGTGATCGGCTACCTTCTGGTTTCTGGAATTAACACAATTGTTTTCTTCAATAAACTTTGCGTGAATATCTTTGGCGTCAAGATCACTTCATCAAAATTAAAAAGTCCTTAATCTATAACCAATATCAGGAACCCGTCAATCGGACATTTGATGGGCTCCTGCCAATATCTGTATTGGTAACATGAACATTACAACGGCGACACTTTGGCGCTATAGAAGTCGTCGTTCACGGAACTGAACTGAGCTCACGTTTATTTCTAAACGAACGAGTATAGAAAGACCCGTTCAAACCTAACAGTCGAGGATCGTTGTCCAGCGATATTTATTGACACAAGCGGAAAGAAAAGCTGGATATCTCTTAGTATTTGAAAGTCTGGTAGGATATATTTTTTCTGTCCTTGGCATAATTTAACTACAGAAAAGGAGTGGTTATCTGTTTTCATGGATACAAACAGTTCGGATTCCTCATCACCTGACGCATGGAGTGATCTAACCACTCCGACAATGAAATGGTTCTTCCGTCTTCTTTTCTCCGCATTCTTGTTCGTCGGTTTGTTTGGGAATGGTGTCGTTTGCCTTGCCATTGCCCTAAAGCAACGTTTACGGACAACAGCGAACCTGTTAGTGCTAAACCTCTCTGCTTCTGATTTCATTTTTATATTACTCTACACTCCAACGCAGCTCTCCTATTTCGAGCACAACTACAGCTGGGAGATGGGCGATGCCATTTGCAAACTTAGCTACGCAGTCCTGCCAGCCTGTCTGTCCTCTACCGTGGGTACCCTTTTGTGCATTGCGTTCCTTCGCTATAAAGCAGTAGCTGACCCCTTTCATGCTCGTTTTGGATTGACTTACAGGACCACTGCGCTCGTCATAACCGTTATATGGCTGTTATCTTTTCTGTCTGGACTCCCTGTACTTCTGGTCGCCAAAACCGCACCTTACAAAGACAAGACATTTTGCGACGAGGTATGGCCAGTCGGCAAACCTTACAGAGAGATTTACTGGGTGTCCATTTTTCTCATCCAGTACGCTATTCCACTGTTGATCATTCTGTTTTTGTCCATTGGGACAGTTATCAAAGTGAAGAACAGTCGTGCGCGTATCTTACCAACTACCTCCACCGCTCATAATCTAGACACATCCGTACCAAGTGCTTTGAACGCAAGTGTACGACAGCGAAGAAGACAGGAGAGCAATATGTCGAGAGTTTTAACTTGTCTGGTGATTTTGTACGCCATATGCATGCTTCCACAACACGTTGTGTTTTTCTGGTGGAGGTATGGTGATTTGCTGAAGCAGAAATACGCTTTATACATTCACACCACAGTCAATATCTTTCCCATCGCCAACAGCGCCTTGAATTCTCTTATCTACGGAAGCTTACACAAGGAGCTGAAAAATGGCCTGAAAAACTGTCTAAAATGTTCGTGAAAGCGATAGCTCCGTTTTAAACTGTATTTTAAGAAGTTTCAATTTTCAAAGGAAATAATGTTGTCCTTGTAAAGACCGTCAAAGATATTATAGATAAGTACCCAAGATGAATTCTTTACTTCTATTCATTAAAGGTTTCATGGATATACGAGACAAAAAAAAAGAATGTTTGTATTTCGAGATCAAAAGTAGACTACGAGTAGTCTCTCTTTTTTCTGTAGTCCGTCGAGCAAAACGCGAGACACGCAAATGGCCACGCGCGTGACTGATGGCGCGAGACTGCAGTCTGTTTTTTCTTCTCGGGCTGCCGCCCTCGTTTCGCGCGTCTCGCGGCTTCGCCGCTCCCGCGCGCGTGCATTGCTGTCACTAAATCTGAAGAAAAAGAGAGACTGTTCGCAGTCTAGATCAAAAGCAAACAACAAATCTAGAAATATTCAGTTTAAAGAGAACAAACTTCTCAATAATGTGCAGGCTTAATTTACAGGGTATTTTCATCATATGTATGTATGGTGTATTCTTTCCAGTGTAGCCTGTGTGATGCAGGTTATGTCGGCTACACGTGCCGACACCTACACCAACGAATTGAAGAACACAAAGGATCGGCAATCGGAAACCACCTCAGAGAGCAGCATGATATGGAGCCTGAAGACATCGCACAAAGTTTTAGAATCTTAAGAAAGTGTCAGAACAAATTTGACTGCCTTATTTTTGAAATGTTTTTTATCCAAGAACTGAAACCGACACTTAACAAACAGTGCGATTCAATTCGCGCCAAATTATTTGTTTAGAGTAGTTCTTGTTAACATTGTTTTATTTCCATTGTTTTTTGACTTTATAAATATTTTTTTTTAGCACTTTTTACATTTTTACATATTTTATCACATTTTAGCGTTCACCACATTTTTATCTATTATAACTTGCTTTTAACTTATCTATGCTAATTTAGAGAACTTTTATACACTTGAAAATGACCTCGGAGAGGTCGAAACGTCGTGATTTTTTATCGCTAATATTTATCGCAAAATCGATTTTCATCATAACATCCTTTTAAACAATGATCAGTGTCTTTCTTTTAAACTGCTTTACTTGGCTATTGTATGATCACAACCAGAAATGAGTTTCTGTCACAACCAAATTTCTACCTTGACCAATCCCTAAGACACATACAATCAAATCAGCCAATCAGATCGTGAACCAATTTTTTGTACCCTGGTGCAAAACGCGAGAAAAGGCATGTTGGCGAGCCAGTCAGAATATTAGTTTTCGTTTTACTCCTGATTGGCGCGAGATTTCTTAGCCAAAACCAAGGCATCGCCGGTTTGCAGGTGACGTCATGGCGGCCATGTAGAACAAAAGCGCTTGGTGTCCGCTGGGAAGTAATGTAAATCCGGCGGGAAAAAATGTGTTGTTTTGTCAACCAACCGCCTTGTCACGTGGTTGCAAACCAAGAACATTCACCTTACCTACATTTAAATGATTATGTAACTATTGGACTGTTGACTAAATGGTGCATCTGTATTGGCTATAGTTAGCAGTAAAGTTTTTCCCTCGATAGACCTATTTTTAGAAAGGTAAAAGAGTAGCGTAGTGATTGACGATAATTTTGTAATGCCGTATTGGGTATTTAATTTCGCGTGTACTTAATTTCGCGATTTTGGTGAGACCCCATTTCGCAGGGTTTTATTTTCGCGATTTCAACAACCAAATATGAATAAAGGGCATTAAATTTTGCGATTTCGTGTTGTCGACTTCATTTTAGTTTTCAAAAAGTCTGAACTTTTCAAACATTTTTAGATAAACTAGAACTAGAAATGTATGAAATCTTTGCAAATTAACGTCATTTGACAACCGAAGATACAAAATGGAACGTAACCATAAAACCAGTTAACAATTTGTGCATTTGTCGATGCGTCTCCTGTATATGTAAGTATTACATCTTGATAAATGTTACTCTGTTTTGAGTTTTCTGCATGGGAATTAAGTTTCGCGTGCTTAAATTTCGCGAAGATTTAAATTTACGGGTCTTTAATTTCGCGGATTTTTTACAATCGCGATAAAACGCGTTATTGAAGATCAGCGAAATCAAGTACCTCGGTTCTTACGTTTTCTGTCTTTTCGGGTTTTTTTTTTCTCTACTTTGTAGAACGTAGAAAGGGAAATCAATTAAAGGAGTTTGTCTCTGAATTTGGTGTTTTGATGGATTGTCCCTTTTATTTATTTTTAAACCTTTGACTCCTAGAAACATTAACAGTACCACTTGGAGGTTTCTGACGAGATTAATTTCAATGGCTTCCCCATGGGAAGCCATTCACCAAACTTTACCTGATTCCTTAAAATTCCGTAAAGTTCATAGGCAAACCTTCATGGATTCAGTATACATTTCTAACTGTACTGAAGTATAAATCGAGTCCATATAAGTGACTTTTTACTGTTGGCCATAAACTCCTTCAGCTTTTCGTGGAGTAAAGCTCATAAAGTTTACCTTAAAGCTTTATAAAGAAAATCTTTACGCCGCGTAAGCCAGTATCAATCACTTCTTTACTGAACAAAGCTCCGTAAAGCTCCGTAAATTTGGACACTTTTCATGAGGTACGCATTAACGTAAACTTCCGTAAAGTTAACCTTTACAAATAAGATGCGTAAATGTGCATAAAGTTTGTCTTTACGGTAGCATTACGCCAGCTTTATGGTCCGGAACAGTAAAGTTACCATTTCGTTCTGCGCGGCGCTCCGCATGACAGCATTCATTTCAGCATTCATTTCGCAAGGAAACCGGTGGTGACGTCGCGACTGAAATGTCCGCTGTTTTCTCAGACTAAGAATCACCTGGTTTGTCAAGGATATTACACATTGCCTCAAGGTAGCTTTAACTGGTGGCTAAGGCAAAACTTTTATAGTTCAAACCGGACGTTTTCAATCACCTACAAACTAAAAAGTTAAATACGCCCCCGCTTCGTGGTTTGTGAATTAACTTTTCTCGATATTTTTTTTTGACCTTGTTGCTTGAGTAACATGGAATAACATAGAAAGGATATCTTTTATGCAAGTAAGACTTATTTACTTAACCCCTGAAATAGGTATAGTAGAATGTTACGCACTATTATGCAGTTGTTCCATCGTCTTCTTTTGTTTACCTCTTTCTGTTTGCACTATTTGTTAGTATCTGTTTCACGGTTCAAGTAAAATTACTCTAATGACATTAAGATAAAAGTATCATTGAAATAATCAATGGTTTTTGTGACGGTCAGCAAAACAATTTGACTTTTCTTTCTCAAACAACAGGGTCTAATTACTTAAGAAAAATGAAAAGTCATGATGAGTTCAATAACGTTTTTATGTTGTAATTAACTTCGGTTCATTAGTTCTTTAATGGGCGGATGGAAATGGAACTTTTAAGTAAGTTCTTCCTTAACCTTTTATCTATTTGGGTTGCGTTTTAAAGAGTTAAAGAGTTTTAAATGACGATATTCAACTTCTGGAGCGAGCGTTTGGATTATTCTTACCTTGAATATCCCCAAAAAGTAGTTGCGAGCTTTACTTGAAGGCATTTATGTAAAATATTCACTTGATTTACAACCCATGTTGCCGACGTGGATTCATTATTCGTACTCAACATTAAAGAATGGTTCTTTATGCGCTTCCATCAAGATACTACTCAGACACTCACGCCTTATAACGCCTAATACGAATTAATTCAATATGGCCGCTGTATCGGTAAAAAGGTCTATTGGGATGATTTGTGAACTGAATGTACATGTTTTCTAGCCCTAGTTTTGCGTTGTTGAGCAGCGTTATTTATTTCACGCGTACACTTGGGCCCCCTTATTTGGCCCCGGTTTAAATGCGCGAGATCAAAACTCTTGAGCTAAATTGGGTTAAAAGCCGAACTTTCTATAGGAGTTTAACTCGCTGCATTGAGTTTGGGTCGACCTAAATTGTCTAGTCAAATTCTTATCATGTGTAGTACGGCTTCCCGTCGGGATAACTCCTTGCTAGCACTTTCGTGTTTACAAAAGGGGTAGTTACTCGTAGTCATTCATTTTTGTATGCATATTTTTTAGATGTCTTTGAGTGAAGGCTTTTAAAAGCTTAATGTTCTTCACGGAAGTGCTAATTTAAATGTTTGCGGGTGTCTAAATTTTCGGAATAAACACCTAATCTAACCCCCGTGGCCGCTTTCTGAAACCCAAACTGAAACCATGAGTACAATACAAAACAAATTGCATGCTGTGTTTTTTTTCTTTTTTCTTTCGTTTTGTTTTGTGTGGTAAATTTATGCCATTTAAAAACCGATATCATTTAAAGTCCAATCTACTTGTCACTCATTCTTTAATTTATATCACTTCGACTTATTTAAAGAAATATAATGGTTTTATCCATGGTTCACTACAAACTGAGACTTTTGTTTGACCCTTCTCTTTCGACCAAATTGACAACCGGCTATCTTCTCTTAATTTTAAGTGAAATACTTTTTAATTCAACTCTTTTCTTCAAAACACTTGCCAGCTGCCGACCTTTCTTGATTACTATGTTTACACGTTATATTTTCTTTTATGCATAGGACGAATCTTTTATCTTTAGCCTAATTATACGAACGTCATCCTTCAATGCAGTGGAATGATATGTCACATTTCTAGAAAAAATTGTCAAAAAACCATCCGCTCACTTTCCGTCCAAACAAATTTCAAACAATAAGCGTTGTATCCGTGATATATTTCTGCCCAGTCGCATTAAAAACTACGTGTTTAATATTTTCTTTTCGATGTTAATTAAATAGGACAATCCAGTATTATAAATGCTAAAACAAAAGGTTTTTTTCTTGATTAAAATAATTAAATGGCTTGTGATGTCCAGGTTTGCCTGATTTGTAAATACTTTCAGAGCCACCTAATATTAAACGAAACTAATTGCTGATTTAGCCCTTGGATTTCTTGGCACCTTTTTCCACCTTATTAGACAATTATAGAAATCCTTGGACAGGATCGACATGGCAATTTTCGCAGTCTTCAACCATATTTGCGGTAAATATTATGTTATGTGCATAAAACACAATTTCGCTATTGTTGAGAGTTTTATTGAAGGCGGAGTGAGATACGGTTTTAAGAATGCAAATTGTAATGCTCTACCATAAAAGTACACAACCTGTGTTAATTTCCGTCTTTTAACTAGAAGTAGACGCCTTTGTGGCTCCTAGTCGACGATAAAAGTCGAATTCACAATTCTAAAAGGAACCTATTTTTACTTGAATGTTTTGGTCAAGATCAGCGTAAGAGTCTCGCTAATTGGGGTCGAAGAGTTATATATTTGTTTGCCAGCGACTTTTCTTTCCCGAGAGGGATATTCTAACGAGGGGCGAAGCACTCGGCTGGCGAAAAATTAAAAAAAAAACCTTATAGAAAGGCAAAAATAGCCTTTTCTAGAAATGAGGTGACGAGATCAAGAATAACGGAGGTAGAAGGAAAAATACGCGCACTATCGGCGAGCTGGATATTTCCTATCTACACAAGTCCAGAAAAAAGGTCGCCGCGAGAATTTCCGAGGTCTCAACTTTATCTACAAGCACGTCCAGATCAAAATAGATTCAAGATTATAAGTTGTCTGCTCGTCATTGCCTCTTTTGTTGTGATCGACTACCTGTTGGCGGGGTTTCTTCAATACACTCTGTTTGAAAATCTTGGCTTCAAGTTCACTTCATCAAAATTAAATCCAGAAGTTCTTCATAGTCAAAATCTCTATTAGTAACAAGAACATTACAAAGGCGACACTTTGGCGACGCTTCGGCTCTAGAAAAGTCGTCGTTCCCTGAACTGAACTGAACTGAAGGGGGCGCGCTTGCGTTTATTTCTAAACGAACCAGTGAAGTCCCGTGCAAACCGAGCAGTCGAGCTGGAGAATCCAGCGATATTTTGTTGACCCAAGTGGAAAGAAAAGCACGGTATTTCTTAGAAATTGAAAGTTCGGTAGGTTATATTTTGCTATCTTTGGCAAAATTATACTACAGGAAAGAAGTATTTTGTGTTGATTCATGGATACAAACATTTCGGACTCTTCATCACCTGACGCATGGAGTGATCTAACCACTCCGACAATGAAATGGTTCTTCCGCCTCTTTTTCTCCGCAATCTTGTTCGTCGGTTTGTTTGGGAATGGTGCTGTTTGCCTTGTCATTGCCCTGAAGCAACGTTTACGGACAACAGCGAACCTGTTAGTGCTAAACCTCTCGGCTTCTGATTTCGTTTTTATATCACTCTACACTCCAACGCAGCTCTCCTTTTTCGAGCACAATTACAGCTGGGAGATGGGCGATGCCATTTGCAAACTCAGCTACACGGTCTTGCCAGCCTGTCTGTCCTCTACCGTGGGTACCCTGTTGTGTATTGCTTTCCTTCGCTATAAAGCAGTAGCCGACCCCTTTCGTGTTCGTTTTGGATTGACTTACAGGACAACTGCGCTCGTCATAACCGTTATATGGCTGTTATCTTTACTGTCTGGACTCCCTGTACTTCTGGTCGCCAAAACTGTACCTTACAAAGACAAGACATTTTGCGACGAGTTATGGCCAGTCGGCAAACCTTACAGAGAGATTTACTGGGTGTCCATTTTTCTCATCCAGTACGCTATTCCATTGTTGATCATTCTGTTTTTGTCCATTGGGACAGTTATCAAAGTGAAGAACAGTCGTGCGCGCATCTTACCAACTACCTCCACCGCTCATAATCCAGACACATCCGTACCAAGTGCTTTGAACGCAAGTGTACGACAGCGACGAAGACAGGAGAGCAATATGTCGAGAGTTTTAACTTGTCTGGTGATTTTGTACGCCATATGCATGCTTCCACAACACGTTGTGTTTTTCTGGTGGACGTATGGTGATTTGCTGAAGCAGAAATACTCTTTATACATTTTCACCACAGCCAATATCTTCCCCATCGCCAACAGCGCCTTAAATTCTCTTATCTACGGAAGCTTACACAAGGAGCTGAAAAATGGCCTGAAAAACTGTCTAAAATGTTCTTGAAAGCGATAGCTCCGTTAACTTTTAACTGTATGTTAAGAAGTTTTAATAGTCAAAGGAAATAATGTTGTCATTGTCAAGACCGTCAAAGATATTATAGATAAGTATTCAAGATGAATTCACTACAGTGGAACCCCGCCTTACGACCACCCCGTTTATAAGACCACCTCGTTATTACGGCCATATTCTTTCAAACCAAACGTAACAACCATTGAGTCATTTTATTATTTTGAAGACCCCGTTAATGCGACCACCTCGTTATTACGACCAGGATTTTATGGCCCAACGGTGGTCGCATTAACGGGGTTCGACTGTACTTCTCTTCACTAAAGGTTTCATGGATAAACGAGACAAGAAAATGGAGTTTCTATTTCGAGATCAAGAGCAAACAACAGAGCTAGAAATGTTCAGTTTCAAATGGAGCAAAACCGCTCAATAATGTGTAGGCTTAATTTAGACGGTATTTTTATCATAACATTCTTTTGAACAAAGATCAGTGTCTCTCTCTTAAGCTGCTTTACTCGGCTGTACTTTTGGCCAATCCCTAAGACATATACAATCTAATCAGCCAATCAGAATCGCGAACTATTTTTTTGTACCCGGTGCAAAGCGCGGGAAAAGGCATGCTGGCGAGTGGCGAGCTAGTCAGAATATTAGTTTTGGTTTTACTCCTGACTGGCGAGAAAAAATGTGGTTGCAAACCAAGAACATCCACCTTTTACCTACATTTAAATGATTATGTAACTATTGGACTGTTGACTAAATAGTGCATCTGTACTGGCTAATGTTAGCAGTAAAGTTTTTCCCTCGTTATACCTATTTTTAGAAAGGTAAAAGAGTAGCGTAGTGATTGTCAACAATTTTATAATGCCTTATTGGGTATTTTATTTCGCGGGTACTTAATTTCGCGATTTTGGTGAGACAGCATTTCGCAGGGATTTATTTTCTCGATTTCAACAGCCAAATATGAATAAAGGGCATTAAATTTTGCGATTTCGCGTTCTGGACTTCATTTTAGTTTTCAAAAAGTCTGAACTTTTTAAAAATTTCTACATAAACTAGAACAAGAAATGTGTGAAATCTTTGCAAATTAACGTCATTTCAAAACTGAAGATTCAAAATGGAACGTAACAGTAAAACCAGTTAACAATTTGTGCATTTGTCGATGCGTATCCTGTATTATGTTGTTAGTATTACATCTTGATAAATGTTACTGTGTTTTGAGTTTTCTGCATGGGAATTAAATTTCGCGTGCGTAAATTTCGAGAGGATTTAAATTTACGGGTCTTTAATTTCACGGATTTTTTACAATCGCGATAAAACGCGTAATTGAAGATCCGCGAAATCAAGTACCTCGGTTGTTACGTTTTCTGTCTTTTCCGCTTTTTTTCTGTACTTTGTAGAACGTAGAAAGGGAAATCAATTAAAGACGTTTGTCACTGAATTTAGTGTTTTGATGGATTGTCCCTTTTATTTATTTTTAAACCTTTGACTCCTAGAAACGTTAACAGTACCACTTGAATGTCTTCCCCATGGGATTTCATCGACATGCTCAAGAGTCACTACGGAAAAATACGACATGTTTATTGTAAAAATCAAATAGTTAGATTACAACTTTTCAGCTTTCCGTCATATTTTGTCTATCTTTGTGGTTAAAAAAGCAAAAACAAGAGAATAGGAAATCTGATTAACTTCTTAACGAAGGTGGTTGATGGAAATCTGTTCAAGCGAAAAGAAATATTATGCGTTGGCTTTTAAAACTGAAGGATGATAAACAAACTTTTCCATTTTACTTTATGCCCTGGCCTTTTTTAAATTGAAGGATGTCTATAAATACAAAAAATCAAGTTTTCCAAATTGTTTATTTTTAAAACTCACTCGTACATGATCAGTCGTAAAACCGCGGGGAGTTCCTTGTCGCGGTATGATTGGCTCCTCGTCACGGTAAACATTGAGTTTCGTTTTTCGAAACCTTTCGTTAGGGGGAACAAAACCCACCACTTTTCCTTATGGTCACTCACTGAGTGCTTAGTGATCGACACAAAAATCGTACGTCGATGAATTCATGATAAATAGAACTCATTAATCAAATGCTTTTATTGCCTAATGTGCCTATTCATTTTGTCTTCTTTCGTTATGTTCAATTTTATTTGCTCTCCTTCTTTTTTATGACAGTGAATTATTTGTGATGTGGAAGACTTTGTGGTGTTTTAGTTCGTGGGAGATTTATGCACTTCATTTGTCGCTTGTAAACAGCAGGGAAGAGGTAATCTAACGAGATATTATCCTTCATTTTATGCAAAATTACAAGTACATCTACACTAATGCGGCTGGAGGCTTACATCACCAGAGTATTTTTTTAATATTTATTTATTTTGAAAATAGGGTAGTTATTATTAATCTCGTTCCCAGAGTCCGCGTTTCCCCGTTCCCCGTTCCTCTTGACAAGGGTAACACACACTCTGGGAATTAGTTTGAGTTATCTGCTTTAACTCGAAGGGTAGGTACGGTGCGTGCGCAGCAAAGTGGCCGCTCGCGGTCTATTGGTGTTAAGGTTATTTTGCTTCCGCCCTTATTCCTCGCGGCTTCGCCGCTCGCCCCTTTCGCGTGCTCTCGATCTACTGTGATTCAAAACAAAAACAAGAGGCTGCTCGCAGTCTATAACACCAATAGCCCAATTCAAAGTTAGGATGAAAACGAGGCTACAGTTGACCTTGTTTTGACATAACCCTTCCTGCGCGCTTTCTTTTGTAAATCATGTTGTTCATATGCAAACTGTTAAACCTGGACCTCTTTCATAATGTCAGCCCATTGATAGATTCTTTTGTTTGTATGATAATTAGCCTCTCTGATCTCGTTAGCGTTGTGCAAAATACAAAAAAATTCTTACCTTCAAACGAGGCAAGAAAGGCTCATTTATACACATGTGAGAGAATAAATAAATGGGCCGTTATTATGAAAGAGGTCTATAATTTGCAAAAGGAACTAGATGAGGTTTGTTTCAAAACACGAACAAGGTCAACCTCAGCCTCACATTCAATCAAAAGCGAGGCTACCTAGCCAACAACCGCAATATGGTCCATTTTTTAATCAGGTTCTAGAAAGCTGCATAAATATACTCTGTTGGTTTCACGTTCCACCACTTACAGACAGTCACATATCTGTTAAGGTGAGACCTTTTTACCATTTTACCTTTTTACCGTTCATTTACCATTAATTTTCAAACTTTTACTAACTTAATTCTAATTTTGAAGGCCTTTGATACTAAAGCAAAGAAGTTTTCCTTATTGAAAAAAAAAATGGAAATTGAAATTATATTTTCTTTCTATTGCAGGCAGCCTTAAAAGAAATCCTTCCACCTTTGCGTCTTCTTAAGTCGAAGTCCCGGCTACAATTTGCGGATCTTCAGTACGTCTTATTTACCAGCCCTGTGCTTCATGCACCGGAATCCACCATATTGCTTGGCAGATTATTGATGGTGTTCCTGTGCGATGCGATTGGTGGGCATTTGGTTTTCAGCCATGTGGTACAAATGGCAAGTAAAGAAAATTTGTTTATATTTGTTTGTTCGCGTTAGTAATGAGGGTAGACGTCTGTTATTGTTTTTGTTAACCGTCGGCTTTTCTTAGATAAATACGGTAACACATAAACACACAATTTAACAAGTAGCGTTCTCATCCTGGCTATAGTAATGAATGACGTTTCCTTTAATACAACTTTCGGAGGACTTTCCTAGAGATGTTGGAGAGCTTCCGAATATTCTTCGAATTATTAACCGAAAAGGTGATTACACCTGGATTAAAAAAAATTGTCCTCATGCACCTACATTCTTTACCCTACTATTTATCAAAATATGACTTACTTACTAATAGCAAAAGTTTATCATGGTAACACGTAGATTTTTTTTTTTTGAAACTATGAATTTTCCTAACTGTAAGAATTAGCGATAAACAGAGACCGTTGTGGGGAACTTATTTCTTAATATCTTAGCTGGGGGAATAAAGAACGATGTTTTTTTTCCTTTCTGCTTTAGCTCACGCCAGGTTTTTCTGCTACTAAACGATTATCATTCGTGTTGGACTGCTTTGAAAACTCATCCGTAGTAAAAAATTCAGGATCTGCTCGCCCAGCTGAACAAACTGAGAAAACTCGGCAAAGTTTGGGCGAAGAAATCGTTGAACTGCTTCACGATGTAAAAAAGGAACTTTCCTGGAACAATCTACCTACCGCTGGCGGGAAAGTGACTTCGCCGGCCGAATCAGCGAAAGTGCATGAGAAGGGTAATGCAAGTAAAGATCTCTTGTGTAGAACTGAGACACTTATTGCTAATTTACAGCCATGACGGACCTTGCGGATTTATTTTACCATGATTATGAGACAGATGTGTCTGCTCCTGGTCTTTTGGTAATAATGGTATGTGACAAAAACACTCTAAACGGTGGTTCGATGTTCAAATGAGTGTCTTTCGTACTCACGTACCTAGGCTAGTCTCCCGATCAAGGCAGATAGATTAGATAGCCACGTTGTTTTAATGTAAGGATATGTGGAAAGAGTCACCCCTTGTAAAAGCTTCATTCAGTAAAGACAAGCTGAACACGTTTCAATTGGTTTCTGCTCCTTTTCAACATGGAAACTTCCACCCTTATTCCTATTCTCTCACCCGACTTTTGTAAGCGACTATCCTGTGCAAAAGGCTTTTTTGTGTCTTATGTCGGAATCAGAGTGTTTCCTTCCCGCCCCCGGCGGTATCTCCCCTGATTTGACGATAATTCCTGGATTACAGCACCGTCTCGACTTCGTGAATAAGTCGCTTTCTGTCGGAGTCGGAGTCGGGGTTTTTCCTTCTCGATCCCCGGCGGTATCTCCCCTGGTTGCACGATAGTTCCTGGATTTCCTGTTCCCGTGTCTCCTGCAGTTTCATATTCGGGAGAGGTGACGTCATTGTTTCTCTTCCATTTCTTCCCTTGAGGAGCAAAGGGTTCCCTCGTTTACTCTTCATAATTGACATGTCGCTCCTGGACGCTGAGTTGTCCGTATTTCTTCTGAATAATTCTCCTTGGTAATTCATCTTGAAGCAAACGCAAGCAAACAAACCTTTGAAGACAGCCTTAAATTCCTTGTTCAATGTCCCGTATGCTATTGCGTTTAGTGCGCTGTTGGCTATGGGAAAAATGTTGGCGATGATCATGGCCTGTTCTTTGTAACTTTTGTTAAACAACTCTCCGTATATTCCCAAGAAAGTATAAACCACATGTTGGGGAAGCATACAGATGGCATAAAGCAAAACAAGCGCAATCAACATCTTTGTGATACGTTTTGTTTGTTTAGCGCGTTTCCGTAGAGTCTTCCTAAACATTTCGCTTTGCGTACAGGTCTCCATTTTACCCTCTAGTGACGTTTTCCTCAATGTACACGCCGTTTTTCCTGCGAGAACTGAAATGGTACATAATGGGAGAAGATACTGGATAAAAAACATAGCTAGCCAGTAAACTCCTAATATAGTATCGGATGGCCATTCCTCAACACAATAGTAGACTCCAGGCTGTGGTGAAACAAGGCTTATTACAAACACAAGCGGCAGTACTGTCAGCGCCGAAACCATCCATATTACTCCTATGACGATGAACACAGGCTTGCGCGAAAGTTTTGCTTTTATTGGGAATACAATAGCACGATACCTGTCCGCCGTTATTGCTAATAAAGTACCAACGGACACTGACAAAGACAAGGGAAGGATTATGTATACAAGGTGGCACATAACGTTGCCTAGAGTCCAGTGACGACAGTTTTCCATTGCGATCATTTGTGTGGGTACGTATACTGCGACGAGTATAAGGTCATGGAAAGCTAAGTTGAAGGTGAACATGTTACAGCTGTTCTGTAGTCGCTTACGTTTGACAATTGCCAAACAAACAACGGCGTTTCCAAACGTTCCAAGTAACCATATAATTGAATAAGCCAGGCGTAAACTCCACAGCAAATACTTTGGACCCGGGTTGCATTCTGGGACAGACATGTTAGAATTGTTCATTGTGAGTATCGTAGCACACGATGTCTTTGTAGATTACTCCGTCGTGTAATAGAAAACTAGATGTCCCACGAACACAGGAGTAAAGAATCGAATCAGTTCTCCTGAAGAAGTTCTCATGTTTCGCGCGATCTAAAACAAAAGGGATCAAAGAGTTGTGAGTCGATCATTGTGTTGTAATCAATACAACGTTGTTCTTCAATTCCTCGCCTTCTCTTAAGCGTCCCCCGAGTTTGTGCTCTGTTTTATCACCATTACTAGTGTGGCCTCGTACTTCTCATAAGCAGATTGCTTTATAATTAAAAGCACGTAATGGCCTCTAGTTTGAAGACGCTGTCTTTCTAGTAACATCGATGCCTTTCATAACTACACAAAAGTAAAGAGAAAAAAATTAACATTCAGGGGCGTACCCTAGTGTTTTGGTTACTTTGTGCATGATTATTTTTGAAAATCAGACATTTATTGATTCTTGAATCTTGATTCGTGCCCTTTCCTCCTTAAGACAAATTACTAGGTAACCCAATGCAACCGACATATAGCATTTGAATGGTAAATGAGCAAAACCAAGATAAAATTCCAATTAAAATTTCATTTCTTGTGAAAGTTCAGTGAAGAGTTTTCTTTTGACTCAAAGCTTAAGGATCGATTACCAGATTTCTTACCAGTTTGTTACTGGAGTACTTCTTACTACCTTCCTTCTTAAAATCTCCAGGCAACACACAGAACGGAATTTTATAAATGGATGAATGAATGATTCCTTTTTACTAATTGGGTTGGTAAAACAAGTTTTTTTTTTTACGTAGACGTCGTTATTCCTGTCATATTTGTCGTTTGTCCGTCTCTAATATTTCTTTTCTTTGTTTTGAACGTGCGTACGTGCGCACAGGTTGCAAAATAGTCCGACTTGTTTGTAGATACAATATTGAACAAGATATTCAAAGGTGTTTAAGCAGATGTTCGTTGTCTGACATCTCTTTCAGGGGGTTTTGTTCGGAGTCGTAAACGACACGATGCCCACGCAGAGTTATGGGAAGGTCTGAGATACCATTCGAATTGATCCATGATCGCTTTTCTTTGCTTTAATTAATCTTCTTGGAAATTGAACCCACAAACTAATCTCGACCGTTTTTTTTTGTTTCTTCCTTTTAATCAAAACTCCGATAACTGCGCGAGTGTTGTTTAATTTTATTCTTAAGACCGTGGTAACTATCGCAGGATGTTTAACCTTGTGCTTGTAATTTGTTTAGCCTTGTTCTTTGCCAAGAACTGTCTCTTTTTTTATGAGCTTGTCTAAAATCCAGTTGAGCCTCTTAAGAATAGCAAAAAGCGAAAATTTCATGGTACTCTGAAATCTTATCGAATATTTTATATACCTGTGAACATTTCTCAGTCAGTCAAATCGAAATTGTGCTTTATTCTGTAGAATGTTTACTGCGCAGGGCTGGCATATGTTCACAGTATTTTTGATCTTCGTTTAAGTTCCATCTTGTGCGGTTTCGTAGATTATTGCCTAATTATATTTGTCTTCAAAGCACACAGCCGGGTCTGGATATTTCAACTTATTTATATTTTCATCATCTAAAAACTTTTCACTTGAACGAAATTTTGGCTCATCGACCTTTGTACTTTTGTGTTATTATTTTTTTAGTGCAGAAAACGAGGAGGTTTAGGAACAGAGGAGGACAATTCAATTGTCCTCCTCTGTCTTTGCGTGGCGCTGATCATCAATCTCGTAAGCGCAGGCGTCGAATGCAGGAAACTTGCCAGGCATATTTTTTTTATTTATCAATAATATTATTTTATTTTACCAGAGATATTTACTGTCTTTCTTTCTGTAATTTTACCCAGTTCAGAAATATGCGAATTGATTTTTAAAAATTTTACACATCACAAGCGATTTGCCACTCTTCGGACGTGAGCGATTTTATCTACCGCAACGACCGCGACGTGTCTTGTTATACAGGAAGTTATGAGTTGTAAGTAGAGCCGAAACTGAGCTGACATACAAGACGGCAGGTTTTCGAAATTGTATTTGAGTTTTAGAAATAAATGTGATGGGAATCATCAAGTGAATTGATCGGAATCATAAAATTCCTCAAAATGCAAATTTAGATTTAATAGCGTGTGGCTAGTGAATCTATGTTTTGGATTTCTAACTGAAAACACCAAGAAACACTGGACCCAAAATTATCCCAACTTAAGAGAAAACTTATTCCGTAGCAAAAGAATAAGAACGAAAATATTCGGAAATCGAACGAACGCGTCCCATACCAGAAAACTTTCGGCAGTTTTAGCCTCTGTTAATACTACACCGGGTTGTTTTTGCGCCGGCATGGAAGCCATACTGGATAGGGCTTCTGTTTACGCATGAGAATGGTGTTTTCGGCGCGATTTCTGTAACGGAGCGAAGCTACGCCGCGCGGATCTCTAAAGTGGAGAGTCACATATCGTGTGTTTTCACACTATAGCGGGTAGATTTTGCGCCGGCACGGAAACCATACTGGATAGGGCTTCTGTTCACAAATAAAAACGGTGATCTCGGCGCGATCTTTGTAACGGAGCGAAGCTACGCCGCGCCGATCTCTAAAGTGAAGAGTCGCATATCAAATGGGTCTTCATACTATACTGGATAGATTTTCGTGTCGTCACGCAACATAGCTCCGGTCGAGTAACGTGACGTGACGTGTAAAATCCGTTACTACTGTTCTTGTCCCAGTTGAAAACACTGTCTCCTTTTCAGACCATCTTTTCATGAACCATGAAACCATGAGGCCACTCATTAGAACTCGGAGACAAACCCAAATTTTCCTGGCTGGGAGCCCGTTGAGCCAGGGCACGCGCTCTACGCCTAGTAATCAGGATTAAGCCAAGTCTCCCAACGTTGAAGAACAAAACTTATACTTGTTCAAAAACATGGGAAAAGCAAAATGCCACCAAAACACTAACAGAAAACCCGACTTTGAAATTGACACATCGCAGCGACAAGAAACACTAACGAAAACAGAGTTTAACGGAAGACTAAATTTGCAAACGTCGGTTACAATTTTGGACAAAAACTTTGTCCCTCTATCAGGAAATAATACCCTTGGGGCACCATGCTGAGAAATGATCTCATCAACTAAAAGACGAGCGATTACTGTTGCTTCAACACTCGGAACTGGAAATGCCTCACACCAACGAGTGAGGTAATCACTGAGCACCACAATGTACCTATTGCCCATATTTGACGCTGGGAAGGGTCCCAAAACATCCACAGCTACTCTATCGAATGCACCCTCAACTGGAATTGGAAGCAAAGGCGCCTTCTTCGAATTTCTAGGCGACTTTCTCATAGAACACTCATGATCAGTACACGACTTACACCGATGCTCAACATCCTTATGCATCCCTTTCCACCAATATATCTGTTTGATTTTAGCAAACGTTTTATGTACACCAAAATGCGCACCGGAAACATGATCATGGACGTTGGACAATATTTCAAACCTCAACGACGCTGGCACAACATGCTGAGAAAATGAGTCATAAGAATTACTCCCGCGCTTAGAGTCTAAATGGTAAAGTAAAAAGCATTACTGGTGAGCAAAACCTTACGCGCGTCACGATCATCAAATGGTAACACATCGCTCTCAAGAAAATCAATAATCTCACTCAACTCGACATCACGCCTCTGCATTTCTCGAGCCTTTGAAACCTGTGGATCGTCCCTCTGGAGGGAATTGAACTCAGATGTTACATACGGACGCCTAGACAAACTGTCGGCGTTACCGTGAACCTTACCGGGGCGATGAACTATCTCAAAGTCATACTGTTGAAGAAGTAAAGCCCATGTAGCAAGACGACCTGACGCATCCTTAACATTCATTAGCCAACGCAAAGAGCTATGATCTGTGACAACTGTAAATCTACGACGGTGAAGATAAGGTTGAAACTTTTTAATCCCCTCTTCTCTTTCAGTCGTACTATAATTTTGCCCTGCTTGATTCAAACTACGCCCATTATATGCGATCACTACTTCTTTTCCATTTTGAACTTGACCCAAAGTAAAACCAATTCCCGTAGAACTTGCATCAACGAGCAACAGAAAGGGCTTGCAGAAATTGGGATATGCCAAAACAGGAGCAGAAACTAAAGCACGCTTCAACTTATCGAAAGCGACTGCACATTGTTCTGACCACTTGAAAGAAACGCCCTTTCTAGTCAACGCATTCAAAGGGGCAGCAATATGAGAACAACCCTTAACAAAACGCCTATAATAGTTAGCAAGACCCAAAAAATTCCTAAATTCTTTCAAATTAGAGGGCGTAGGGAATTCCTGTACAACGCGCACTTTGTCAAGATTGGTGCTAATACCATCCGGAGTCACAATATGGCCAAGATATTCAACCTTTTGCTTAACGAAATTGCACTTCTTTGAGTTAAGCTTGACATTAGCTTCACGAAGCCTTTTAAAAACGTCCTCCTGGTGAGACAAATGCTCTTCAACAGCTATAACGATACTATAACGATACTCTAATCCTCTTAAGATATGCCCCATAAGTCTCTGAAAACTGGCTCCCGAATTACTTAATCCGAAAGGCATGGTGAGAAATCATAAAGACCATTATGTGTGGCGAAAGCTGTTTTTTCCCTTGAGCCAAAATTCATTTGAATTTGCCAAAAACCGCTTTTTAAATCCAGACAAGAAAAGAGACTCGTGCCTGCTAAAGAGTCCAGCACATCTGCCACCAAAGGCATCAGAAAGCTATATATAGTTTAGTGACCTTATTAAGCTTTCGAAAATCGACACAAAATCTGTACGACCCATCCCTCTTTTTAACCAAAACAACTGGAGAGCTCCAGGGAGAAACAGACTCTTGAATAATTACATTCTCAAGCACTTCGTCCACTTGACGGTCAATCTCTTTCTTAACATCAGGAGAAGCTCTGTATGGCCTTTGCTTAATCGGCATAGCATCACCAGTATCTATGACATGCTGAACAAGGGAAGTCCTACCCAATTGATCCCCAGGAAAAGCAAAAACATCACGATACTTCTTGAACAAATTCCGAAACTTTTAAGTTTCGGAATTTGTTGTTGTGATAGAATTAAAATTCTATCACCATCAGACAAAACACTCTCAGACAAATCAGGCAATTCAGAATAATCACATTGTTCGAACTGGTCACTGCATGAATCAGGCAAAGACGGATTCCCTTATCGGATCCGAAGCAGCTATCTCAAAAGTCGCAATGTTTTGATCTACATCCTCAAAATTAGCCAACCGAGTCCTACGGTAAATCTTAAGAGACTGAGAGGAAGGGTTTACTTTTCTTACAGGAACTGTTCCATCATCTGCAACACTGACAAGCTCTGAAGCTCCAAATACTCAATACCTGTGACAAAGATTAGTCTTCGGGGCTAACACACTATTAATACTCACCACACTTGCTGGCAAATCATCTAGCCTACCTGGCACCAGAATTTCAGACTGAGGTGGAATAACGAATGTACGTGAGGCATGCACCGGAGAAATAAACGTTTCGTGAGGATTAACAACATCATCTAACTGAACATCCTTAAAAGGCAAAGGATCAGACTCAGGGAAAAAAACTCACCATTCCATTTTCAAAATCAACTTTGAAACAAAATTTTTGTAGAAAATCTCTACCAAGAATTACGTCGCAAGTTAAATCCTCAATCACGTGCACCTCGAAAGGAAAAGCATGCAAATCAATAACAAATTCCACCGACAACTTCCCAATCGTAGTCAATTGACACCCATTTACTGAAGTCACACGTTCTGAACTACACTTGTCCAGACCCGGATAAGCGTGACTCAAACACTCACGCCACACTTTTGCGTTGACTGCCGTGAAAGCAGCCCCAGAATCTATCAAACAATAAAAATTGTGACCCGCTATACTAATAGGCAAAGTAGAATTTTCGGCCACGAAAGGAACACAAATACCATTAATAGTATCTAATTTTAGTTTATCCCCTACACTCGGAGAATTAATCAACAAAGCGCCCGCAGGCGAGCCAACCTCACTTCGGGTCAGCGTTTTTGTTTCACCACCAAGAATACCCAAATCATCGACTTCCGAAGACCCAAATGATGCTCTTTTAATATTCACTGCATTACCACTTGAATACACGTCGCTATCACTTATCTTATTGATCAAAACATCTTCAGAGACAACATCTTTAACCGTAACATCACCAACATCTAACGGATCAACAACTATAACATCGAACTTTTCAAAAGTTAATTTGCCTTCTTTGGGAACAACGCATTTAAAATTTTGGGGCTTTTCTTGTTTCAATTCCCCCAAAAACATTTGGGACATTCCTTTCCAACAGAGGAAACCGAAGAAATTGGCGAATTCGTGCTGGAATAAAAACACTCACTTTTGTTATGAAATATGGACGGTAGATTGAGAACATCATTGATGCTTGTGACAATTCCTTCAAACAACTCTAGTATTTTAATAGTGATAGCAAAAATAATTGTTAAGATTTTCAACACACGTGCCTTGCTTAGAAAAACTATTTTGACTTAACTGCGAAAATTGACAAACGTCTGACGATTCAAAGGTTGTTTTGACGAAGCTTCGTCTCTATCTTTACCAACAACTTTTCCATCAAATTTTTTTTTCGCGATAACAGAAACCCCATCAGGACGCACTTTACTGAAAGCAGATTTATCAGTTTTGCACGCCCCGGACGATAAATTTAAACTCTTTTTTGTTCAACTTTTGAAGCCCCCATCACGGGTTCATTTTTCAACGAGACAGGGGCGCGACTTGATTAGATTGCCAACTCCTTGACCTTTAAAAATAACTCTGGGCTCCTCGAACAACAATTTGATTGATGGCACAAAACGAGAACGCAAACCTAAAGGCTGTTTATAGCGTTGATTAAAACTATATCCTACTGGAACCGATTTTGTTTCATTTCAGACTTACTCACAAAGGGCTCTCTTTGATTGATGGCACTAACTGCGAGTGACATATCCTTGGAACCGATTGCCTTTGAAAGCTCCTCTAATATCTTCGCAGACACTTCCTTTAGGACTAAATTCCTCTTTTTTAGCGACTCTTTTAACTTTGCATAATTTTCAGCCACCTTCAAACTCTCAGGCTGTTGCAAAACTACATACTCACGAATTTCGGGGAGAAGCCCCTGAACAAAATAATGCGTCCATTCAGTTCTAGGCAAGTTTATTCTAACACAGTGAGTACGGAGACTATAAGAGTAGTCAGCAACAGATTCTTTTTCTAACTGCTAACGCTGGCCTAGTGCCTGCCTTACGCGCCACTCGCTGGCTCCGGACCCAACATGAGTAACTAACTCCTCGGATAATTCATCAAAAGACATTTCATCTGGTGTAGGCAACGTGTTAAACCACAAGCTAGCATGACCCTTTAAATAGAGTGGAAGACCCAAGGACAAATTAACGTCGTCCCCACCATTCAAACGACCAGCTCTTTTATAATTCCTAACAAGAAGACGCCCGAAGGCGTTTGCGCGGGATGTGTTGGTGTAATCTTGCTTTACCCTTCTTTGCTGACGCAGTATCTTTTTTCTTTTTGTGCAATCCAACCTGACTTGCACGTGATTCGAAGTTGCAGCCAATAAAGATCACACAATTTTATCGGGACGGGCTCGGGATACGGGAAAGTAAAAAAAAACAAGGCAATTTTTGACTCCCAAGACGATGAAAGGAATGCGCTCCCGAATTTTTAACGCTGGCTGACTACGTCATCCCGCGTAACAAATTCATGAACATCCTCGCACTCATCAGCCCTAAAAACTGGGAAAGTAACTGACGACTTAACGCTGACGTTTCTACTTTGTGAGTTAATCGACGCCTGCATTCACTCAACTGCCTGACACAACTGATTAACCTGATTTTCCATCTCGGCGGAGGCTGGGGCAAGAGACAAATCACCTGACTCCAAAGCACTAAACTCACTATCTGACGATGAATCGCTATTACGCTCAGTTGAATCAACACTTATATTATCGCGACTAGCGTTAATTTCATTCGGCACTACGTCCTCGTAAATTACCTCCTCTTGCGAATTTAGGCTCTGATTGCTAGAGCATCAAGATATAGAGGAACCTTCACTAGGAGTTGGAATTGCACTTAACGCTTGAGCCTCGGCCCTATTAGACCTAACTGACCTTAAAAACGAGTGAAACAATGATTCTCTAGACTGAGGAACGGGTGGAGCAGGGGCAGGCCACTCATTAGAACTCGGAGACAAACCCAAATTTTCCTGGCTAGAAGCCCGTTCAGCCAGGGCACGTGCTCTACGCCTAGTAATCAGGATTAAGCCAATTGTCCCAAAGTTGAAGAACAAATCTTGTACTTATTCAAAAACATGGGAAAAGGAAAATGCCACCAAAACACTAACAGGAAACCCGACTTTGAAATTGACCCATCTCAGCGGCAAGAAACACTAACGAAAACAGAGTTTAACGGAAGACTAAATTTACAAAGAAAAACGACGCATTACAAATGCCAAAAAGAACTAAACTACCTTGCAACAGAAAGGCATGCTAAAAATAACAAAGTTCCACTCACAATCGTCTTCTTTAAGCGGATTCTCCACCAAATAAGTTAGGGGTTTCTTCGACGGGGACAGCTCTTCTAGCGAGAGTACTCCAGGACTCTGACAAAGCTTTGATACTTTCTTCCTTTAATTACTGGCGGCAACACAAACGTCTTCAGCTCAGCTTCTTACAACAGCTAATCACACTCTCCTAAACATCCAACTATACAACTTATATAAGCATAACGCAGGTACGTTTAGGGTTGCTGATCGTGAGAGTTACGAACGCTATTCCGAATGACTTCTAACGAATTTCCCGTTGTTAACAAAAGTGGAATAAACAACCCTACAAGAAAACCAATGAAAGCTCGAGAGCTAAATCCACGAGACTAAATCTTAAACCAAAACAGGAACTCTCATGTAGGTAATAATCAAGGTCAGCAATAGTCCCAAAACGTACGCACTTAAAAACTGACAATCAAACTTAATTAAACCCCAAGCTTGATGACACTTTTGTCGACAAACCCATTAAAAAGGTAATAACACTCAAAAACCTGTTAACGCATATATTGGTTAACCGTGATCCTCAAACCCAAACATAACGAAACTCAAATCACGAGAAGAACAAAGAAGAAACAGAACTGTCATCCAAACATCCTTATGATAATAATGTCAAAAACAACCACAAAACTACTTCATAACAGTTAAGTAGTTCATAGACAATTTGAGTCCACTCCTAGATTGTTCTCAAATTGCTAGACCTGTTCTAGCACTTAATTTTGAGAAGGAGATCCTCAAGTGCCCGTGTATGGGCTTCTAAAGTGCGTGATAACGTGAAACACTGTGGCTATATGGCCGGTAACCGGTCAAGGTTTTCAAAACACTAAATAACCCGCGGCAGTCCGGTATTTTCAATAAATTTGACTTAATATCTAAGAATCCCAGCCAACCAAAACTATCATATGTCGGTCACGAAAAGTCAAGCGATCCTGAAATGCTTCAGAGATCTCAAGAATAGCTTTTGCCTGGTTAACCGTGATCCTCAAACCCAAACATAACGAAACTCAAATCACGAGAAGGACAAAGAAGAAACAGAACTGTCATCCAAAAATCCTTATGATAATAATGTCAAAAACAACCACAAAACTACTTCATAACAGTTAAGTAGTTCATAGACAATTTGAGTCCACTCCTAGATTGTTCTCAAATTGCTAGACCTGTTCTTTTCAATAAATTTTAATTTTGAGAAGGAGATTCTCTCAAGAATGCCCTGGTTAACCGTGTCCTCAAACCCAAACATAACGAAACTTCACGAAAGGACGTGATAAAAAATCTTGAAACGCTGTGGCTATATGGCTGGTAACCTGTCAAGGTTTTCAAGACACTAAATAACCCGCGGCAGTCCGGTATTTTCAACAAATTTGACTAATATCTAAGAATCCCAGCCAACCAAAACTATCATATGTCGGTCACGAAAAGTCAAGCGATCCTGAAATGCTTCATAGATCTCAAGAATAGCGTTTGCATGGTTTACGCTCAGAAAAACGAAACCATGTTTTGTGACACTTGTAACTTTTTTCAGGTCGACTGCCGGTCAAGGTTTTTCAAACACTAAATGACCGGCAGTCCTATATTCTCAGTAAATTTGACATATCAAAAAAATCCAGCTAATCTAAACTATCATATGTCGATTAACAAAAGTCAACTGCGATCCTGAAACGCTTTATAGATCTCAAGTTTAGCGTTTGGTTTACGCTGGGCTCAGAAAACGAAACCTTATTTTGTGACACTTGGAACTTTTTTCAGCTTCTTCTTTCCTCTTTCCTCTTTCCTCGTTCCTCTTTCCTCTTTCCTCTTTCCTCTTTCCTCTTTCCTCGTTCCTCTTTCCTCTTTCCTCTTTCCTCTTTCCTCTTTCCTCTTTCCTCTTTCCTCTTTCCTCTTTCCTCTTTCCTCTTTCCTCTTTCCTCTTTCCTCTTTCCTCTTTCCTCTTTCCTCTTTCCTCCTGCCGGTCATTTAGTGTTTTGAAAATCTTGACCGTCAGTCGACCTGAAAAAAGTTTTAAGTGTCACAAAACATGGTTTCGTTTTCTGAGCCCTTAGCGTAATCCAAACGCTAAATGTGAGACCTACAAAGCGTTTCGGCGGTTTGACTTTTCTTAATCAACATATGATAGTTTAAATTAGCTGGTTTTTTCGATTTGTGAAATTTACAGAAAGACAAGACTACCGGTGTTTTAAAAATCTTGACCGGTTACCGGCCATATAGCCACAGCGAACTTGAAAAGTACAACTTTCTTATTATTTTACTGGATGCCTATTGAAATATTATACTTTTCAAGTGGGGTTTGAACATTCAAATATGTCCTGTCACAGACGCTCAAGAAAAGCCACCGAGCATTTCTTTCTTGTTGTACTGTTTCTTATGCTGTACAAGGTGGTTCTAACTTTTGTTTCGGTGCATGAAACCCTGACGTGTGATCATTCAAAATAAGGGTAATTAGCAGTATTTTGCTGTGGTACTGTTTGCTGAATTGTACAAGGTGGTTTCATCTTTTGGTATTCTGGTCTGATCTGTTGATGAAATCGTTAAGTATCGCCTAGCAAATGAAACAGGGCACTCACCATGAGGAACTGTCCGCCGGCGCTGTTTATTATGCTGTAAATGTGGTTTTACGGACCTTCGAGTATGGACACATTCCTCAAAAAGGACCAGTTACACAATATTGTTTTTGCTATTCAACAAATACGTGAAATTAATTTTTTCCTAGTTTTTACTTTGCTTGGGTGAGGGAATATAAATGTGCTGTTTTCATGTAAACCAGTTTGAGCTGCGTGAACGGTTTTACACTGGTTTTCTTATACCTAATTCTTCGTACTTCTTCATATCACGCCTTTCAAAATATTAAAATTTCACATTTCCTATTATAATATGAACAATCATGAACATTTAACTATCCACAAACCTAGCGAAATTGGATCAACACTTTTTTTTATGTTTCGTCGACCAAGGCAAATAGCTTGTTGCATTTGCTCAGAAGTGAAAACTTCTAGTTTTCAATCTCATTGCTGTGTTATGAATTTACGTTCCTAATGATTGAGCTGAGGGATTGAGTGTGGGCGATATACCGTGATTCAGTTTTAAATGCAATATGCATCAAGCTAATATGCCAAGCCTTCAAATATTTACTACTTTCCCTGTTTGTGCACGCAGAAGTTGAAATGCGAATACATTTGTAATGTTTTAACTTGCTAAGCTGTGTTTACTCTACCTTTTACACCTGCTGGGCTTGGTTACTACAGAAATCTAGCGTTCGATTATCGCTTATTATTACCCGAACGTGCGTGATAATTTCATTATCATCTTCGGAATCCATACGTCCAATTTTAATTTATTGTGTTATTACTTTATGTATGGCAGCTGCCGATCGATAAAATGTTTTAAAAATAAAATATGCGTCGGAGTGAGGGATTATTTACTGTGAAATGTCTAGTTACCGAAGTAAGGCCATGAAATGGAATCGTTATCAACAGCAAATTGTGTCAAAATGTAATTTCACGTAGTGGGTTTCCATCTCCTAAGTGTAAAAACAATTAATTTTATACAGGATGGGTGTTAAGATCGAAAGCTATTTACATTTTGTACAAAATGGTACTTCTGTTTCGGTTTTGACATTTTGTTTTCAAATTTATATTAAAGAATTAAAGGAAAAGTTAATGGTAGTGATTTTTTTCTAAAACCAATTACCTTTCTAGCAATGGCAGGTGACCTTGTTGCTCGGTCGTAAAAAGTAACGAATAATTATTCAGAATATTGTGTGCGTTTAGTCGCCAGAATGTCGCTGAATGACCCAACTCATGTCACTTTCAAGGAGAATCTTATTTCATACAGTGGAAATCATTTGAGTTGATTCTAGTTTGTTTTTCATCACTTCTGATTCTGGGTATAAATCCTATAAAACTTTCACATCATTGGTGCTATCCTTTTACGTTTTGTTTTAGCCTTTGAGGCTGTTTGTGAAATCGTAGAGTGTCGGACGGCTGAAGGCTACTGAACGGTACTTTCCTTGGTACTGTTTATTATACTGTACAAGGTGACTCTAACTTTCTAGTCTGTGGATGAAATCCTATGATGTGACCACTCAAATGAAAGCTACTGAGCAGTACTTTCCTGTAGTACTGTTTAAGGTGCAGGTTCCAACTTTTGGGTCGGTTTGGATTTAAAATTGTATTTAAAAGGATGAAATCCATAAGTGTGACCATTTAGATGAAACCTACTGAGCAGTTCTTTTGTGCAGTGCTGCTTATCACGTTTTACAAGGTGACTCTATTTTTCCCAGTATTTAATAAATGAAACGCGGAGTTTTGTCGAATTGTGCTTTGGTGGTAAAGAGTGAAATTTAAAAACAGAATTTGTGTGGTTGGAGGAATAGCATGGCAAGAATTTAAATGGGTCATACGTACAGTTGATTGAATTTTTGCTTTTTACAGGAGGTTAAAAAGAAAATTTATCTATCTTGCGGTACTGATCAAATTCTTTTTCTTACTTTCTTGCCTTTTTTAGCCAATGTTAAAAGTTACATTCATCATTCATATGCATAAACTGGTACAAAGGAATTAAACATTCTTTTGGTATTCGGATAATTGTCACTTGAATATAAATCTTAAAACTTTTTGTTGTTAAACGGTCGATAGATATAATATACACTCATTGTACTCACCTATATGCCTATCCCTCATTCAGTTTTATCGTCGAGTGCCAGTTTTTATAATTTACGACCAAGCTTACAGCCGTTTTCGAACTTACTTCGTTGTGAATGGTCAGTAAACTGGCCACCGTAGTCAAAATATTAAGCGATTTTTGTCGGAATTCTTTCTTCGTATGACTCGACGCGCCGCTTGCCCAAATAAACGCGACAGTTCCAATGTCCTAAATCAACGGACCTACTATACCTCTCATTTAATTAAAATCCCTTAAGCTCTATTGGCTCGTCAAAAATGACTGATTTAACACTTTGTAATTTAGTTTTGGCTGCTTTCTCATTTAAAGAGCAGTCGAATATGTGTTTATGGCGTTGTCAAAAATTTACCTGCCATGCGTAAAAATTGAAAGAACAAAAAAAATTCAGAACAAGGAAATTCATTAGCTCGTTGCCTATCAAAACGTTATGTCTATTCTCTTAATACGACATTTTCACTTGCGGTTTTTTCCCTTTAATTTTAGTTGCCAACAACAACCCAAGCTACAAACGGTGCGAAAAATTAATAAGACGATTTTGCGAGGGTCACGTAGACTTTCGATTAAAGAATAAACAGCTTATTAGAAGGTTAACTTTATATCCTTTGCGTAGATCGGTCATCATAACCCTGAAACTGAGGAGAAACTGACATGAACAGATTTTTTTGCTAGTCGCTTGTCTACTCGCTAATATAAAAGCCTGATAAAGCTGATGACGAGTCTCTATGTCAATATGAATGTAATCCTCTACCGGGAGTCTGCGTTTTGCTAGACGCAAATATAAGTCATTTATATGCGTAAGCAAAGAAAATTACCGGTCGTTGCTAACTCAGAAAGTAAATGTAAAGTTCTCCGTAAAAATAGGCTTATTAGAAATCAAGAGTTTAGACAAAAATTAAACCAGTGTTTTAATATTTGAAACGACACTGAAAAACATAAACTGCGACCGAAAAGCGACTCTGCAAGACCTTTCTTGACATTATAATCCAGGTTCGAAGATCGGTAACTAAATTTAAATCCGGAATATAATTATCATTAATTTATCCAGCTCACACGAGAAAGCGCATCAATGAGCAAACAATCAAGGATGAAAATTATATATCTATTTCTTCAATGCTTCCGCTTTCGTTTAGTAAAATTTTACTGTAAAATCATTGTTCCGGTTCCAATTTCTAGTAATTCACTTTAATTCGTTTCATTGCCACAACATAGTCCTTGAGTTTGCGCGCTTTAGGTCAGCGGATACTGAACGCAGAAAGGATGGTCTTGTATTAAAGCCTTAATCTAACTGCAGTCCTTTTGAGACTGAAGTATCTCGTGTCCACGCCTTATCTGCTGTAAATGTAACACACTGCGCTGTATTTTGTAATACAGTCAATTCTCTGCATTCGATTCACTCAATGCGTTTGATTCGCGGTGTGGCCACAAGGATCGCTACTCTGGAGACGAGTTTTGCCCACTCCACAACGCCGACGCAAGCTCTGAATGTATGTGTTCTCGATAATACTGGCATTTAAATGCGCACTCTCTCTGCGCAACAATTTGCGCACTCGCAAAATGTTGCTGCGAGATTTTTCTACAAGAACTCTTTCAAGACGATATTAGTTTTTTCTTGGCCTTCAACGTCCGTTACTTCCTCGACATCGCGTTTCCGCCAGCACCTCAATCTTATACGTAGTTTCCACTTTCTTCTTAGGAGTCTCTTGAAGACCATCCCAAATTCCTTGTTCAAAGTTCCGTAAGCAATCGGATTCAACGCACAATTAGCCATGGGGAAGACATTTGAAAATCGGAATATATACATTTTGAATCCCATCTGCTTGAGATTACCATACTCCATCCAAAAAAACACTACGTGTTGAGGAAGCATGCATATAGCATAGATACAGACAAGTGCAAAAAGCAGTTTTGTTATCTTGGCTCCTTGATGCATTCGCCGCCGAACGGCTTTCGTTATTACGAGCGATCCTCTTCGCCTGTTAAACAGCGTGTTTTTTCTTAGTCTCCAAGCAGCAATAGTTGATAGAATAATAATAACAGCAAGCGGAACAACGTACTGGAGGAGAAATATTGAGATCCAATAAACTTTGTCGATGTTAGAACCGTCCGGCCAACCTGGTTCAGAGCAGTAGGTTTGTCCATTTTCATAAGTCTCTGTTCCCGCGACAAAAATGATGGGAAGAGCTATGAAAAGAGACGTTATCCACATAACAGCGATTATTAGCTTAATTTTCCCCATGGTAAGTTTGGGTTTCATCGGATAGACCATGGCTCGGTAGCGATTCACTGTTATTGCTAGTAGTGAGCCGATAGATGCAGACAGGCACAGTGGTATTATGATATACGCGATTCGACACATTGTGTCGCCTAAAGCCCAGTTGTGACCGTTCTCGAATGCTGTCATCTGAGTAGGAACGTAGATTATTACGACAATGAGATCGGCACACGCCAGGTTGAAAGTAAAAAGGTTATTGCTGGATCGTAAACGCTTGCGTCTAATGACCGCAATACACACGACCACATTTCCAACTATTCCAAACAAGAAGACAAGGATGTAGAGAAGACGTAAAGTCCACCTCATCGCAAGAGGCTCAGACCAACTCTCCATTGGCTTGGTAATATTTTCAAAAGTTAAAGATGAATTCACGTCGGGCATGTTTAGAGTGCTAGTTATAATAGTTAAATCGGTTACAATTCAATCAAAAGGCAATCGCTTTTGAATTGCATGTTTTTCCAAAGGCAACTTGTTCGGCAAACTACAAAAGCCTAAGCTTTATCTTGCATGTAATTCATAGTAAAAAGCTTTTTCAGTTCTTTCTCTAGAAACAAAGAAATTTAATATTTCGAATCTGTGGGAGGCTTACCAAGAAACAGCGCTTCTATCGGGTTATTCTGGATTAAGAATGTACAGCATTTTATTGACATAATTCGCAGTAACTACAGTATAAACTTATGTTCCTTATTAAATATATCATTTCATTTACAAAAATACGACGTAAAATAACTCTATTTGTTGTTTTTGGCAGTTATAATAAATCAAAACTACCGATGGTAATTCCGTCTCATTTTGAACTTGAATATATTATAAGGGAAAACACAGTATTGTTTTAATATTACAAACTTTTCATTGTTATGACAAAGTCCTCTTATTGTCTTTGTAGAAGGCGGTTATAAGTGAACTTAGTGAGAGTTTAGTCACTCCCCCGTCGCGATTTTAATTCCGGCGTCTTTATCATTCTCTAGCAGAATATTTTCTGAAGACGACACTGCGCCGTGGGAACGACGCAAGTGTTGTGTCCAACTTAGCATTTTATCAGGTGTAATTCTGTTTGAAAGACAGACAAAAATAAACCACGCTTACCAGCGGGTTCGTCAAGTGATCGATAGCATGTACAGCTGGGCATCTGTCCTCTTTTTATTTGTTAGCTATACTTTTCAAATTCATCATTAAGTGTGACCATTCAAAACTGTTTAAGATTGCTGAGCAGTAATTCTCTATTGTGCTATTTACAAAGTTGTACAAGGTAGTTGTGACTATCTTCCGACTGTTAACTAAGTTCCACTTTTTGAGCAATTCAACAACAAAAGCCGCTGCGTAGTACCTTCCTGTGGAACTGTTAATTACGCCTCACACGAGTCCGTGAATAAATACTAAAGGGTGGCCATTCAACTGAAAGCTACCAAGCAGTATTTCCAGTGGTGCTGTTTATTATGCTCTACAACTTTGAAGTTCGTGAGGTGATGTTTGTTTATATGTTAAAAAGAACTGCAGCCAAAGAGGCAATCCCTGGATGGTGAATGTCAGGGCGTTCTGTGCTTACTGGTTTGACGAGTGACATTGTTGTTGATAATGATGATGATGATGATGATAATGTCGTCCTGAACTGCTACTTGAGTATGACTATATATGGAGACCAATGGAATTTACCGTCTCAATACAATAATTAAGTTATGTTCGCATTTCGGAAGTTACAACTACATAACAAGTGTCTTTAGAATTGACTCCGGCAGCGAAAGAGTTTTCTTTCAACTCGTTGGTTAGGGCCTTTGAAGTTCGACTCGGTAGGAATGTCGAATGGAATGTCGTTCTGGATTGGAGGACAACAAGACGCGCCCTCTGATCTGTACATTATATATGAGGCTGATTTAGCAACAGGACGGAAACGTCAGTTGACGACGGGAAAGCACGCGGAAAGGACTAGACACGATTCCTGGTGACCAATTGCCGCTCAGCCATTGGTCAAGCCAGTTGTTATATCTGCGCGCGCCGTCGTCAACTGACGTTCCCGTTCTGTTGCTAAATCAGCCTATTAGTAATGGTAACAGGACTGAGTGGAGTCCAATTCGGTCTGTAATCATACGAGTGATTAACAAAATCGGACGACCGCGTAGCGGGAGTCCGATTTGTTTAATCACGAGTATGATTACAGACCGAATTGGACGACACGAAGTTCTGTTACCAATTAATCATAACTTTAACAAAATTTGTGATACAATAGGCTATTTTTTAAACCAAAACACAAGAAATTCGAAATTTTGTTTTGCTAGCAGTGAAAAAAAAAGCCATTTAAGCGCGCGCGTGATGGCGCGTACTGTCCAATTACTTAGGCATGACGCGTACTGTCCTATTAAACTGTCCAATTAAGGCTGAAATCAGGGCAGTTGAGAGCCAATCAGATTTGACAATTTTGTTATAGTTATGATTAACATGTTAACAGGAAGCTCGGACGTCAGCATACAAGTGCGGCATTCGAAACCGCTATTATTTATGAGCTCACTGTAACCCACCATAGCCCATGATATGAATGATGCGTTATGCCTGATGTGTGAAAGGTAGACCACACCACCGGGGAAATTTCCCCCACCCTTTTCGAGCAGTACTGTGGGTCCTTTTACGTCCCGGCTTTGATTTTGACTAATAGTAGGCTGATTTAGCAAGAGGACGCGAACGTCAGTTGACGACGGAAAAGCGCGCGGAAAAAACTAAACACGACTTCCGGTGCCCAATTTGCCGCTCTGCCATTGATCAGGCCAGTTGTTTGATTTGCGCGCGCCGTCGTCAACTGACGTTCCCGTTCTTTTTCTAAATCAGCCTAATGAAAGAAGGATAACGGAGTCAAGGCCAACGGCTTAACGTCAACGCCCAAATAACGCGATCATCTAAACTGAGAAAAGATCTTAAATCACAGGCAGCATGATTTCACCAGTTTTTTAAGGGGTCCGGCCGGGTTTTGAAGCCACGACCTCCCGCTCGGAAAACCGGTGCTCTTCGAACTAAGCTAAACGGGCGGTGTTTAGAAAACTATGTTTTACATTAATTCAGTATGTGATAACGACCACTGACAAAGATGGATCAGACCGGATCGGATCAACCCTTGTTACACTATCCGATCCCTAACCTTTAGACATTTCGGGAGTCAGACAGGAGTTACTCTGATCTGGTCCGATCCAGGTTTTGTTGACGCCTGGTTAAGACGCCGTTAAAACACGAGCAGGACATTCTCAACGTTTAACAATCTTGAATGAAGGATACTTTAATTTGTATTCACCTTATGTACACGTATTGGAATGCTAATATAGGAACGGAACGGCCCTGAACCCAGAACAGCGTGAACTTAAACACGCTGCATTGTGCAATTACATGTAATTAGCAAGCGTAAGGGTGCACATTATTTGGGGGATGAGGCGTTTTTACCGACCACGAGTATGCGCATGCGTGCTCAGTAACAGAGAGAGTATATGTTCATTAATAAACTGATTATGCGTTTAGTGTATAGCAGTTTCACAGAGTGAAATGTCACATTATTTTTTAAGAGCTCCTGGCCTCTGCCTTCAATCGTGCCTCCTCGATGGATTGAAAGCTTGGCATTCCATTAGGAAGTTCCAGAAGAGCGCGTTCCTCTTGCATGATTTTTTCAGCTTCATCTGCAATTAAACATAGACCATTAACACTCTATTATTTTACTCAGACCAAGTGCATGTACATGAAACCTATTCTAACGTACACACTGAGGGACTAAGAAATAGCTCCTTATAATGGCAGGAAAGGCGATATTTGATCCGCAAGCAGGGGCTACGTTTTTGCAATGTGTTCTTGAAAGTGAAGACAATATGGTGACAAAGTAGCCTCTGCTCGCATGTTATGGCACAGGACCCCATGATAATGACTCCTATCCCATACTGAATATACAATCATAATCAGCTATGGTGAAGAATTGTGGTTTGTTATACAGGGGTTTTGCCAGCCTGCTTTTACTCTGTGTTATAAAGAGCACAGGCAGCACAGGTGAAGTTTTGTTTGTTTGTTTCATAAGGTAGAAATATCTAGCATGTATTTTGAAATATTTCAAACAAAGTTTAGTTCCATTTGAAGCTCTTCACATAGAACCCTTGGGCTTCCTGTGCACTAAGTCTGCAATTCCACATAGTTCAGAGGCGAGTACATCTGTAATCTTATTTATTTAAACCTTGTAACAGATTATTATTTTCTTTGCACAGTTTATTATTACTGATTCTTACCCCTTATCCTGCTCATTTTAGTTCCATAACAAAAATCTGCTTGATAAGCCACAATAAAGGTAAAAGGCAAAAAAGGAACTAATACGGCTGGATTTTTAGACTTCTTAAATCTAGAAACAAATCATATGAAAGGTAATGAATTTTGATTGGCAGTAGTCAAGATATCACAAAATTGAAAACATTATTACTATTATACCGTAAGTTTTATCAACAGTACTATAGAACCAGATTCATAGAATAAGGGTCAGCATAGTGATAGCCATGGTTGTGACAATTTACAAAACATTATTGAATGAGGCTGAGTACGAATTATCCACCGAGGCTGAAGGGTGAGGTAAATATCATCCTCCGAGATCTGCATAATTCTTCACATCGTATGACAGCCAAATTCAGTAATTGTTTTATTATTCATTCAAAATGTTTCTAAGTTCTCAACAAGCTTACCCCCTTGAGACTTTCTTCAAAACTTTGGCCTATTTCTCGGCACGGTTTTAGGATATAAACGGATGTTTCATCGTGCAGGTATAAAATCCATTGAGAAATATGTTTTGCATATTTTTGCATTTCTCCCATTCAATTTAAGTCAGAAGTTCAGCTATTTCGTCTTCGAATAGCCATGAACGCCATTTTTTTAGTTGACTTTTGCCCAAGCAGCCTTGTTTCTAACCAAATATGCCATCGAATCGATGGTATATTGCTCTCATCTTTCAAATATGGTATGCACCAATTGGTTATGAAGAATTAGCCAGGGGATTGGAACCAATCAGCAATGACGAAATATTTTGAATGAATAATAATCTATTCAGCCTACCACTTTAGAAAAATGCATTTGATTTGGAGGTTAAGTCTACATACCCAGCAAGCATGCCTAGTGTAGCAACTCCATAGAATGAAGCCAGCCAATAAAACATCTCTCTTGCTCCTGCCAGCTGCATAGACATTTGCTGTTCCCTCATGGCATTCTGCATTTGAAGTTGTCTTCCTAACTAAGAGAAGATACACAAAGCTTTTAACACAGGTAAAGGCTAAACAGATCAACTCAAATAATGATCAATGATTACAAATTATTTTAAAAATAAAATAAAACCTTGCAAAAGTATAGCCAATTTCCCATCAAAGAAAAAGTGTAGCACAGAGGCTGTCAATTGCACTCAAATTAGCCTACATGTAGCCGCACCTTTCCCCCGTACTGCATGCTACACTCAAATTGGTTAATTTCAAATTTATTGTGATTTCATTTTATAAAATTATATATATATATATATTATTGAATTATAGACTTTGAACCTGCAATTTTTGAGTTTGCAACATAAACTCTTGATTCTTCTTGAAATTTTCATCCATTGTATTCTTCATAGCTGATCCCAAAACAGCACCCATTGTTAAATGTTTCTTGTTATTTCTACAGAAAATAAAGACATTTCAGTTGGTAATAATATTGTATTAATACTTACTCAGTGGAACTCATGCCAATTTTACAGTTTGATCCAAGAAAAATATATAGCTGAGTGTGCCCCCTTCCCCCCATATATTAATGCACAGGTACAGCTGTGGAACCTTTATATAACAAGCCTCTATTTACAAGGACTGTATTTTTCACCCTGGTAAGAGCAAAATTTAAGGAAAAGGACCTCAATATAACTAAACCTTGGTACAGTGAACATATTTTGTCACTCCCTTGGCTCTTCATTATATAAAGGTTCCTCTGTACACCTGCATAGTAAGTAGTGGCGATGACGAAAACACTACAGTAGCCACCCTGCTCCGGTCCCAGAGATGGAAAATGCCCAGTAGAGGTGGGGCAGGGGTGGGGACACTGAAGGGAAGTTTGGGTAGAGGTATGCTCCCAAGACCTTCAAACCCTGATAATGGATCATGCTAAAGACTAAAATCGTTCATATCGCTACCATGTTTAAGACAGAAGACCTCATTTAATGACCCTATTTAATTTTTGTTTCACATACAGCGTTAAGCATTAAAAAAAACTGTTATCATGGAATTAGAAAAATATAAACGTGGACCGGTAACCTTTATACCTTTATACTTTTTTAAGGCTTCCGGACCAAAAAGACATCCTGTTAAGACTCAAGACCCCGAAAACGTACAAATATTTCTCGGAAATGTAGGGGGCGAGGGCCAACATGCTCAAAATTGCTGACCTACAGCAATTTTCGTGTGTAAAATAGGGGTCACGCATTTAAGTTTGCTAAGTCGAAGATCTTGTAGCATCGAATCACAGATGTTTTTACTAACTTATTTAAGTTTGGCAATCAAAGCTATAGTTTACGCTATTAATAACAAGTCAGAGCAACAATTACCTCCAAAAGCTTCCAAACGTTTCCTCAACTTTGATGCGGAGTCTGCTGTCGAATATTTATTTCTTTTGTTTGAGACCGCACTAGATTGATCATTGGTCAGCAGTTTGTAGTAAAGTGGTATCTACTACATGTAAGTTGCACACGACAAATCAAAATGGCGAAGAAGAGAACTATCGAAGAAGTGGAAGCTTCGACGACCGACAATGGAGTACAAAAAACGAAGAAGAAGAAGACCAAAAAGGTATAAAACAGTCAAAATTTTGTGTTTTCATGTTTCTAGTTGTTATATTGAATTCGTTAACCGTCTTTTCTAGGGAAAATGGACAAATAAACAGCGCGTCCTTGTGTTCTGCTCACGTGGTATTTCACACAGGTATGAGTGTTTAGAGTTACAACCAGATAAAGCCAATAAACAAACAGAAATAGCTGTTTTCTCGTTCTTCAACCATAAATATGGTAACAAAACCGATGATGTTAGGATCAATCGCTGTATATCATTTGATGGTTTACTTTATGACTTCAGTCACAGGCAACCCAATTAAAGCTCATGCTTTGAGTCACTGGAATAACGATCATGGCGAAAATATAAAAGTTTGTATTACCTTATCTTACCTCAGTGGTTAATTATTGCCTTAAGGGCAATGACAGCAAGTAATACACTAACATATTTGTATTATATTTACAGACTCTTGCATTTCTGCCAAGATCACTATTCCAATGACTCACAGGCTTTAGCGTGGCCTGCCTGTGCTTCAGTTCACTTGAGCTTAACAAGTGAGCATTTTATAACAGTTGTGGGCTTAGTATCCTAGTCTTTGAGTGGACGTGAGGCAGAGGTTGACCTTGTCTTGATACAAACCTCTTTCCTTTTGTTACTGAAATTAAGCTTAAAAATACATACAAGGCTGTGCTCTAGCAGATCCCAGTGGCCCCTGGCACCCAACTTTTGCTCCTGGGCGACTAGAAAATCTCAGATTTTTCATACAAATCATATGCTGGGCACCCTAGATTTTACAGGTTCAGAGTACTGGGCACCCTTCAATTTTTCTTAGAGCACAGCCTTGACATAGTTAGTATAAGAAAAACATTATTTACATAATAAAGCACAGGAAGGATTGTATCAAAACAAGGTCAACTCCAGCTTCGTTTCTACCATGGGCTATTGTTACCAAACTGATAATGGTAGTAACAAAGAGAGCTCAAGGTGTGGCTCCAAAGCACCTAAAAAATCATTTTTTTATCAGTGAGAGGTAATTAGTTGAAGGACCAAATGATTATTAGACATGTTTTGTTTATATTTTTCCAGAGCCAGACACCTAATGCTTGACATACAGACTTTGCTGCCACACTCTAAATCAGGTTTGTATGATTTATGTAAGCAATAACACAAAATATCATTCAACAGTCTGACCACAATATAATTTTTAATCTTTATTTAAGGTGGCAAATTATGTACATGTAATTCTTATGTTAAATTATTTTCTCTTTTCTTTTTTTTCTAGAAACTAAGCTTGACCGCAAAGACAAACTCTTTGTTGTAAATGAGGTCTGTAGACAACCTATGTCCTTGCTTGGTTTTGTGCTATTTTACATTGGGTTTTATAGTAATTTAAATTTATTGACTTCAGGTCTGTGAAATGAAGAACTGTAACAAGTGTGTCTTTTTTGAGATGAGAAAAGGGCAAGACCTTTTTATGTGGTAAGTTTTAAATTAAGTTGTTTTCCCTGTGTTGATGGATAGTACATTATTTTAATGCAATTGCATTGTACTGTTTTAACTAAATTTGCCTGTATATTATTCTTTCAGGTTTTCTTGCACACCACATGGTCCATCTGCAAAGTTCTTAGTTGAAAATGGTCAGTTGAAAGTAATTTTTAGTTGTGGTGATATAAAATCCAATAATGTTAAATTTGTTGGAGTTTGATTTCTCTCTTTTTTTTACTCTTCTTTCCATCTCTAGTACACACAATGGATGAACTTAAATTAACTGGAAACTCATTAAAAGGATCAAGGCCAATACTGTCTTTTGATCAGGTATGAGAAGCACCTTAAACCCATTTAAAAGTGACACTTCCTGGGGATAGTAGAACAAGATTTTCATTTGAAATTCCCGGTCAGAGTTTTCTGGCCTTTTTTTTTTTTTGAGTCAAGCTCATTTGGATGTGTTTTATAAAATCTTTAATCAAAGTTGACCACATGGGACCTGTTAACTCCCATATGGAGTTTACATCTAATGCTTATGGGTGGTTGACTAAGTGTGAATGTTTTAAGAATCCCATGGAATGTTAACTTAAGACTAAACTGTTATATAGATCTAGCGGAGGCACATGTGTTCAAGCGGTTAACACCTCGAACCCTGAATCTGGAGGTCTGGAGTTCAAGCCTTGCCCGTCGCATTGTTTCCTTAGACAAGGAAGTTTACTTAACTTTGTCTCTCTTCACCAGGTGTATAAATGGGTACCAGAGACATACTGCTGGGGGGTAACCCTGCAATGGTCTAGCATCCCGTCCAGGGAGGCATAGCGATACTCTTAGGCATGCCTCGTGTAAGGAAACCGGGATAAGCTCTGGTCGGTTAGGCCTTTGGCTCCTGTGCGCATATATCTATTATCTGTAAAAAATATGTGCATGCTTTTCTCTTCCTTTACCTGGCAGCACTTTGATGAAACAGCTCATAACTCACTTCTAAAAGAAATGTTTACCCAGGTTTGTGCAATTCAGCCTGAAGGATTTGGCTGTTTTTATTTTCTTGTTGTTCTGCTTGTTTTCTTTTCTTTTCTTTTCTTTTTTTTTGAGTATAATCCTAGAGGTCATGTTTGGACATAATTACATTTCTTATTGCAGATTTTTAGCACACCTTGCTACCATCCCAAAAGTAAACCATTTGTAGATCACATTCTGTCGTTTTCAATAGAAGACAATAGAATTTGGTTTCGAAACTTCCAGGTAAATACACTTTAATTATTATTTTTTTCTTGAAGAGTTCAAAACTTTCAAAGGAAAACACATTATTTTGATCTTCTGTCTTTTTTCTACCTTACATTTTTGACGAATTAACTATTTTTCAGATTGTTGAAGAGGATGGATCCTTGCTAGAGATTGGTATGGTGCTTTATTCTACGCTCTCTGATCACCTATACACTTATAGAGGTTTTAACGCTTGTATTTATATTTTTATCTCTTGACTGGTTACTACCTTGTTATTTCAGGACCTCGGTTTGTTTTAAACCTCATAAGAGTATTCGAAGGAAGTTTTGGTGGCCCAACATTGTATGAAAACCCGCGTTATCAATCACCCAATGAGGTAAGACACAAAACAAACATGTACTTCCAGGATACATGCAGACGTTATAAAGAATGTTGTTTTAGCTGCAATCTTGGACAGAATAAAAAGGAACAGCAAACCCCCATCCCCCCCCCCCCAAATCAAGGATGAATCTGCCCAAAAGCCAAAACGCTCCATTTCCGCATCCTTGATTTGGGGGGGGGGAGGGGGTACAAATTTTCCATCTATTTTGTCCAAGATTGTGGATAATCACAGTGAATGGAAGACAGTGGTTTCTTCCTGTAGTCAGTTAGCCCCCTTCTAGTTAGTGTCGGCGCAAATTTTGGTTGTGCACACTCCTGCCGCCGCCATTTTGGAAAACGAGAGGACTCTGGGGACGAAGTAGTCGAAGTTGTTCTTCGACGCAGGTACCAAGCGCTGCAAAAATTCCAAAGCGTTGCCTTGTGGGAAAAAAAGGCGGGAAAATTCCCTCTATGTTGACTTTACATGTTAATTGAAAAGTGTCCTTGCACATCCACGTTTTTCTTAAAATGGGGGTCTCTATAACTCGCCTTTCTTTCTTCGCCGTGGAGTTGACCTACTTCTTCTTTCTTAGTATCGTCGGATGATTCGTAAACAAGCTGCCCAGCGGTATCGTGATCGCGTGGAGTCGAGGCAAGCTCTTGAGGATCGCCGGGAAGCCAACAAAAATATTCCTAATGACATTTATGACGTCGATGACGTGTTTCATACGATCACCCAATCAGACATTGATATTGCCAAGGCCAGAGAGCGTGCCAAGAAAATGTAGGATGAAAGAAGAGGATAGTGAAGAATGCGAGAGAAAGGCGAGTGTGTGAACACACAGGACTGGATGTGTGGATGATAGAAAAGGATCAAGTTTGATCTGCTGCTTCTACCTACACCACACTAAACACACACAAAAAAGCGGGGAACTACTTGTCCGATGATCGACTGTTCTTTGCAGCCTTGCGTAAATCTTGTCTCTGAGTGGGTCATTAATTGAAAGTAATCAAGGAATTTCCTGAACTCCCTGGTGCTTCAAACATTTGGTACAACAGGACAGTATTTCTTTTATCACATTTTGTCAAAAGGCGTTGTGGAATAAAAACAATTACACTTTGTACCACAAATGCACTTATCTTGGAAAGTTATTTTCAGTTCGGTAATACAAATAGTGATTATCGTCAAGGGCATTTTCTCAGTCTTTGATCATCGAATGTTTGTAGAACAGCTGGAACCGGACTATTTTTTTGGTCGAAAACCTTTGCTAACACTTTTAGTTTTAATGTTGGCCGCGTTACTCGAAATCCGCGCGTGTAATTATCGCAGGGATTAAACGCATGCGTGTTTCGGAAAGTGCGTTTCACTGGACCTTCGTTGCGGCTACGCTATTCTAGGATGACTGATACACACCATGGGGTCAAGAACCTACTCTTTGCCCTGTACAATATCCAAGGTATGAAGTCAACATTGGATTTAAGTAAGCTTTTGAAACGGGTATTGACTTTAGTGTGGTGAAGAGTTTCTCATGATTCGAGGGTACTTGGACGGTGACGCCAGAACTGTTTTCAGACCTAAGTTGGGTTAAAAGTACAAACGATGCCCTGTTTTTGGATTTTCCTTTAACAGATTTCTCCACAAGAAACTGAGCCAACGCGGTCAAAGTAAACTTGGAGACAGTTGTGCATTGAGAATGATCTCAGATTTTAGTTTGTTTCTGTATCCAAAAAGGTGATTAAGGCGTTTCGTGTTCCTTTTCTTGCAGCACCGTCTGATGATTTATCATGAACAAACAATTGCGTTATCCAATCAAAACCGAACGGTCCAAACACAAAGAACACGAAACAAGGAGGAAGTTTGTTGCGCGCGCGCAGAATTCGCGAAAAAATCGAGTGTGAGGTCTCAAAACTATACATATATGCTAATCACATAGCAAAGTCAAACAGATATAAATTGATCAATGCGAACAACTTTAAAACGATGGTTTTTTCAAAACCTCGCTTATATCATCAATCGGAGATCAAAACATTTTATGCACCTGTGCATGTGCAACCAGTTTTGTCGCAATTTCATGTTAAGTAGAGAGTCAACATGTTTACTTTGACTGTGGATACTTTTGTAATTTAGATGTTTAAAACTGTAAGCAGTTTGTTATTATTTTGCTACACAGACTGACTCTAAATGCAATTAAGCAGCAAAACAGCAGCAACTATTGGCAAGCACTGTAGGCGTTTCCATAAATCGAAATAAACTTAAACGAGATCAAGGCCGATCCAGAAACTGTTTCGACGTTTTGGTTTTCCGAAAGTATATTTTATTAACTTCTTTGCATTCTCATCTCTTTTAATTATCAGAACTTCAACAATTTCGGACTCGATTACATTCTGTCTAACGTATGGACATGCATAGATGGACTCGATTGTTGGTGTAGACTCCTCGTATGAAGGACGTCCACATACTGATCGTACACTAAGAAGCGCGCCAACGTTAATCTTTTTAATGACAGATCGATCGTTAACTGAAGAACGTCAAGTACAGTACTTCATCCTGGCGCCTTGTTTTTGTGTGTATGCGTTACCGGTGTTGTTTTCGTTTTTGTCGTTGTGTTAGTCTGTCAAAGGCAATTGTTAACGGCAGCGCACACTACAGATAGAAAGTCCTATAAATCTTGATAAACAGCTGCCAAGTCGCGTTCAGAACTGCACTCTTATAGTTGAAAGTCAGAAATTGGATTGGAACCATATTATGAGAGAGTGCATGTACCTTGCAGTCACAGAGCAAGAGAGAGCTAATTTTTTTCGCCTTGCCTTTTCCGTTTCCACGTCAACTTTTTTTTTTTTTTAACTATATTCGGCCAAGTCAATACACCTCGTAGTTGACGGTGCGTCGTAGTTGACGAAGCGATGGCAAAGAAATTTACAAAAAAAACCGGATACACGTCATTGCAGAGGTGGTGTTCTGCCCACAAAGCCTCCTATTGTCTTTTAGTCGTTTCGTTGCCTTTGCCGTCATACTGGGTTTCGTAACTTCCCTAATAATTACTAAGCAATGAAGCAGAAAACCTGTCCAGTGATCCAGGGTATGACAATACAGTACTCTTTAGTCGCGATCAACTGTATTGCATTGCAGCATGATCTCGATCTATATAACACCTGGAACCATTAAGAAGAACTTAAAGAAATCAGTTCCTTTTCTTAACTATACAGACTTTTTTCGGGCCACGATCGGTATCGCAAGAATAGTATTGGTTACGTAGATTTACTGATAAAGAAAGGCGAAGTACTGCTTTCGATGATGGTCGTTTCGGCAAATTTCTTTAGTTACGTAACCAGTTATTATTCAGGTTCCATCGTGCGATATATAAGGCGATATATATACCAGTGGCTTCACTACGCTAAGGATTTTAAATATCGTTTTTGGTTGCTAAGTTTGCGTTTCTTTCCCTGCGATCGCTTAAAAATGTGAACCTGATACACAAAACTTCTCATAATAAACAACGTATTGGCGTTGGTCAGAAGCCGAAATTGGCTCCTGTCCTACGTTCGTGTGTAAAGACCGGGGGAAATTAGACAGCCAATATTCATCAAAAAACTTGATGCGTCATCGTGCCCTGATGACTAAGCATGTGACAAACATTACTACACATTTCAATCAATATTTAATAGCGTTTTTTTTTTTTGGCAAAAGAAAATTGCTAAAAATACATTACGCTCTTCCAAAGTAAATATAAGGTAGATGATTTTCTTGTTTTACCTTTAGTCAAGTATTGGTTTCCTTGGTGGGTACTTTCATTTGCATACATCATATTTTTCCTGCAGTATTAAAATTCACCGCATGTTTTTCCGAAAGTGAGTTGATTTTCCCTTAATGCTAGGTTGTGATTGAGAGAGACAAAACGCGACGAAGCTGTTGCAAAATATTTAGCATTGTCTTTTTGCCATGGTGATCGCCCTGTATTTAAGTCACTGCAAAGAGTTACCGGGCGTCGTTTTCGGGCATTTCAGTGAAAACGAACACTATAATCGTCCGTAGTATAATCGTAGTATATGTTTACCGGCAACAATCATCGGGGAAATATGCTCTAAAGGACGAGCTGAGAATGTTTTGTTTGTTGGAAGCCGAGCAGAAATTGCACAGACGCGCGCGCGCCATATAATCCTTCGCGCGATTTTGCGTGGGTGAAAACTCGCATGCGTGGGACTACAATATAATTTGTATGTGAAAGCTAACATCTGTGCTGAAGCCAAATGTTTCCACCTGTTAGCAGATAGCGGTTTCACTTTTTGACACCAAGGGTGAACTGAACAAAGAGGGATTGGCAAAGTCGAAAGTCGGCTGTCGGGTTGCATTTAGTGATAAAATACTGAAAATTAAATCGAGAATTATATGAAAGTTCAGCCGGAGAGACTTAGATCAGAATCACCTACTACCGGACTGTTCTGGTGATGCAAGCGATTGCAAATATATCCCTTATGTTGCTGAAACATTTTACTGTTAATATTTTCTGGCTGGAGTGCTAAAAACTCTAGTATTTCTTTGCCAGAAATCAGTTTCTTTACTTCAAGCAAAGAGGAGGATTCAAAATCCGAGGAAGTAATTTAATCTATATATCCTCTCTTGGTAACAATCGATTTCTCATTATCTGAGGATCTTTTTCAAAGGGTTCGTAATCGAAGATAATGTCCCTGAATTACTTCATATTTGAAATGAAGTGAGCAGAGTTATTACTTTATGTGTTTTAGGTGGAACTTTTGTTCGTAAACGATGACATATGTAAATGGAAGCAAAAAAAATAAAATGAACTGAGAGACCAATGCAGCGCTGAACAAAGAAAAAATAGTAATAGTAAAAAGAAATATGAGCGGATTTTATTTGAATTTCACTTTTATTCATTAATTCTACTGAGTAACTAATGGAATCAGTTAAAGAATTTCCGTTAGCATGGTTATTGGGGATTTTTTCAGTAATTTGCATAATACAAGTTTGTTTATTTTTTATTCAATCTTTGAATTTTTTTTATCTAAGACACTTGGATTGAAGAGGGTTAGAGGGTTCCGTCGGACTGAATTCTGCAGTCTAATGAAGAAAAGTTCCCCCATACAAAACTGAGGCTTGAGGCATTATATCTTACAGCAGTCTTTTGGCTAAGGGCCGCACGGACTGGTGAGGGAATCTGGATTCCGAAATCCGGGAACTTTTTGCTTGTGGAATCCGGAATATCAGAAAATGTTGCTCGTGGAATCGGAAATCGGGAATACAGTTCAAGGAATCCGGAATCCCACTAAATATTTGGAATCCAGAATCCTAGTTCCACTGACAAAGAAGTGGACAGAATCCAAAATTGTCTAAGATTCCCTGTTACATGGGGCGACTGGTGGAATCTGTTTCTTGTTTATCGAATGGTCTAGATAGTACAACCTGATATTTCTGACCTGGAAAGTATTTACTTATTTGGTGGTTTGTAATTAAAAGTTAAAAAAAATGGAGCAGCAACAAATTCATCATTTGGGTTCCGAAATTCAGTAATTTTCTCAGTATCACACCTATAAAACGTAACAGAAATCAAACTGAAAGATTGTACATTGAGAGTTTCAAGGAAGCCGTTAAACAGTTTAGCTCTCAGTTGTACTTAATTTCAATGAAATCGGCCGGAAATCGATAAGCACCCCTCATTATATTGCCAGCGAAGTAAAAAATTTCACCCTCCGAAAGAAAGCGGAGGTGAGTGGCAGTCCCCTCGGAGTACCCCTAAATCCGGCCATAACACGGATATGTTTGTTCTTGAACGGACAGCAAAGAATTCATTGATATGGATCTGCAGTCTCTTTACTGTCAAACTATGAAATGACATGAAATTACAACGACAAATGACAAATAAATGAATGAACGATTGAATGAATAATAAAGCTTAAAGTAAAGTCAGGAGAGCTCTACACCTAAAAATTGACCTCAAATGATCCCTATGGGAGCCGAGCCGGTGCAGTTCCTGAATTGTCGCGCCGGGCCTATGCATATCCTGCGGGACTTCGTTCACCGAGTCTCGTTGCCATGGTGAGAGGACCATCTTTCAAGAAAAACGTGCGAAATTCGCGGCCATGCAAAGTCAGATTGTCGAAAGTTTTTCGTCTGAAATTTCGTTATCCAACAACTGCTCCTCCCCCTACAACCCACCGCAAAAGGGAAACAAAACAGACAGGAAGAAGGAAAGATTGAAAGAAAACGACAACAGCAACACATATTTGTGAAGCTTACTTCGTATACAGGAAATAAGGAAACATTGAAAATATGTCTTGTAATAATCCTCTTCAGAAAGTGTACTGACAGGAACTTGTTCAAAGGCTGTCTTGCTTTTCCGACAGACGTTAAGTGACAAACTGCCAAGTACTACTCATCTCCAACTCTGGCAAGTTGCTGCCAGACGATCGAAAAAACCCTCAAGTCCTGACAAATTTGACTAGGTATCACGACATTCCGGCTTTTTGTGTCCTTGTGATCTAGTATATTTCAACTTCAGTCTTAAAAGGTCAAACATTTTCAAAATTGCCTAGCTATGGATGCGATAGCGAATTGATCGGTAAGCATTTAGCATCAATGATACGTCGGATCGAGCTAGATGCGTATCAAATCCGTTTAATCGGGCAATCGTTCAGTGTTTTCATACTTATTGTAAAATATTATTGTTTTCACTTTTTTCCAAAAAAAATTCTTTTAAAGTTGTTTTTCTATACAAAATATTCCGATAGGATAAAAGACAATACTGACACAGCTTGCACTAGAGAAAAGGCCCTTAATTTTGATTTCAGTTTTCCGCATTGATACTGAACGAAAGAGAAAATTTGTAAAATGATAATTTCACTATCCCATGCATTTCCTATTTGACTATCACCTGGCAGCTAATTGACACTTTTCCTTCTTTTTTTGAGCAGACGTCTAATTCCTTCTTCCGCTGGGGCTTGAAAAAAATTAATATATATTTGACCAATTGCAGCGTGAAAATGAATTTATTTTCTATATTTTTGATGCAATCCGCGAAAAAGGCGAAAAGAAAGGATGGAAGAAAAACTCACTCACTCAGTCCACTGTAAGGAGCACGTGGCTACGTGTAACTCACGCGCGTAATCGCGCAGACATGAACATATGCCGAACGAAATTCTAGCACTGGCTGACCTTTAAAAACCATTGAAGTGGCTTCGAATTCACAGCTGTTCGAAAGTGAAACGAATTTTTAAAATGCAGGGAGAAATGAGAGGGACATTGCTCCCAATTTTTTTTTATGACAAATCAAATGTGTTGGTTCTAGTTTCATCCACGCTCAGTTCACCTGTTCGGGGCGCGCGATGACGTCAAGTGGCGTGATTCTCAGCCGAGTGAAGCCAGAGGCACGCGTCACTGAAAAATATGCAAATACCTACTCAGCCATTCACCAAACCACGCTTCTACAATAGAGAGGCAGAGAGGATCAAATATGGTAGTGGGCGCCGGTTCACTTCGCTTCTTCGGAGTCTTATGGATGGTCTTGTTACATCAGACGACGGCCTCGGGTAGGATTTTGTAAACAAAGCTTTCTGCGAGTTTTTTACTTAGTTTATGCCAGAGACTTGTTCAAAATGTCGAGTAAAACGTGAGAAGTTTTACCGTTTAACGAAGCCGCAGCCGGTGGCATACACTTGAACAAAACTTTCGCTTTATAAAGTCTGTTTGTTTGCTTGGCCAGCTTATGGCGGGCAATGAAATGTTAGTTTACACCAGGACTCGATGTTAAAAATCAACAGCAGTTTTGAAATCGAAGATCTACGTTCAGGGTTTATAGTACATAGCTACTATGAATATTTTACATTGCAGGGAAGGTTTGAAACCGACGTCGGCGCTCCTCCGAACACACCCCTCGATTTTGTAACACTCCCTAAAGTGTAATTTGAGGCCAAAATAGCACTTTTTTTTCGAAGTCAGATTTAGACTTGCTTTTATCTTTTCATGGGACCTTCATTTTATCCGTTAAAGCACTAAGAAAAAGCCAAACTGCACAACATTCTTTCTTGATAACAACTAATTCTGTACCTGCCCTTACGTTGCTAGGTTTTAACTGCAGTTCAGTGCAGTTTAAATGCGAAAGCCAGCGATGTATTCCGTTGAGTTGGCACTGTGATGGTCAAGATGATTGTGGTGATAACTCAGACGAAAGAGGATGCCGTAAGTTTGATATTTATGCCCTATTTCTTCTTTCTATTTGAATCGAAATTTTGTACTCGACCGCGAATGTACATTAAGCTCTGTATGTACATGAGTCGAACGTAGAAGGTTAACCAACGTCCAGCCTTGACTAGTTTTAGTGTATTTTTTAATCTTAATTAAAGTCAATTCGTTATCATTTCGATGTGTTGAGAAAATGGCAAGTTTTACTTCAAAGTTGTTGTTTCTTTCCTGTTCCGTGAGGCGATCTAGTAATTTGATATTCAAAATACTAAACATCAACTGAATAGCGCGAATTATCGTCAAAGCACATAAGATTTATTGGTCTTTGGTTATATTAATATTGTTCTTCTATTTGCGAGAGACATCGAAAATCATTGATGTAGAAGTTGAGGTATAATCTAGACAAGTTTTATACTGACCTACATGACAAAAAGTTAACGAACTAACCACTTCCTCGGATCGACTGGCTTGAATAATAGAAATGCTCTCGGGAAATAATTTCCAAGGCCCTCAAACCGTGACTCGCTTTTCGTACAGTAGCCTTCATAAACTGCAGTTGAAAGAATTTTCTCCTGTTTTAAAGGAATTATTTTATTGCAATGACTGTTTTTGTAACTACACGTTGAAATGTTCGCTACATGTCCGGCTAACTTTGCCGCCATTGTTTAGGGGAAGATCGTAGGTGTGTCGAGATGGCTTTCAATGATTGGCCAGAAATACCTCTTCCGGTAATTTGCATATAACTAAAGTACGCAATAGCTTTCGTAAAAGAGTTTTTGTGGTTTCTTTAACCTAATTCGCCTGAGATAAACGTTGAAAAACTTGCAAATGTTGTAATTTTCATGTAATTTCTATAATAATAAAGAAACTTTGAAATTTGATCCGTACAAAAGACCGTGCAGTAAAAACGAAATCGAGCGAAAGTATTGTCTTAATACTGACAATACTGTGATCATTCCTTTCGATATAATTACCCAGACGTTGGTATATTGTCTGACATTAAACGTCAAAGTAGTGATAAATGTTGAAGAGCTAAATATTATTTAAAGTAGACCCTCTGATCTGAGAGGTCTCAAAAGTTTGTTTACATTGTAGAGTTTGTTTTGATCGATGTGTTTTGAACCGTCTCGTAGGCAACATTAGGCTTAATTTTCCCTTCTTCTGTATATATACAATGAAGGAATGTGCAAACGTATACAAAACTGTACAAAAGGAATCCCCTGTGATCTACAAAAGAATTTAGTAAGGCATATTACAAAACTAATCTCTAGCGTTTATCAAAGTGCAACATAAATGTTTATGAACTTAATCTGCATTAGTTTTTAAAATGAAATGAAAAGAAAATGGTTTCTTGTCAGTAGTGTCATTAGACACAACATAGGTCTCAGGGATAGATCTTTCATATGAAATGTAACTTATTGCAGAGAGTGAGCTAATTCTAAATGAATCCTAGCCGTTTGTCAATATGCCCACCTCACATGTTTATCATTAGCATCACGTTTGTTATACATTCCTAGTCATGTGATATAAACATTAAATTTAAACCTTGATGTCAACTTGAAATTTACTGTTGATCCTTTTTTGCTGACAAAGCTAAAATTTGTTTGGAACTATAAAATGTCAATGTCCTTAGTTTACATTTAGCATCCTATCAGGGTGCAATGAAAATCCTTTTTACAGCTTGCCATTCGGGCAAGCTGAGGCTAGCATTTACTAGCCCAGACATCATTTCAACTAGCCCCAAAAGCTTTCCGACGAGCAGAATTGATTGCAAGAATAGCAAAATCTACTAGCCCTGGGCTATCGGACACTACTTTCTTTGCACGCTGCCTATGTACTTTTGTTGCCACATATACTACAAAAATCAAGTTCAACAGGTTTTATTAATACGGGTGACAATTGCGTGTTCGAAACCATATGACATAAGAAGCATTAAAAAATTGGCAAGAAACATAAAAATTAAGACCCTTTAAACCACTAGTGATAAAAAGCTTATGCTTAAGGATGGTTGTACAAGGGTAGTTTCCAGTTTTGAAGTAAAACAAGGGTTCAAGACATAAAACAACAACAGTGCAGTTAAGAACAAAAATGTATTTTCACAAGAGATTGTCGACTATGTCTTCTTGAGTGTTAAAAAACTCTTCCGAGGCTTTACAGAGGTTCCAAACAGTGCAAAGATCTCTTGAAAAAGGGTCAGTACTTGCATGATTATACTTCATTTTTTTAGCGCTTAGCACATACCACATTCGAAGGGTGCACTTCACTAAACTGCCAAGAAAAAAATTGGTACCTCTTGGAAGACAAATTAAAGAACTCTTGGAGCAAAAGCAATATGAAACAATTCATTTCATTTCAGTCATAATTATTGAGAATGTTAAAAACGGTTGGACGTGAGGGTCAGGGAGGAAGACAATTGTACCATGGCTAGAGATGATAATTTGTCTTGTGCAAGTTCTGTATTATATAGGGTTATTGGTTGCATTATTTCAGTTGTGGCACTGCCTAGGTCAGCAGTTTTCACTGGAATTCAAGTTGGTTTGCAGACCTGGAAAAATCACTTCAGTTACATTGACAAAACTCTTGCGAAAATATGTCCCTGGGGTAGAGGGTAGATAAACATGCAGGCAACGCAGTTGTTATGTTTTTCTCAACACAGAGCCTGCTAGCAAGAAAGTTCATATATAGTTCAACTTGTGTTTTGTGATAAATTAGGCAATGCATGACACCATTGTCATTGCCTTAAAACAAAACACCCTAGGAGAGTTTAAAGTTCTTTACCAGTGGGGTCATGTGTATCGACACGAGTGATACAATCAGGCAATAATGCACTCATGCAGGTTTGATTAACCAAACTAGAAGGTCAGTGAAGGTTTTAAAAAGCAATAGCCGTGCTACATCGGACTTTGAATCAAAATAACCAAATGGGAGAAAAAAACAGCGTGATGTGTTGAGGCTAATTTGTTGCATTAGAACATTAGCTAAAGAACCACTAACAGTACCCTGCACGCAGATGTTTCTTTCTACACGACTCACAAACTACGCGAATGACTTCGTAAATGCTAAAAGCCTTAAGAAACCTCTGTTCGCAAGGTAGACAAACAGCAGACGCAATTCCACAAAGCTGATAAGCCGAATGTTGGTTTAATGTGTAGTTGTGTAGAATGAAGACAACGCGAGTTTGTCTTTTAACGCCTAGTTTGCTGCTGATGTTTAGCTAGTTCATGATTTCTTTTTTATTCTATTTTTTCCCTGCCCTTTTCTTCTCTTATTGTTTTGACTGAACAGTACTTTGTTGATGCTGATCGGTATATCGCGTGACAATCTTTAATTAAGGTGTGGCAAAGTATACACTGACAGTGGTTTCAAAATAAGACTACGCAATTTAGATACAAACTGTTGCGTAATACTTTCGTATTAAAACACTGGTTATCAGCTCATCAACAGCTGATTTTTATTTCTAGAAAAACCTCACAGTTAACGTGTATAAAAGACAAAGTTTACCTATTCAGGGATTTGGCATAATGTTTACATTTTTGTGACAAAGGAATGAAATCAAACAAATGAAATGAATACCAAACACGTTTTTTCTATTTATAAGTGCCTGCAGATCGATTTACAAAATTTAAATGTCGGAAATGTTTTCAAAACATCAATATTGTACTTCATTTCCTGACTACTGGGACTTCATCTGGTGTGCTTGTGCTAGGTTTCTTTTTTTTCTCTCTTAATTATTAAGCTAAGCTTTCTGCAGAGACTAACTGACGACCCGAGTCGCGCAACATTCATTTTTCGCTCCCATCGCCGTCTGTCGAACTTTTCACGAGATTAGAAAAATTGTCATGTCATGAAATGATCGGACATTATCCTCATAACCAAAAAAGGGTCATTTTTGCTCTTCAATGATGGATGCATATTTTAATCATTCGTCATGGCTGCTGCTGTAACCCCGAGAGTCGATCGGCACACCCTTTTTAGACGGGGCGGAGGGGGGAGGAGGGGGGTGAACCTAATTACTTTTAGGGACAACCACTTTCAGATCTACTGTAGTTTAATTGTTTCATTGACGTAGGTTAACGTGGTGTTCAATCGTTGGTACCTCGTAGAGGTTCCAAATGTACGTGCACAAAACGATATTCTGGGACAGCTTTGTGGATTTTCCTTCTTTGCAAATTTCCCCGCGCTCATGTTTTCGGCTGCCTTTTACTTGCGCCTCATCCCTACTCTCTGAGAGCCTGGAACAGGCTAGTTATTGATCGACTACTCCTGCCTTTTTATGAGAATATCTCCCCCCGGAACTGTGCTTTAAAATGGCGTAACATATTTTAGTTGTCGGCGATATTGACCCCCTGAGTGTTGCGCGCCGTTTGTTTCAAAATTATTTTAGGATCGTTTGTTCCAAAACTTCAAGAAATTTCCATTGGCTATTCGGAATGGAAAGACAAAGATGTATTTCTTCCAAAATATTGTTAACGAGATTGTGAAAACTTGGCGCTGTGATGTGATAACTTTTCTAAGATATGTTTTTCAAAAGAATTTAATTCTGCTGTTTACATGTATGTGTTGATCAGTCGATGAAAGATAAGAAATATGTTATCCTGTGAATTCAAAGTTTGCATTGTTAATTGTGTTTTTAACCCCGTCTTGGTCCAACTCCTCAGAGAGCTTGGTGTGGAATTTGGAACATGGCCTTTGTGTATCAAGACAGAAGAGCGACTTGAGTGGTCTCTCAAAACAATCTCTATTTGATTAATCCTTTTTAAGCAAAGAAATGTTAGGTACTGGTAACTTTAAACATTAGCTCTTAAGTATTGCTGTCACTGAGAACCACGGAGATATGATTTTGAGAATTCCACGCTCGGAGTGAAACGCGTGTCGTGGCGACACGCAACAAGTTGAATGGCATGAAAGGCCGCACGAACTTCAGGTCATGATTGAGTGCTTGTTAAAAGTTACTATGTGAATAAATACCTACATAATTTAAAACAAGTCGTATTCATGAAAAGTCTGTAAGCTTTGTTTTGGCAGTTAGAACACTGGTTGAACAAATAGTGGACTTAATTGTTCTTCGAAAAGGAAGATAATCACAAAGTCAGTTTTCTATATGAACGAGCCCGCTAAATTTGTAAAAACGGCTCACAGCGTCCCTCCACAACTGAACAAGGTGGATAAATATCTTTCTCCTCAGACGGTAACGGGTTAACGAAAAAAATTGTGTATGCTGCAAAATTAAACACGCTCGCTTTAATATAAAAGAGGAGAAAGGGATTAATCAAACAAGTGCAAGGGCTCAAAAAAGTTTCGTCGTTCAGTTAACCTTACTTCTGGTTTTCGTATGATTTGATCAAATTTTTAAATTAAAACTGAATTATCAATCTTTCTGAGTTTTAAATTTCTTAATATGCTCAAACACCTGAACACACCTTCTCCAGTTCGACAAGAATCTTCCCTTTGTGACATAATTTCCCTTAAATCCAGTCTAGTCTTATATATTTTGTGTATATTAACTTTGCGATTTGAGGAGACATTAGAAGAGTTAAGAATACATAAATAATCGTCAGACTTTGTGGTGACTTGGGTTTCGTTCTCTCTGCCATCTTCTATAACTTTATGGAACTGCAGTTCAAACTTCCGACGGGAGGTCTTCCAAAACCTCCCCCCTCCCGCCCCCGCTCGACCTCCGAGCCTTCTCCTACCGTATATGCCCTTAGCCTGCAGGCGAGGGGAGAAAAGTGTTCCCCTCGCGCGGCCTGCAAAAAAAATAAAATAACCGGCACCTGCTACGTAGGCCTAATATGCCCTCAGAGCCATACTCGTCTCTAAACCGACGGTCTTTTATATTAGCAAAAGAGTTTTGAGACGCTGATGCATCACCTCTCGTTTTCTTATCTGCTTCAGGCCAACACGTATGTGATCCAACTGAAGAATTCACGTGCGATAATGGCAAGTGTGTCCCCACAAGCTTTGTCTGTGATGGGGCTGATGATTGCGGAGATGGCAGTGACGAAGCTACTGACAGCGGACCTCGATGTCGTAAGTATCAACATCGCAGCATAGTTGAATAATTGTGATAAAAGCACACTCAGTGAAAAGTGGCTGGCGTCCTCGTTTGAGCGCTGGCTACCCCACTCTCTTTGAATCAACAAGGAAGCTCTCTATCTGCAACTGGCTCTCTAGCACTTCCTTCATCAAAAACTGATAAAATGCTCGCATTTAAATCGGCACCTGCTTTTTGGATTTTCGTATCTTTGTTATGATCTAATTCTTTACCGGTCGTACTTCTATTTAATTTCAGCGCCTGTCTCGCAAACTTGTAGCACCGGCGACTTCACTTGCGCAAATGGGAATTGTATCGACGCCAGACTAAAATGTGACACTGAGAATGATTGTGGCGACAACAGCGATGAACAGAACTGCGTTATTCGTAAGTATTCTCTACTACACTCGAACCTCTACTAATTACCACCTCTCCACAACGGCCGCCTCTCTACAATGGCCCCTTTTTTGGCGGACAGTCCATACATTGACTCTTGTTTAGAAACTCTCTTTACAACGGCCACCTCTCTACAACTACCGCTTTCTTCTGTCTCTTAAGATGGCTGTTGTGAAGAGGTTCACCTGTAATTTGCTATAACATATAAAGCCTGCGTTGGAGAAAAACGGCGACGCCAGTACCCGCGAGTGAAGAGGACCCGCGCGGCGAGAGATGAAGATCTTTAAGAACTCTCCTCGCTAGTTTTGGTTGCTAGGCCGGTAGCCTGAGAACTGAAGCGCCGAGATTCCGCGACGCCACCACTGATTTCTCCGCGAAATGAAGTCCAAGGGTAGAACACTGAAGTTCTATACTGATGACGCGTCAGTGTTCCGATCCGGGTAGTGTTACGCTGATTGTATGAAGAGAATTTTCAACCAATCAGAAGCACTACTCAGATAGATCTGGGTAGTGACGCGTCATCAGTGTGGAATTTTTGCGCTCATTTCTCAGACGTCATTTCGCGGGGAAACCAGTGGTGACGTCGCCATTTTATTGTTTTTGAACCGTGCTTTTTTTTAATATCCGCGCATTGATACGGTCTAGGTGAAACACCGACTTTTCTTTTCGTCCAGAAACAGTTAATTAAGTCTCTAAATGGCAGTTCAGGTAATTAATTTTATTTTCTGTCTTTTTTAGCCACATGCTCACCCAACGAGTTTCTTTGCAAGAATAGCAGATGTATTCAGTTAGATTTTAGATGCGATCTGGAGGATGACTGTGGCGATCGAAGTGACGAGAGAAATTGCCGTAAGTGTCGGTGATTTTCTTAAGTTTCTTTCATTTCATTGTATTAAATGATCGTTAAAATCTTTATTTCTCTTGTACAATTGTAGACCAAGCCACTTGTGATCCTTCCGAGTTCCGCTGCGTGGAGAGTGGGCGCTGTATTCGTGGTCGGTACCGCTGTGATGGAAGGGACGACTGTTTAGATGGGTCAGATGAATTAGGCTGCAACTTTACAAGTAAGAATCAATTATGTCGAACAGTTGGCCTGATGATAATAACATCCATAGAGAGATTTAGAGTTAAGTTTACAGCGAACGGCAAACGTAAATTTGTAGCACATTACCGAGTGTTCCGTTTGGCCCTTTAGGTCCCAAGAGTGACCAACATCAGTTTTCTCCTAACAACATCAGCAGATAACAAGAGTAAAAGTTATGAGAATTACTAAACTGATTACCAAAGGGAAAACACTTTGATCTTAAACCAAATTCTCTCAACTAATCTTAAAAGAAATGTATAGAGATCAGTTTGGAGAATTTGTGTGTGAATCTTTACTTCTTTCTACGTCAAAGTGTGTCCAGGACGGACCACCGTGACCGTCTTCTCATTTTAAATATTTCTTTCTTCATAGCTTCAACAAGACCTACGCCACCCCCACCAAAATGTCGAAGAAACGAATGGCTGTGTGCTGACAAGAGGAACTGTATTCACACCAAATGGATTTGTGACGGAGCAGCAGACTGCGATGACGGAAGTGACGAATCTCAATGTGGTAGGCATGCGCACTTATTGTAGTCGAAGAGTATTGCACTCAGTCTCTTGACCTGACATTGGTTGTTGGAAAATTTCAGGAAACGTGGGCTGCACGCCTGAAGAATTCACTTGTGGAAATCAGAGGTGCGTTCCCGCCTCTCAACGTTGCAATGGTAATGATGACTGTGGTGATGAGAGCGATGAAAGAAATTGTCGTAAGTAAAGTTTGCTGAATTTTTACGTAATCTATTGTCACAGCACTCACTACATATGACACGAGAGTAGAATGGCTAAACACAGAGTATTTTTTTTTAAAGTAATAAACAAGTATCTTATCCTACGTAAATTTAATGATTAGATATAAAACAAACTTTTTAATCACTCAAATAAACAATACCTAAACCCAATAAACATAATTTAAACCATTAATAACGCGTGCTAAATCACGGAATTTGAGCTTAGAGAGTTTCTCCTAATTTAATTTGCATCATTGTTGCTTTTTTCTTGGCCGCGGCGAGCGAAAAAAGTTAAAAACGTTTCTCGAGTAAGATCGTAACATCACCATTCATCTATAATGCTGATTTATAACATAACAAGTTAAATTAAATTGACCTATAGACAGTAGCCCATACCGACACATAACATATCGTCTAACCTTGATCTTAATTAACACTCAGTAATCACAATTATCGGCAAAATAGCTACTTGCGGCTACTTTTTTACTGAAATAAACAAATCAACACAGTAATCAAAATTTCAATTTAATTTCAAAACTTATAAGGCGTAAATATCTATATAAATATATTCAAATCCGCCAACTGAATAACTCAAGTTTTGCGTTTGATGTCTTCCATATTATTTGTCGTTCATTTTTTTCTTTTTTCATTGCATTTGGTCATTTTGCTGGGCTTTCTACTTTCTACTTTTGTAACTCTCACGAATATGCAAGGGTTTCTTTAACTTACCTCTGTTCTCTATTAATTCATACTAACGCGGGTATTCTGTAAGCCTGGACTATTATTTATGCCTCATTTGCACTTATTTATTTCTGGGGAGCATGGCTTTGTTTCTTCAATTAATGCTAATTTATTCTGAACTTGTACTAATTTTTCCGGGCTACTGTCTTCAAACCCCAGCTCCAACAACCCCGTCTGTCACAAGTACGATCACGATTTCAACAACTTTAACGCCGTCGCGGCCGGAGCCAACGCCTCAAAACCATACTCGTAAGTACCGTGCATGCAAGTCTAAGGAGGAAAAAAATTCTTTTCGATTGAGTGGTAAACTAAGTTCGTTAAATAAATGTTAAAGACGCTTTGTAGTGTATGTTGTGTTAAGCAGACTATGGAGTGATTTTTGACAAGTTAAACAAGATAATATTAAAATAATAATAGTTTAAAACAAAGTTAAAACTAGGTTAAACTATGCTAGGTTTTATTAGTTATGGAAAAAATAATGTGTCCTGCATTATTAACGTAAGCCTTAATTTAATCAGGGACTTGCCAGACGTAGTCTATGTATAAAAAGTAGTCTCCTGATGTACGAAGCTATCGCCAGCTTAGATAGCTTACGTTACAAAATAAAACTTGCGTCAAAGCTTTTGTCATCAAAACGTAATTATGAGGACACTAAGAGAGCTTTCTCTCTTGAGGACAGCCCGACAAGACGCTGTTTAGTAAAACCCTAGCTTTGGTATATAGTTGGCTTTCGCTGCTTACAATATCAAACTTCCAATTGCGGCTCGCCACATGTAATGGATTGCGGAATCCGGGAAATTTTTGCTTGTGGAATCCAGAATGTGGGAAAATTTGCTTGTGGAATCCGGAACCCGGAAAATTTTACTTGTGGAATCTGGACTCCTGGGTTTTGGAATCCGGAATCCCACTATCAATTGGAATCCGGAATCCAGAAGCCAAGTTCTACTGACAAATACTGGAATCCAGTAATTGTAATCCGGAATCCACAACGTGGAGTCCAGAATCCAAGACTGTCCTGGATTCCCTCACATGGGGCGATACGGGGGCAGTGAAAGAATGGTGGCAGACGGCTGTACTCTCACAAGCTGTAAGAAAACAACTGTCGCAAACCGTTTTAATGATCGGTTGAAAACCGCTTTCTTTCTTTCAGCCACCACGCCCTCCACTTTCTGTAAGCCAGGCCAATTTCGCTGTGGCAGCAGCACCACCTGCATTGATGACAGTAAAGTTTGTGATAAACACCCAGATTGCACCCACGGGGAGGATGAAACCAAATGCGGTGAGTACAAAAGAACTTGGCAACTAGCCGTGAACTCCCCGTCCCCCTCCCCTCCTGGGCCATGAGCGGTAGGGGAGAGGGGATGTGATTGTTGAAGAGGCAACGCAAGAATTCTTTTCAGCTCTGGTTAGCATTCTTGCCTTTCCGAGAGTTTAACTTTGGATCGAATCTCGCTTCGAGCCTTTCCCTCTCAGCGCAATACCCACTGTCTGAACGCCTGCTGACAGGCTGATCACTTTAATTTTCTCCTTGGCAAGGATTCATATTTTTCTCTAGATAAGATTCAATGCCACTAACTAATACCCAATATTTTATTTTGACGATTAAAGGGAGTATTATTTATTTGTTCCTTTGGTAGTGACCATCCCGGAAAAACCATGAAAGTGTATTACCAAAAACAACAACAAAAATTGCGCCATAAAAATCCAAGAAAACGTGACGCAGATCTTGAACTAGCACTTAATCAGTTAAGTCTTCGCCGATATAATCTGAAGATGAATGGATTTAGATCTAAAACATAATGAATTTCTTTCACATGTGTTTAGATATAAACGAATGCGACAGTTTCAACGGCCACTGTCTCCACACCTGTCACGACACGAAGAGTGGGTACTACTGTTCATGTTACGCAGGCTACGAACTGGCCGATGATAAAAGGAGCTGTCAAGGTGAGGGTCTGGAAACTAGCATTCAAGTCCATACCTAAAATGTTTTAGAGACGGTAAGCTGTTATTGATAGTGTGACGAGTTGGGCATGTAAAAACTGCTGTGTGAAAGCCGCGTTCAAGGTAGTCGAAAAATGTTAAGCCTCCGTCAACTCTATACATGTATCTTCCTTCCTGCGTAAAAGGAAACCGTTCCAGTTGGTGTGTACCAGAGCATAAAAGATCGCTGCATTTTCAGAAAAAAAAGCAGTGATGCTTTAATAAACATCCTTAGCTTGTAATGTAGCTCCAATTAGGAACGCATTACGAGTCCCTAACAACGTCTGAGTAGAAGCCTAATTTCTAATTACTCAATACTTTGTTGTCGTTATCTGTCGTGAATGTTGACCATCGATGTCCTCGTTTCTATTTTGCCAGACATTAACGAGTGTGAAATACCAGGGATGTGTAGTCAGGGTTGTTACAACACCAAAGGAAGCTTTAAGTGTTCATGTATTGAAGGTTACGAGTTGGATCCTGATGACAGAAAATGCCGTGCGAAAGGTAGTTGTTAAAATTTTTTTTTTAACTTGCAAAGCTACGGTTATTATTTTACCGATTTTTATTGTAACGTTTGTTCCTGCCTCGATGATATCCAAAAAAGGTTCAGTGAAAGTCCGTTTCTGTGTTACTTCATTACGCTTTTTATTTTTCTTGCAAGCCAATAGGATCCTTATCTTTTAGGCAATTGGAGGTCCACAGTACCTCACTTCTTGAACCTGCTGACAATTTAAAACCAATTAACCACATTGCTTTCAATTGCTAAGAAACACTTGATCGTTTATTATATCACTTTGGTGTTGCTTAATGAGTTTCTCTTATTTAAACTTGTCTTTTTTTACTGTTAGGTCCACGCCCTTCGCTCATCTTCAGCAACCTCCGAAACATTCGTCAAATAAAGACAGATGGTTCGGAATATAAAGATGCTGTAGCAAGACTGAAGAACGCCGTGTCGCTGGACTTTGACATCAAAACGAGCATGATTTACTGGACAGAACAGTCAGAGAAGAAGATACAACGCGCCCGTATCGGTGCAAACACCTCCTCGAAAATTATCAATGTCATGGAACAGGGTTTGGAGCGCCTATCAAAGATTGCAGTGGACTGGGTCGGGAGAAAGATCTACTGGGCCAGTCAAGGTACGCGTAATATTTCGTTAAGCTTACTCTGTTTAGCAATCTGAGTAGCACCGTAGAGGTATTCACAGGTCGAGCTGTAAAAGCAGACTGGGTGCGCAAAAGATATAAGCAAAGCCATTAGGACGGAAAACACGACGGCGCGCCGGTTGAATGTTTAATGTCGTAGATACATTATATGTTAAGTGCATGCGGGAAGAAGTTCCTTACCAGCATTTCACTACAGCTGAGCAGTAGCCAACACTCTTCATTTCATCGTGTATTACTTTATTTTATTTGGATTTATTTCCTCATTATATATTGTCGAGTAGTCTTTCTCACGTAACTAAACTTATCAGTTAAAAGTATTACTCGTTCCTCGCTAATAGGAACAGAAGGACAAAATATATTCTTTCACTTAAAAGCTCTGTCTTGTTTGTTCTACTCAGATTCAATCGAAGTGTCAGAGCTAGACGGTTCCTTTCGTCGCACGCTGATCCGAGGCGGTATTGAGAAGCCAAGCTCTCTTGTTCTGGATCCATCTGAAGGGTGAGGCCATAGACGCTATTTTTTTTTTTTTTTTTTTTTCACCTGAGAGTTAAGGAAGCTGGTCTAGTGGTCGATTGGTTGATCTCGCAATCCGGCGGCGCCTGGTTCGAGTTTCATTCTGACCACTTGCTGAATTTATTCTTGATTGCCCAGAATAGCTGAGACCCTCGTCCACGCGCGCTTGTAAACAGTCAACCTGTTGCCTCCTACCGGTTGGCGTGGGGTTTATACTATGAACCATGTCATGTTCTATTTGGATGATTTGTTTTCAGTTGTTTGAGTGGATGCCTGTCAACTAGCTGGATACTAAATTCACTGCTAGTTTTCAAGCTTTATATTTTAATGCGGGTCTTACAGAGATAGTCCATGCAGAGGTTTAGAATAAAACCGACTTGTGCAGAGTTATTTGAATAGCCCATTATCTTATGTATCACAATCCGAATCTGAAACTCAACAAATTGAGAAATGTATGTGTAATGAAATTTATATATTCATCATTTTAAACTTATATTTGTTATGCTCTGTCTCATAAGGCTTCTCTATTGGACGGACTGGGGAGACCCCGCTAAAATTGAACGCGCAAACATGGACGGCAGCGACCGCAAAATCCTGATCAGCGGTGTCCACCTTGAATGGCCAGTGGATCTAGCGATTGATTATACGACCAGGAAACTTTACTGGATTGATGCTAAACTGAAAGTCATTAAGCACTGTGACTTAGACGGATCAAAAGTCCGTCAAGTGGTGAATCAGGGCATCAAGGATCCCTCGGCAGTGACCTTGTTTGAAGATCACATGTACTGGATCGATGAAAAGAAAATCTACAAGGCGAATAAGTTCACAGGGAAGAACGTGACGGTTTTAGTGAAGGACGCTTTTTCGCCCAAGGATCTGCACATTTACCATCCACAGAGACAGCCCCAAGGTAAGAGAAGTGAAGATCGCTTTCAAAACGCTATTAAAACAACTATAAATTAACCATTTGATATTCTGGGGTCATGGTAAATTCAAACGCCAATCATTCGCTAGAAAAAAGTTGCCAACCATAGGATTTAAGTTGGAAATTTGGTAGTGTTAAATGTCATTAACGAAAATCTTATATTTTATTCTTCTCAGCTGTTAATCCTTGTTCCGAGGACAACGGAAATTGCTCTCATCTCTGCCTGCTTTCCAAAGGCAAGAGTTTTAGCTGCAGCTGTCCGAACGGGCTTTATCTTCAAATGGATGGGAAAACATGTAACCAAAGTAAGTCACTCACTTGCTTACAATATTAGTTTATTGGTTTTCTCTGCCCCGCTTTGTCGCGTTATGGTCATAGCAAACTATAGCCTCGCCACATCTAAGGAAATCCGGAATCTGGAAAATTTTTTATTGTGGAATCCGAAATCCTGGGTTTTGGAATCCAGAATTCAGCTCAAGAAATCCGGAATCCCGGATTCCAAGTTCCACCGACAAGGATACTAGAATCCAGTACCTGGAATCCGGAACTGACAGTGTGGAATCCAGAATCCAAGACTGTCTTGGAATCCCTTATATGGGGAGAATAGCCAATCAGATTTGTTAATAACTGTTTTCTCCTCTTTATACTATACTATAGCCGATTATATTTGTCATTAACTATTTTCTCCTCTTCCTAATAGCCTCGCCTCCAGTTACAGAAACAACAACTCCTCTTTCACCTGTTAGTGTGAATTACACATCAAACCCGTCTGTGAACATTGTTGACAAACAGACTGGCTCAGATGAGAGTAAACCAAATTTTGGACTTATCTTTGGAATTCTGGCCGGTGTTTTCGTGGTGATTGTCACTGTATGTGTAGTCTTGGTTGTCATTGCGAGGAAAAAGCGTTCACCACGACTTCAGTAAGTCAATAAAAATTAAAAAGGCCCTCAATACAAATGAGGCTTATTTCTCTTGCAAGGAATTAATAACTTTTGGGAAAAATTTGGAAATCTGTGGAGAAAAAATTGCCGCTTGCTCACAGAACCATTCCTTTTCCTTTAGGGGTTACATCTACAAACTCACAACCTAGAACCCACCTTGTACTGTTATTAATAAAGCTGAGTTGCACTGGCAATGTATGATATTGTTCATTAGCTTTCATTTGAATGGTCACAAAGTTTCTTTGGGTTTTCACTCAGGGGCTAAAAAAAGCATTGACACAGAAAGGTACTGCGCATTAGCTTTCATTTGATCTTAGTAAAACGAAAATAAAAAGGAAACAGGAAGCTCTTCAAATTTTTCCATGGCACTTATCTAATACGTTTTCAAATTTGATTTCAGAATTGTATACACCGTTGACAATGAAACAACAAACGACAAAGCAATGATGGTAAACAGCAAGCAAAGCAAGAGGGCGGTTATATTTAAAGGAAATATTAACAGAGACTTTGATAACATCAACTATGATGATCAGAAAACTGAAGAATATGATGAGGATGATGATGAGAGGAGACCAGTTATTCCTTTTTCTGACGGTGACATCGTATAACATGACAGCACGGTCTCTAAAAATTGTGGTCTTTTCTACGCGATCAACGTGGGTGAAAGAAATTTTCTTTATGGTAAAGGATTTCAGTTGTTTAGACCATGGCCGTCTGAAGTGGCCTCCCCCGGTCCCCACACCAACACCTTTCTTTTCAAGGGGTGCAGCACGAGATAATTCAAAGCGGGTAGGAGATACACGTCTTTCCATCCAATCTCAAGAGATTTTGTCAGTCAAGAAATCTTGATTGAAATGAGTTGAACCCCCACTATCAAAGGAGTTCGTAGTAACGTATAAGTTCCATTGCTTAAGTTATAAAACTAACCAGTTAAAAGGCTAATTTATCACATTGTGAATATGTGAAGTGAAATTAAATTATTTAATTTAATTTATTCACGCTATCAAACGCTCGACAGAAAATAGTATAGGCTTCATAAAATACAGGCACTTAATCTGTCTTGGCGATAACACGATGCTGGATGAGTTCAGCTGTTATCGACATAACGGATGAGTGCAAATCGACAAGTCGTTGTCATTTGAAATATGAGGCCATTTTTATGGCCTCCAATAAGCGACCATTATCGCTGGCGAATTGCGTAACAGAAGCTTCAAATTGCTCATGTTGTGGTTCTTTGCTATGTTTATTTTCTTGGTTCAAGCGTTATTTTCCTTTGTTGGTTGTGTATTATTAGAAGGTAAATTATGAAACTAGTAAAGGAGAGTAATTATTGAACCAAAGAAAAATTGAGTCGTAACAATCAACGGTTACCTCTCACCGTTAAAAGCTTGCATGATTTGTAAGTAATACAAAAATGATTGTGACGCAAAATTATTTTTTGTAGTTCCAGTTTCCCAATAAAATGGATTGAACGGAAGTGCTTTTATTTTCAAATTCTGTCATTAACAAATTAGGGCATCAGCGGGCTGTATGTTCGAAATACAATAATTTTTTCTAACTCAGTATATGTACATTTATTTAGTACGTAATTTGCATTAAACAGAGTGGTTTAATTTTATATAGAGTGTGGATATTATTATGCGACCTAAGAGTGCAGGAATTAAGTATTTGGTATATAGTTTGGTTTTAATGTAATCGTATTGAGTTTGTTATGTAAAAACGGTAACTAAGAATATAATCGCATTATTTATTATTTATCCTTTAGTTGCACGAAGTTCATATAAGAGGCAAGCCATTTATCCTCTTTAGGTATTTGTTCCCTTTGCGTCTAGTTTAGTTTTTTATTACACAAACAAAGAAAATTTCAGGGTAAAAAATTGTCAACTAAATCAGAAGATAAAGATATATTATCGAGTCTGGTCTTACCTAGTTTTCTTAGTGTAGAAGTTCAACTTTGTTAAAATTATGAAGAAAAAAAAACAAACACACAAATTAAAATTGATATTTCCTAGTAAAATGGACGAATACCTTAATTTGTCTATTATATTTACAAGACAAAACGTCGTTGGCTCTAGTTTCACGTCTTTTGAAACTCAAATTAAGAAAAGAGAGATCTTACCAGTGCTTCTGATTGGTTGTGCTGCGAGGGAAATTCGCTTCGACTAATCAGAATCATCTGGGTAATGACGCGTCATCGGTATGGAATATTTCCGCGCCGTTTCCTCAGACGAAATTTCGCGGGGAAACCAGTGCTGACGTCGCGGAATGCCAGCTGTTTTCTTAGGCTGGTTGTCCCGTTGCGATGTCTGGCTGTTCCAATGATTAGATATGTTGGGTCGAAATTAACTCCAACAAATTTGTAGTGAGAGTTTTATGCGCTAGCACAATCGTCTACACCGTGTGTATTTGAGTAGGTCATCGAGATCATCAGCTCCATTTTTTGCAATTTATTCACGCTTAACACACTTTTTTCGTATTCCAGTATATCTAGTAAATGAGTGTTTATTAGCCCGTTATGTTATTTTGCACCATTTATGCTGTTAGTCCTTTATTCCTTGTCCGCGATCCATTCCACCAAAAATTCTGGCAAGTTTGAAAAGGCCAAAACCAAGTCGTGAAAGGTTTTTAGAAAAACTGAAATCGGCTATATTTTGAAAGCGAAACTTTGTACCAAAATTTCTCCTAAATTAAAATAATTGGGTTCAGCGGAAAATTCCAGGAAATTTTGGAAAAATAAGACCAGAAACAAACTGTTCCATTTCAGGCATTGAGCTTTGGAAGTTTCAAAATTGGATATTTTGTAGAGTGGGTCACGCCCTTTCTTTGTTTCTACGTTTTATGCTGAGAAATAAAACTCTTACTTGAAGTACTGATTAATTGATTTGTAAGAAAAATTGTGGCTGCAAGCACCTTTCGTCAACCTGATAAGGCGTGTTTTCAGCGACAATGTTACTTATAAATTTTTTTTTGAAAGTCTCCTATCACAAATTATGTCTGAGAAAGCCTTAACGTGGGTCACAGTTAAGCTATTGTTTATGAATTAAGTCTGTGTTAATATGTTTGGTTGTCAGTCGATAAACAATTTATATTATATAATACGATCGCCCCTGTGATTTGGAGTAACTATATTGGGCAGTTATAAAGCTTGAATTTCTGAATTGTACATATTAAAACTAAGCTGTAAATAAGAAATAGGTAAATATAATTCCTTGCTTATATATATTTAAAGAGATGTACATCTTTAGACATCAATACCTAGGAAAATTGATGTTTTGTTGTGTAAAACGTTTCTGTTAAAGGGGTCTAATCCTAGGCTGAAATGGGAATTGTGTGGTGAAATATACCCATATACTTGTAGAGTTTATGATTGGAATGTCCCCCCTGGATCCCGCCATTGAAAATTTGATTAGGTCATAAAACACAAAAACACGTGGTGGAATTCGAGAAACAGTAGTCCCAAACTTATTTGCTGAACATGCATCTTATTTCAACCTGATGTGAGTCGCAAATCTATGTACAGACAAACTTTAATAAATTTACAAATTTATCAATTAAGCATGCTTTATTATTAAGCACATTCCATTGCCAGTATTTGCATGTTCCTTTTCAGCCTAAAAAGAAACCTGCCATTTAAAAACGTACTTTCCTGTTCAAATGTCAAGCAGAAAACATATTTCGTATTAGCTGTTTTGCCTCCAATTATAGTTGTAGCTTTCTGTTATAGCTCAGTGATGTTTTGTTTTTTTAAAACCTATTAGTCAAATTAAGCTTAACGTTATTGTGTTAGTTGAGTGTTTATTGGACCAATTTCAACAAATGAACATTCGTACTTGGCTCCGAGGCTTGGGAAAATGAAACAGAAGAAGTCACTTCCTTCAGTGGAGGTTAAGGGATGAAAAAGACTTTTTTTCTGTTATTCCTCGAAGTCAAGTATGATATAGATTGTATCAAAATTGGTCTAACATGCCACTATGTGATTCCTTTTCGTGAGAGAAATGGCTGTCTTATTTTCCCGAGGTGGTTAAGAACGTATCACTTTCACTGTGATTAGTGTTATCATTAATAGTTAAATAGAAAATAAGATATACGAATTGAAGCGTCAATTTCCTTTGCTACAGATTGGTTTATAAATAAATATGCAAAAAAAAGTTTGTTCAAGTTATTTTTGTAAAATGTACGGACGTTTTGGGTTGAACTTTAATGAATTATTTATTTGTTTTATTTAGTCATTTTTTTTGTTCAATCCGGGCTCAGTGTTGGTTCGACGTGGGTTAGTGGCCAGTAAACAAAGTTCGCTGGTTGCCAACTGCGTTCGCCTGGGTTGGGTGTCGTCAACATTGGATTCCCTGGGTTGGGTGTCGTCAACATTGATTTCCTGGCGTGGGTATCATCATCATCAGTGACTTGTTCTAGCGCTGCTTCAGTGTCTTACTCACCCATCAGACTCAAATTCATAAACCAACAGTAAAGAAATAATTGATTCAGAAGTAATCTGGAACAAAAGGTTCCATTCAACATTTATTGCCTCGCTACTCAGTTGTTGCAAAATCACGGAGATCAATGTAGAGTTGGATTGATTGAAAACAGCAGGCCTTGTTATTGCTCTAAATATAGGAAACAAATCATTTGTCACAGGAGCCTCCATTGCCCTCCCGTTCGTCTTTTTTGAAAAAAACTCATCTATTTTTACTACTCTACTTTTGTAGAGCGGTTGTCAGAGAAAACCGGGCAAAATGTTAAAAATGTCAACGGAAGGGGGTCAACAGAATAAGCTCATACTAACATCATAGATAGGTTAGGTGGAGTAATGGGCAAATATAATAAACATAGGTTCTTCACTGCTCTTGTATTAGAGATACGAGCATCACTTTATTTCACCCCCTCGGACGCCATTTTCGTAAGCAAATTTTGACCATTTTCTGAAGCTCACAAACTCCTCAAAATTAAACGAGCGAAGTTCATTTTTTGTACACGATACAACACAACACAGGACTATCTTCGAAAACCATAAACATTGTTAAGTAGCTACGGGCAAGACTAAAACTTTCTTATTTTACCTGACCTAAACTCAGTGTCTGCAAGCGAATCAAAAATCGGTCGTTTTTTAATCGATCTGTAGCGCACAACTAAAAGGATAATAAAACTCTGACAGCCAAATTGCAGTCTACAATCCTCCATGTTACCAAAACACTAATAATCATTTTGGATCGTTGGAAAAGGAAGAAATTAGAAAACTCACATTTGTCATAGGTACCAACCTTTTTCTTGGAAATAGGCCGATCCCTTCTTGTTTGTTTTAAGTTCTCTTCATGATTTTTTCCCCTATTTCGCTGCCAGCTATGGTCAGCAGGTAGAGGACATATCAAAAAGTTCGAAATACTGTCACTGTAACATCTTGGAACGACAAAAAGTGCTAAACCACGGGATAAAACTAGAAAATAACAAAGCGACGCCATCTTGAAAGTTCAGTACTCGGGAGGGACTGGCACTAGCAGTTGACAAGACGACAAATAATAAGGTAAAAGACAGAAACAAACGACTCAGTAAATAAAGGCACAATTCTTATACAAATCACAAACGAACCCTTATAAGCTACTTGCTCCAATATTACTCCTCTGTTTACTACAATATGGGTTCGTTCACTTCTGGGTTGTCATTTTTTGCGGAGTGAATGGAGTGGAGAATATAATGGGCTCTTAACCTGGGACTTCTCTTTCTGTTTGGGAGGCGAAAAGGAAAAATAAGGACTCCTGATCGCAGGTTAATGGGTGATCAACTCGCTCGACGTACTTCATCCGCTCTTCATTTTGAGTTATCCCGTGAATGTGGATAACATTCACCTTATGGGTTACTGAGAATCAATTCACCTCGTTTCATAGCTTGCGCAGGAGCCCTTTTTCAGGTCTGTATGGTTTTGCGGTCTCGTCTGTGGGACTTATAAGGTATTCAAAATTCGTGCCAAAGTTGTTCTAAAAATAAACTTGTTAGTTAAAACGCCGAGAAACGTCTACATAGAAGCAGCTCGCTCCAGGTTATGGGCTCCTGCGTGACGCAAACAATTGGGAGCTGCTATCCAGATATTCACAAGATGATTCAAAAGAGTACGCGCAATCGGCCTATTCTTATTTTGAATCTCATCAAATTTCTTAATTTCTACCCTCTCGGCCTTCTTTTTTCTCTCACTTAAAAGACGTTTAACTGCTTCCTTTGTTTCACTGCGTATTGGTGTTGCTATTCGAGGGAATTTTTTGGAGATCGAAGTATCATTATCATTGTCATCACTCCTCGGTCTTTTTTGCGACTCCATGTTTCCAAATTAAATTTGCCGGCATTTTCCCGTCAACACGTCAACACGTCAACACACCAGTGCGTAGTCCTGGGGACTACCGGAAACTGTTTCCGCATGGTCCGCATAGTTCTAAAAATAACTTTTTTGGGATTAAGATATCCCAAAGGCGTGACTGGGAGTGTCCCTCTCTGTCCTATTATGGCTCTTGTTTTATCCCATGGTTTAGCACTTTTTGCCGTTCCAAGATGTTACAGTGACAGTATTTCGAACTTTTTGATATTTCCTCTACCTGCTGACCATAGCTGGCAGCGAAATAGGGAAAAAAATCATGAAGAGAACTTAAAACAAACAAGAAGGGATCGGCCTATTTCCAAGAAAAAGGTTGGTACCTATGACAAATGTGAGTTTTCTAATTTCTTCCTTTTCCAACGATCCAAAATGATTATTAGTGTTTTGGTAACATGGATGATTGTAGACTGCAATTTGGCTGTCAGAGTTTTATTATCCCTTTAGTTGTGCGCTACAGATCGATTCAAAAACGACCGATTTTTGATTCGCTTGCAGACACTGAGTTTAGGTCAGGTAAAATAAGAAAGTTTTAGTCTTGCCCGTAGCTACTTAACAATGTTTATGGTTTTCGAAGATAGTCCTGTGTTGTGTTGTATCGTGTACAAAAAATGAACTTCGCTCGTTTAATTTTGAGGAGTTTGTGAGCTTCAGAAAATGGTCAAAATTTGCTTACGAAAATGGCGTCCGAGGGGGTGAAATAAAGTGATGCTCGTATCTCTAATACAAGAGCAGTGAAGAACCTATGTTTATTATATTTGCCCATTACTCCACCTAACCTATCTATGATGTTAGTATGAGCTTATTCTGTTGACCCCCTTCCGTTGACATTTTTAACATTTTGCCCGGTTTTCTCTGACAACCGCTCTGTAATTGTCTTTATACTTCTTAGCTTATTTTCATTAATGAATAACTGTTAGGAAAAAGGACAAGACAAAAACTGCAAATATATGGGCTACCCATCCAGTTTGCTTTAGGTCCATATTTCAAAAGTAAAATTTTATGCGATCAAGCCAAATTGTGCTTTTAATTCTTGCAGTTTTCTAAAAGGAAAAGAAATATGAAAAACACGATTTACCGCGGGAATGCTAGCCCCGCATCAATAATCCTGATGCTTATACAAAAGTCAAGTCAACTCTCACAGCGTTACAAATACGCTATGTTAACAACATCTGCATGTTCTATAGCTGTAACGTTTTTCTTGGTGGTTAACTTTTGGAAAATTGAAGGCTTTCAGCCTTAACTTGTTCTCCCTCACCATCAATTAAGTATGCTTGTTTTTATTTGTTTGCCTTGTTAGTGTCTGTTTTTTAGCTCATGGATGACGTAGTCATGCCATGGGCTTTTGGAGGCACTCGAATGGCACTCGATCACTCACTCACTCACTCGATTCTCATTAATTTATTCATTAAAGTCAGATTAAACACGTTACTCCTACCTCCCTTACTTAGTATTACTTTTTTTCCAAGTGCCTTTTACGTATATGTTTGGAATATTCTAGAGGGTACTAGTAAGGCGAATTTTTTTTTTCCCGACACATCAATTATAGAGACGGGTTTTGTATAAATGGAAATATTAACTGATAATATCATCCGCAAGAAATGGACTTAGAATTGTTAAAGGGACATTGAAATAATTGAGCGTGGATCATTGTTGAATATTTGAACGACTTGTGCACATTTGTTCCCGATATTGTACTTGATATGGAGAAGATGCGATCAACAGGAGTGTGAAAGAGCTATTGCAGCCTGACGATGGGATTTCGTTCAGCGAAAAGCGAAGAAGCCAAAGAGCGAGCCAGAGAGAGTATCTATTGAGGTTTATTCAGTTATTTGGACGAATCCGTTCGACCATTTGTCTTCGTATGCAAACAGGGAATGAATTAATGTTGTGTCAACTAGAAGCACAGGTTTTAGAACCAACAAGCGTTACGCTATTTTGCTTGAATTCTTAGGTGATCTTTGCCTTAAAGTAGGCTTTTGTTTGTCGGTGATTCCATTTAGCAGTGCTATTAATGTAATTTCCGCAAGACTGCGTTTAAATTACTTGGCTAGGTCAGAGCACGTATTGCTTTGAGCTTAATCCGTTTTACATGTATTAAAATAATTTTTAGCTCGTGTTTATCAAAAGCGCGTTCTAAAGCAGTTCATAAACGCCTGTATTCTGTATTTAATATAGCTCGTACTGCATATACTAACCGTTACGTACTCATCATATGGAAACATTTATTTGAAAGCATCGCACTTTTAAAACCACGGTTTAAATAAAACTCATGTATGTAAAACTTGGCTGTTTTACAAGAAAGTGCACTGTCGTTCGGAAAGTGTTTGACAGTCACATGAGAAAGCAAATTATTTTACAACTAAAAAGCGTTAATAATTGCTTTTAAAAGTGATCTTTGCTTTGTAAGTAGAAATACTGCGCTGATAAAAAGTTTAGGGAATATTCAGGTGCACATGCAATCGGATACTTCGAGTCACGCTGTATTTTGGCAAGTCCGTACACAATGAACCGTTCAAAAAGATTTATATGTTTTTCTTTGATTATTAAACTGTCTTTTCTACACTAATTCAATTCATCCATGAGCCTTTGATTTCCAGTGGAAACGATTATGAAAGATATCTCAAAACACTTAACTAGATTAACATCGACCCAGGGGCGGATCTAGGGGGGGCTGGAGGGGCGCGCCCCCCCCCACCTGAGATGACCTGCGGTTTTCTAATACATTCATTCTAGATCATTGAGATCTGTTAGTAATGAACTTTTAGTGCAACCTAGATCGTATACCAAGACCTACGGAGATAGAGCATTCGCTGTTCACGCACCAAGAGAATGGAACTTAATACCCTATGAAATTCGGAAGTCCTACACCATCTCGAGTTTTAAAAGATCACTTAAGACGTACTTGTTTACTAAATTCAGTGATAACGGATCATTGTTTTTATAGATTTGTATATATTGCGTTAGTTTTAATTTTTCCCTTTTTTATCATTATGAATATGGTTTAATAGTTGTTTTAGTTTTAATTTTTTCCTTTTTTATCCATTGTAAATATATTAGGATATGGTTGTAAATTTCTAAATATTTTTCAATAATGTTGTTTACATGACTGTAAAGCGCCTTGAACATAGGATAAGAGCGCTATAGAAATAAAGTTATTATTATTATTATTATTATCTATTGCATTCCTGAAAGTACTGTTAACAAAAAGTGTAATTGTTAAAACAATTCGAGATTTGATAACAAGCGAGAATAAATTACGCTCTTGTTGCTTACCATGAAGTTACACTGTACAAGAGCAGCTAGTAATAGTAGATAAATTGCTAACTACAACTATCTATTTTTCTGAATATGAGTTACCTTGTTCTTAGGGTCGATTACATGCATTATTTTTATCGAATTTCTATGGGTGTTTGAGTGCCTGCCTTTTCTGAGATTGACAGTAGAGAGACCTGGCCTCTTACGAATTTTTGAATCCTTCTTTGGACGCTTCTTGAATTTTGTCACAAAGCTCTGAAAAATGTTAGTTTATCACGACTATTCTTTGGTTACATTCTCTGGCTGTGGGGCGTTTCTCTGGAGTACTGTCCCAACATTCTGTCATCAGCTCGCACCAGAAGGATGGAGGCTCCTTGCAGCCCTGCCTGTCAACTGGACGGCTACCTCTATCGATCCAATCAAACAAAGCTTGCAGTGTTGTCCCTGGAGCGTCAGCAAAGGCCCGCTGTCCGTACCACATCTCCCACATTATCAGCCCCAGGCTGTAGATGTCTGCCTTGCTGTCGTACACTTGGGAATGGAACACTTCCGGTGCCATATAAACAGGTGTTCCCGTATAGGTACCGGTGATGTCTATTTCTGCTTTAGCCAGGCCCACGTCAGCAATCTTCACTGTGTTTTCGTCAGTCAGCTTTAATGGGACAAGGAATATAAACTTTTAGAAGAGCGCAGTAACTATACGTGTTTTTTTATTTCTCTCAGACGCAGTTTACACGCGTCCGGACAAAATTTTTAACGGACGAATTTTCACCTGTGCAACCCGTTAACACGGAACCGTGCAAATTCTGCGTTGCAGATTGCAGTACGGTTTGCTCTTCAGAACTGAACTGCACGGTTCCGCGGGTCTCATTTAAACGAAAGGCGGATCCGTGAAAGTTACAGTCCGTTCAAAAATTTGTCTGGACTCGCGTAAACAGGTTCTCAGTAACAATAATGGTGAACCGACAGCACTGACTTTTCACGGCAGCAGGCCGCTCATTAAAATCGCGACGTGAAGTACTTACAAATTATGACTGACAGCAGTATAATTTTGGGTTCACTCCTGAAATCAGGCTTTATTTTACAAGTTAGAAATGATTGAAATTCACTCGAGCAAGAGAGAGAGTCCATAATTTGTAGGTGGAGCATGATCGTCCGAGTGAACGTAGTCCTGAATAGGACTGTTGTTGTTGACAGTGACTGACGTTTCGACAACCTGTGCGGTAGTCATCTTCAGGGTCAAAGTGAGTTGTATCACGTCAATTGATGGTATTAAATTCTGGGTATTGACCTGATTGGTCAATTAATTCGAGATGTTATTGGTCGTCTGTCAGTTAAGCTGTGATATTATTGGCTATGAAGACTCGTAATGTCATTGGTGCGTTTCGATCCGTTTTCTGTCACAAAGTTAAAAATCGTTCATTGTTAGTCAATTGTCGATTGTCCAGTCATTTTCTAGTGGTCAGTTTTGCTTGAGTCCGTCAATAAGTCGTTTGAAAGGTGCCGGTAACTGTTGACTTGTAGGAGCTAGTAGTTCTGATCCTGCCTTAGAGAGGCAATATCCGGAATTACCAAAATTCGGCCTGCTCTCAAGTAAGTCGAGTCTAAATCAAATACTTTCAATATCTTAATGGCACTGAAATATTCTTTAAAATTTGCATTGTAAGTAAGAGTGCACTTAAACTTGAAGTATTCTTTGTTCATAGGCGAAGCAATCTATGCATTTCGTTTCAAGATTCCTACCACACTGGGTGCCCTGAGAGGTCCGATAGGCATAATGTATAGCACTGACTAAGGGTCCTCTATTTCCACTCGGTTTGCGAGTGCCAAAAAACTTCAGTCTACAATACAATCTTGAAAAAATGCATGCATTCTTATACGATTAGTACCAAAATGTTTTCCAACTTGAGGTCCCTGTGTACAACTCCCATCTCATGCATGAAAGCCAAACCATCGGTGATCTCTTTTGCACAACGGCAAACGTCTCTGAAGGCAGTAGGGTTTTCAGATTTGCCAGGAACTGACTCTGGGCCTCTGAAGATGTGGCTCTTTAAGTTTCCTTTACACTTTTCCATGACCAAAGCCGTTTGCGAAGTTTCTTCGTCAAGTAATATGCCATAAAACTTTACAATGTGAGGGTGGTTTAGCACTCTAATTAACAGAAAAGACGAAGATAAATTATTAATAATTAATTAATTAATTAATTAACTATTATTATTATTTTATTATTAATAATTATTATTATTATTATTAGCACGTCTTTGGCCTTTAATTATATCGATTTTCCACTGTATTTTATCATTGACGTCAATCATAACTGATGGAATATCAGCAACAATTATCCACGACTGACGTCACGTAAGACAGTGGCGTGGCAGCCCAGCTGTTTCGTCAAAAATGCGGAACTCAAGTATATGAAGAGAGAGGTTACCGACAGCTGCTATAGATGAATTGAAAAAAGAGCCGAATTACTTAAGTGGCGCTCCAACTGGTAGCAAAACTACACAAAAGTATGTAACACTCGTAGGATAGAGTTCAACTGTTTTCGCTGAAAATGTGCAAGGAAACTGACCATATTATGATACTGCCAAGGAACAGTACTGTACTAACACAAATGTGTAGAAAAAAGGTCTATATGTAGAGGTATAATGCATCAGTCAATTCTACCTGCGCCCAGCCCTCCCCCGCCCCCCGGGGCTGACCCCCAGGCATTAGCATTTTTTTTTTGCCTTGGATGGCAACTTCCCTGGGGTGGGGACTCTTGACCTGTCAAATGTGCGATTTTTTTGTTTCAATTAATGTCTTCCTTTGTAATAGCGCTAGGATTCTAATTAAGACACGCCGCGACGACAAGCACCGGTTTATGGTTTTAGTATTGATATAAAATTATTCACATTAAAATTAATAGAGCGCTGTAAAGTTATATGTTATGAATAGTTTTATAAATATGAAAGGATGTTCTTCAAATAACATCAACAGAAATTTGATTCAATAACAAAAAAACGTTGATTCACATCGATAGCTCCAATTTCGCTACGTAATTCTGCCTCGATAAGCAATGAAGAAATGCATGCACAAAATCGAGAACATAGCTTTACAACCCTCTTCAATTTATTCCCGTCCTTGACAGATGAGCCAATCCGCTTTTTTTCCAGCAAAACCTTCTGTGTAGTTATATTCTGATAGGAAACCGCGTGCATGTCAAAAGCTCGGGAATGGCCCCGGGGTTGGCAAATGCCCGGCCCCCGGGCAGTGCAACATTTGCAAATGCCCCACCCCCGGTACTGACAAGGCAGACAAATGCCCCGCAGTAGCCCGGGGGGAGGGAAGGGCTGGGGCTGGGCGCAGGCGGAATTGACTGATGCATAGCTGTTTCGGACTAGTGAGTGTACAATCATTACCTCAAATTTGTTATCTCCTCCATGATGTCTTTTGCATTTGCGGCATCTCGCGCCTCATTCCACACTTTTAAGGCCACATTTTTTACCTCTCCATCTCTTTTCATCGTTCCCTGGTAAACGGCACTAGATGCACCACGGCCAAGGCAGGAAGACCCTTCTTCTTTCCACTCCAATTCCTCGCGATCGATTTTTACAGCACAAACTTCGCTTAAGCCAAATTTTGCCAGTTGATCCCTGTGCTGTGTTACCTCATCGAACACAGGCTTATAGCAAGCCGGTCGTTTACTGAGTTGCTTATAAAGTCGCCTGTCCGCCTCGATCAGCTCTTGTAGGCGAGCTTCAATTCTATCAAGATAGAGCTTAGCATCCTTTAATTTGCCTTCCACAAACGGTTTAAGCTTCTTTTTGATTCTTTCAGTGAAGATGCCTTTAGACACCTCTTCTAATAAATCTGTGTACAAGAGTTTTACGTCTGAAGCCTGAATATCACTTTTCATGCTTTCATCGATCGGTGCCTCCATCCATAGGCGAATAATCCGGCGTACGACGCCAAGAGTAAGATTCTTTATGTTCCAAATGGCTTTCTGCCAAAATGAAACTTTAATTCTAAAAGGTACCTTGTTTGGATTGCTGGAGTGATCATCTGCGGCTTCCCTTTGAACATTCTGTAATTTGAATGCGACATTATTAACGTGATTTTGAAACTGCTCCATGAGGAAAATACTAGTGTTTGAAAACACTTTGTTTTCCTCTTCCCACTGATCTACAATTACTAGAAAACGTCTGGAAAAAGCGGCGTTTACATGCTCTTCAACTTCCTTCCAGGGCGCATCCTTATCTGGAGCGTGTTCATTGAACCATTCTGTAAAGCATTTCTTTATGTCATCTGACAAGAGATGGTGTGAGAGTTGATGCACAACAATGTCAACTTGTTCTTCGAAAAGTTTGTGGAGGTCTTTCATGACTTTACATTGATCCTTTTCAATTGCGACTAAGCCGTTCAAAGTTTTGGCCAGTCTCTCCTCGATTTTTTTGGGGCTCTTGAAAGCGTTTTTCACAAACACTTTTGCTTGAATGAAAATCCTTGAAAGAAGTTTGTAGAGCCATCTAAAAACAAATAAATATTTCAATTCGTAATCCAGTCTTCTGTTGATATTAGACATAGGCGTACGGGAAATTTTTTGCCAGGGGGGGGGCGGTAAACCATTTGCCCAAAAACATCTCTCAAGTTGCCCAAATTTTTACAAAAGAGTCGAAGAGAAATGAGGGCCATATTGCGACAACATAGGCCGTCCTGGCATATGAAGGTGGCTCGATACAGTTTTTCAGGGTCAATACCAAGTCTGAGCATAAACTACGTCGCCATAAACAAACATTTGGAAAAATTGCTACCACAGTTGTGTTAAGATGAAACTTTGTCGTTGACATGGAAGTTGTCATAGCAATGAAATGACCCCATTACCTATTTTACTTCAGCAATGATTCTCGGATTCTCGGTAACCTTAGAAAATCGTTCACAGGAGCTTTTTTCTCCAATACGGTCGCCTCGATGTTCGTGAAGTTTAAGCAAAACCTTAAGAGCGTTATCGAGATATTTTGGAATGAAGTTTTTATTATTAGAAATACGGTAAGAAAAGGAAAATCTTGATTTTTGGCCGTTATCTGTAGAAAAAGAAGCGCTTTTGACCTGCAATTTCACCTCATAGTAGTTTTAATCTTTTTAAAAACGTGTGAAAGATCGTGGAGATAGCTCTGCTTGATTGCTAGAATCGAAAGAAGGATTTGATTAGTATGTATCGAGACACTCTTGTTAGCGGTTTTGTAAACATTTCGGTCTACTTTAACAAATTAGCGAATAATTTTAAACCGCTCGATAGAGTTTTTAAAAGAATTAAGATTCTTCTCGTAATTCAAACTGGGAATTAGTCAGCCATTTCTTCATTTTCATACCCATTGTAGCCTGCGTAGCAAGCGTTTCCAGTCGAACTCGCGCGGAAACGCTTGCTATGCAGGCTATACCCATTGCTAAATGCTATCTACCATACACTGTTCTTCGAGTAGAGATGATTCTAGGAAGTTATGCGAAAGTTTATTTTAATCAATTCACGACTGGAAATAGCCCATTCCAGCTAGTGTAGTGCAGTATAGTGCCCAACAAAAAAAAAACTGCAAATATGTAAATTACTCATCACATGCTAGGCAACCAATGTAATGTAACTGGATTATTACGCCGACTTCAGGTTAATATTCAGGTCTTTAAAATAATAAATAAACATGGAGACGTCTTTAAAAACTGGCTTTGCGCAAATTTTCTCTCGCTGCCCAAGAAATCTGAGTTGCCCAAAATTTGGGGGGGCTCAGTAGCCCCCCTCGTCCCCCCGGCCCGTACGCCTATGATATTAGAGAGACTTAGAGTCATGTTAACGGCAAACGTGAATTTGTGCTACGTGACCCTTTTCTTGTCTTCAAGAATGACCTTAAAGTTGTTCTTTACTTACACCAAAAATAACTAGTTTCACGTTATTTTCGTCCATGATAATTGTTTTAGACTGTTTTTATCCGCTCATTTTCTATTTTGAGAATTTCCCAACTTGAGTCTGCCGTTTGCCGTTAACCGTAAAACGTTTGTTTCATTTTGTTTGCAACCTCTTTCCCATGGATTTACCCATATTAAGAGCGAAGGGACGAGGTGACTTTGTGTGATGGGTATTCTAGATAGACTGGTTCTGGCTATTCTCTTAATACATTACTATTGCACTGGGGAGGAGCGTTGCGTGACTAGAAAAAAACTTATCGCTGGGCGACTACTCTTACTCGCCAATGAAATATATTAACACCAGTCTATAAGTTTCACAGTGGCGATCGACAAAATTAAAACATTCACAATAACGCTTACTCCCAATGAAGTTCCAGCTTTGCTTCGATACTCTGCAAGACCAATGACCTCAATCCCTCCATTAAAGAGGAAAAGTCTTCCGAGATAACACCAAGGCTTTGAGCATAACTAGCTCGCGTGGTTGACATGTAAATGATCTGTGAATCGGGATCAACACCAGGCCAGTCCCTTTGGAGTTTCTCTATAACTTCTTTTTTAACGATTGGCACATCTTTCGGAGGGACGGTGTCCCATTTGTTGCACACAAACAAAGCACACTTGGATAACAGATGTTTCCGTATAGCAAGCGATAATCCACAATCTTCTGACACATCAATTAAGAAGTCCCTTGCGCTTTGGAGCAGTTTTACAAGCTGCGAGAAAAAATTAACTTTAAAAACACTGGCACGATAACTTAAGTTCTCATTGTTAACAATTATTCCTCGAGCCCGAATGGCTCCGAGTCAATAGCCCATGAGGCCCAAGGCCGAATGGGCTATTGACTCAGAGGCCGTGAGGGCGAGAGGAATAATTTTTTTAGCAAAATCCAACTAGTTGGTCAACAATATCGAGAATAAAAAACTTTTAGCTAGTTAAAGCTAGACTTTAATCCTTTTTTGCCGCCAAAAAGCCCGCACTATTCGCTGCTAGTGGGCTATAACATATAGCCTAGTAGTAGCTAAACCAATCAGAATGCAGCATTGATAATAGACCACTAGTTGGACTTTACTAATTATGGTTATGAAGCAAACGGTGACAACAAGAGGGCAAGAGTCACGATTTGGGGCACGAAAATTTGTCCTGAGTGGGCTTCGTTAAAATGGGCGAAGAAGTTCAAAGGAAAATTGGAATTACACTGTAAATGGAGGCCAATCTGGGCGTGGTCCATGCTTGACGCGGCCCCTAAAAAATGCCTTTCTAAAACAGACAAGCAAATGGAAGCTATTCCGAGTTACTATATAGTGTTTCTTTCTTTATTTTTTGAAGTACAACCCTCGGAAAAAATATTGATGCAAAACCTTGGCCGTTCACGTTTTCTTATTTAGCCATCACCCACCCAATAAGTGAATTTATTGACTTCTTTTATGGAAATGTGGTACCGACTGAGTTTGCTTATGTAGAGAAATCTAAATGTGTATCGTTGAATCCCAAAACGACTGTATGTTTCTTTACTACCATCCAAAATTGGATTTTAAACCAAAAAGGCTACCCCCTCCCCCCCCGAATGGATTAATTAGATCAAGTCTAAGTCCAATTTTCTTTAAAGCTTCATAATCCACGTGTTCCTTAGGATTCCTTAGGAATCGGCCGTCAGTTCTTTTCACCAGAATAATTACCCCGTAAATACTCTCAGCTTCCGTGTAAACCGAGCGAACACACACTAATCTAAACACTCACTCTGTCCTTTTGAACTCCACCAGCATTTGAACTGTTAGCGACATATATAAACGCAAAGGCTTCAGGCAGATACTGAATCACCATTTCATCCATTTCGTCTCCAACACCAGGGCTGTCAACGATCACTATTCCTTTCTATAATTCAGTAACAAAAGTTATCATAGAATTCCTCTATTTATCGACGCTGACATATTACCAGTGTCATTTATGTATTATAAAACTGTGGCTAGTCTAATGCACGATATTAACAGCAACAATTTGCCAACAAATCTCTTCAATCAGTTTATTTGAAAAAACCTCAACAATTCATTCATACCATACAAGATCATCTACTTCAGGTAACGTTCACGTTAAAAGCTTAAAGCTGGAAATACACAAAAACTCCTTGTCTCGTTTTGGTGTAAAACTTTGGAATGAGATACCTTATCATATTAGAGATCTTTCTGAAAAGAAATTTTCGAAAGTGCTTCACAGATTGCTTTCCGACATCTTAAAAAGAGAAGATGACTATATTGAGACGTCATTAATAGTTGAAAAATTTAAACTTCGATTGACAGTTAAGTGATTTCTGTACCAAAGTATTTCTTTTTATCGCACTCCGTCAATTCCTTTTTCGTCTTCCTTAGTAGATTTAATGTAATCAAAATAAAACTATGATAGAAATATTATTTATTGTAACTTAAAATACTTTCCTTCCTTTCCTTTCCTTTCACTTTATTTTTCTTTTAACTGGTCCGCCTAGATTAGCAATTGCTATTTTGCGGGCCAGTCTATTATAATCAATATTTTTATTAAATAAAGTTAAAGTTAAAGTTGGTATTAAGTAAAGACATATCATTTCCCGGATACGAGGGTATGGAACATCCTAGACCAGTTTATTTTAAAATTCTCTCTTGAGCACGAGGGGAAACGCAAATAGGACCTAGTGGGGCAAAAGCACTTGTGGACAAGAAATCGCATTCAATCTCTCCGCATTCGAAACCACTAAAAATATGGCTGCGCTGCAAGTCTGCTTGGTAAGTCTGCTTTTTTACAACGTGCTCAGAATTCAGAGCATTCCATTCCAAAAAAATCCATAAATTCCTTCAAAGTGAAAATTTTGACAGATTCTTAGCAATTGTAGAAATTTCTAAGAAGTCCTCATGAAGCTATCAACTGCCTTGATTGAGTTTTAGCAGTAATAAGTGTGGTGTAATAGGACAGTACGTGCCATCGCGCGCACACTTTATCTTTTGAGATAGATTGTTGTTATTGTTGTTCTTTTTCACTTCTGGTAAAATACTCTCGGGGTACGTATCCTCCAATTCGGTCTGCAATCGTATTCGCAATGAAACAAATCGGACGATCGCGTAGATATTGTTAATCACTCGAGTGATTACAGACAGAATTGGACTCCACCCAATCCTATTACCATTATTTCTTACCTGTAAAAGATCGTGAGGCCAGAAAAGTTCAACCTTTTTAAACGATGAACCTTTCTTGTGAACATAAGTCGAGATCTGCTCAAGATAACTACTTTGTTCATAAGATTCGTAAAGTGGGATGTTTTTAGTCGGCTCTCCTGTTTCAGGATCTTTGTCTTTATAGTGCACCACAATTTCACGTTGCTTTCCATACTTCAGTTCACATATGGTGGACGTTGTGACGGTAGTACAACACGGTAGAATCTCCTCTCCAAGAATAAGATTGATCAAACTGCTTTTTCCAGAGGATGTTTCACCTGCAAAAACACCAAAACGACCAGTCAGCCAGTGCGGTACCCAGTAAATTGGATGGCGTTTTATGCCACCCAAAACGGAACTATCCTATTGGAAGCATTTGCCAGAACGGCCGCCTCCCGGCCTTACCGTATTTATTCGATTTAACGCCGCCCTCGATCAAACGCCGCTGATGGAAGTAAAATTACCAATAAACGCCGTCCTCGAATAAACCGCCCACCTAATGAGAATAAGAAAAACCTCGGGACAACTTGTAGCCTGTGTACAGACGTCCCCCTTCTCCCGATATTTTCCGAGGGAGGGGGGTGGGGGGGGGGGCGTCTGTACACAGGCTATACAACTTGGTAATTTACACCATCCAGACATTTACGATTTCTATCTCAGCGAAATAAGAGAGACATTGGAACCTTTAAATTACATAATATTTACAAACGATTTACCGCCCTTGATTAAACGCCATTCTTGAATAAACGCCGCATTGAAAACGCTAAAAATTTGATAAACGTCTAGGCGTTCAATCGAATAAATACGGTATATCCTCCCTTGGAAGGAGCGTTGAGTGACGAGACAATAACGGCTGTGAGAGAGATCACCCCTCCCCATTGTACCAGATGTTCTCAGCAGTACAAGTCCCCATCATTAGCAAGCAGGCGTCTCACTGTCTTAACATACTAGAAGCAGCTAGGCGTTGTAGACTTTCAAACATTTAACTGGGAGAATGCAATATTTTTTAACCTTGATTTTATTTGACATGAAACAACAGATCAGAGTTAAAATTTCAGTCGTTCTCAGTCGTATTGACACTCATCTAGCGTAATAGTTCCGAAACTGAAAATAATTAGACCATCCTCGATACGCTTAACTTCGCAAGCAGCAGCCATACGGTCGGTCGCATATTTTGGGGATACTTACTTTCAGGGTTCGTTATTTTAGGGCTTTGGTAGACTGCAAAACAGTCGGTTTTTTTCTCAAAATCAGTAAAGAAATCGGTAAAGCGTGGGGTAAGACTCTTACGCGCGCGAAGCTCGCGAGCCTCACACGCCCGTAGGGCGTGTGAGGCGAGAGAAAAAAAACCGACTGTCCGTTTTCCATACAATGTGTTCGTTCCGACCAGGGGGTTCAAAAATGTCGTCGAGCTGTCAAAAATCTGTTCGCAACTCCACCCTCTTTGTGAATTTGATAGACTCGCGTGTTATTATTGACGCTGTAATCCAGTAATCATAGTAAAGCAGTTTTTAGCGTTGCTTCCCTGTGAAATGTAGTGTATATAGCGAAATGTAGTATATATAGTGGAGGATCAAAAATGAGTGAAAGTGGCAGTACGACAACAAAGCCTGTGCCTGCTCCTCGAAGAGGGAGAAAGCCGAAAGAGCCGAGGGCTTTGGACAAATCGTAGAATGCGCGGCTGTTGTTTCAAAACAAAGTTCGGCAATTTTACGAATGGATGGATAAGCTCGGAAAATGCGTTTGTTGCGCCTACCAGAAAAAGGGAAACGTTACCAAAGTGGGCCGACCTACTGAAAAACGAACTTTTCGTTGTCCTCGAGGAAGGAGAATCTTTCTCCACAAGAGCAGTTTGCTCCCCGTGCGGAACAACGGTTAGAAATTGCCCAGAGGAACTGCACGGCGATGCTTTCGCAAATTAGAGAAGAACTGAACACGCCAACTGACAGTGAACAACTATTGCGCTTGAAAAGAATGAGTAAATCCCCTCATTCCAAACCACGTCGTGGTGATTTAGCTCTGTAAATTACTATCTGTGAGAATTTAAAATCCTGCCAAAAACGCTAACGAGCTGGGCCCAGCGTGACAAAACATTGCAGGAAAAAGTCACATTCACGGACACAAAGAAAATCGCTTAAAATTATTCAAATCCAGGAGGCACTTTGGAGAAATAAAACAACCTAAAACCCTTAATCAGCCGCAATGAAGAGCTTTACATTTCTAAAGGGGCCAAGAAAGAAAACGCTCTTGCGTCAGAGGGCAAATCATGCCTACCAGAGAAAACCAATATGCGTGTCACGACCTCTCAGTATGAATTATATTTAATAAGCGGCCAAAATTCACATTTGCTCAGTCAAAACGTTTTCCTCCAAAGCATAATCTACTCGACAGAGAAAACAATTCATTGGAACAAGCGGCATGTTTGCATGAGGTAAAAGTCGTGTGTTTCCTACCGATCGCTTTTTTAGCCAGGTGAGATAACAGTGACGGTCGGCCGTTGCACGGAACTTGAAGAACTCTTTGCATGAACAAACATTCGATAAATAAGGCTTTTGTCAAATCCTGTTGGTAGAACACAGAAAACATCCTTTCCCCTGAGTAGCAACTCCAAAGCTTCCCTCTGCTCCGATTTTAAAACACATCCCAATTCTTGCGAGCAAATCCAGGCGATCAACATCTGTCATTTTACAGCGAAAGCTTTAGCAATTCATCACGGTATGGAACAACGTGAATGACATGTTGAAAACATTACTTGACAGGTTGGTGACAGCTTGCATCGAAATTTAGCCAATGAGAATTGCCCGTGGCTGGGAGAAGCGGGTAATTCGAACGAATATAACGTATGCAAAACGGACAGTCCGTATTTTTAGCGTCTCTCCCCAGTCTCGCTCTCTGTTTTCAGCCTCATTCCAGACCTTTTATTTGACTGCTCGCGCGTACTTGAATACGCAAAAATACGGACTGTTTTGCAGTCTAGGGCTTTGGTGGTAACTTTTTGCAGCTTTTTGGACAAGATAACCAATATGATGCCAAAACAACTTAATACGTTAGTAGACAATTTATCCCCGTAAACATTTGCGCTATTCAAATGCAGATAACTTACTACTTAACGGGAAAAAATTGGGGGAAAATGTGATTTTTCTCGTAAAACGTGACTGTATTCAAATTACTGTCGATGACAGCACTGTTCTTTTAAATTAACGTTCAGTAATGTGCGGGTGCATCTACTTTTAGTGGCTTGGCTTAATTTACATATTATTTGTGATCTATATTTAGCTTTTGGCTGAGTGCAACTCAGGAAAAATCGTCATCAGATACGAAACTTATAGCTAATAAACAGAACACTGTTTTCGGAGGATGAATCATTTACCAGACACAAGAAGAAAGTACTGCGTCTGCTTCAGCTGCTTTTCGTGCCACTCCAAAATTTCTTTCACATTTTTTGTGTGCCTCTGAAGTAAAGTTAACATCGGCTCGTCCATTTTACTCAGAAGGTCTTGGGCTTTGGCGTAAAAGCTAAGCAAGGCCTGTCTTTTAATGTCATCTTCTTCTTTGGCCTTCGACAAAATGGAAAAAGCCTGAAAAGAGTCAAGAAAGTATTTTCCGGCATTATCAGAGCATTACTAGAGCCATAAAAGTACATTAAAATTTTCAAAAGGAAAGTTGGCACCAGACTGGTGCCAGAATTGGGTGATCTTTTCCGAGAAAACTGTTTCAAAGTACCGGGAAAATTTCAGGTTAGACAACTTCACTGGAATTGAATATGGGGTTATGCCGGTTCATTCGGAATAGCCGAATCACTTCAATTTCGACAGTATTGTATACAACGATGTATCTCAATATGATCAATATGATCACACTGAGTGGACGCGCATAAGATAGCCGAATTCACCTCGCTCTGCTCGCTTTCATTATAAGGAAACTGTTCGGTTATTAGAAAAAATGCCTGGGTGTTGTATATTAAAGCCTTCTTCTCCTTTATTTTTCATTTGAAAAATTCTTTTATATTGGAAAAATGGGACAAAGAAGTGCACATTAACTCAAGGAATCCACTATGTTGGTGATATTATTCCTTCCCATTAACGTTTAATTGTCACGTGCTAGGTGAGATAAAAGCGGAAGACTTTCGGTTTCACAGTGGATAATATAATGTGAATAAGCTTCCGGTGGGAGACCAGTTCTTGTAAGAAAAATAGCATTCTTTTCCACTAAAAAATAAACAAATGGAATGAAATAAAAACTGTTCATAAATTTAACTTCATAAGGCCTAGCATAAACTAAACGCCTTGCGACTCGCATGATGACCCCACAACTCACACGCGAAGTGACATAATGTAAGCTCAGGAGGGAGGGGCTGTCTCTAGGGTAAACATTGGTTCACTGATCACTGCCAGTGTGACGTCACGTCATACATCGGTGATTTTCAAAATGGCGGGCAAATTTCTTTTTCGTTACGTTGCAAAGGATGTCAATTTTCTGAATGTTTGAATTCATCTTTTGCCTTCTTCAATAAGGCAGAGCTTTTGAAAAATAACATGGAAATATTCGCCAGAAGGTTCAGTCGGAAAAAGTTTCAAAAGCATCACATGAGGCAAAGAAAGGTACCGCGAAGTGTCTATAAATTGGCACAGTTTGTATGATCGTTTATCGCTTTCGGGCAACGTGCGAGGTGGTGTGGAAATATCTTGATCTCAGAATAGGAGGATTGGTTTATGATACATTGAGCTTAATGTACGCCGAGTTTCAGCGAGCCAAAGTGCGTAGTTCTTCTCATCAATCCCTTTAAAGTCGATGGAATGAAAAAATGTGGAGACGACATAAATGTAATCTGCTTACATCAAGTCACTACCTGCTGCAACAGGTTGGCAGTAGAGATCAGTGGTAAGTTTTGAAATTTACTCGTTTACTTCTAACAACAGGAGACTTATATGTATGTTTTGTGCATGGATCAACATCAGGAAAACGTAATTTTTGAATGGCAAATAGATAGCGGTCCTGAAATACATGCAGGTTATAAAATTAATGTTCAGGCTCTACAAACGGCTCTCCATATATTAATGCTAGAGGGATAACACTGCTAGGCTAGAATCTATGTGCAATTGCATTGTACAATATTAACTGCAACATTCCATTAAATAATTTTTGATCAGGGGTGCAAGGAATCTCTGTTGTCAAAGTACAAAATATTAAAATCAACAAATCAATACTAATTATTTTTAATTTAAGAACACTATAATTATGATAGTGTTGAAGTTTATATATACAAACAGAAATAGATTTGATACATCTTTTGTGAGGGTTATTGTTTTATGCACTTATTGAAACTAATCTGTGCAACCGTCAATCCCAATTGTTCAGGAAGTACTGTTTCCCCAAATTTTAAAGTGGAAAAATCAATTTCAAGCTTTTTGTAAGAGCCAATTCGGGGGCAGCCAGTGAGGAATAACACGACGTGGTATGAATGGTATACCTTCCTGAATGGCCACCCAAAGACGATGGTTTCCTTCAGTGATATAGGCTCTTCCAGTTGTAAGATCACATGATATTGAAAACCATTTTTCAAAATGAAACGTCTTACTTGTTCAAGATGATTGTGATTATTGCCAGCTTTTGGCATGAGAGATCTGTCAAATTCCCTATATTCCCAAAGATCTTGTGTTTTGACCATTTGAAATTCATGCGAATAATCAAATGCATCAGAAATGTAAGATTTGGTCTGCATTGCATGTTTTTCACTTTCTGTGGGTTCATCAAGTGTCACAAAGGACATATCTGTATCAATTAATGGTTGAAATGCTTTTTTAAAATCATCGTCACTACTGTCACTGTCAATTTCTGTAGTCATGCTTTTAATCAACTCTTTAAATGATTTACACTTTGACTCTTTTTTGCCACCTTTAATGTGTGAAGTTGTTTCTGTTCTTCCGACTTTTTGTTTTTTTGGTGGGCGCCTCTCAGGTGTGGAAGAATGCTTCGGACTACCTCAACCTTTTTTGTGACATTTGCTTGCTATCATGCAGCTCCACTTTATCACAAGAGGGTTATATCTCATACCTTTAGGGTGGGGCTTTTGCTTATTTTTGGTAAGTTTTCCTTGCTTTGCAAATTCCTCCTCCTGTTTCTTCAGTGAGGTTAAAGTGTCAGTAAGTAGAGCATAGAGAACAGAATTTTCAACAAGCCAATGATTTTCAATGGCAATATCCATTAGCTTAGCAAGGTCAGATGATTTGGGTTGAAAATTTTTTGGTGCTTTCACATTTTTTTGTTTCTCTTTTAGGTACAAACTGTAATATCGTTTTGCTTTTTTTTGGCTTTGAGCAACCACTTTGTGTAGATTTTTTGCTCTGGCTATGAGTTCAGCACGTGAAAGAGTACTGAGTTTAGTGTTTGAATCATAGGCTGTTTTAGACTCAAATGATTCAGATGAAGGATTTGTTTTCCAACGAAAGCAAGATCGTAAAATATCTTGACATTTGTGGCATCTGGTTTTTGAATGGACAGGTAGTTTGTAGGTGCAATTTAAGCTCCTAACGCACTTGACAATCTCTCCATCTACATTTGCTCCTTTTTCATCCACAAAGTATAAATTTGTTTCCCTTTTTCTTTCAGCCATATCAACAAGGGCTGGATCATATATACCTGGACAAACCGGTAAGTTTTCAATAGTTTTAAGCATGACACCCAAAGCAGAGTTTAATATGTTTTCTTGAAAAATATTGTGTGGGAGTTCCCCATGGTCAATTTTGTTACCCAAGAATTCTACTGTAAATGGACTAAAATCCTTTGAAGGAAATGTTTTTATTTCAGAGGGAAGAAAAAGGGTTAACTCCTTCCACTTGGTTATTACACCACCTTTTCCAATATTTGGAAGAGAAAAAGTAACCTTCACGGTATTATCTGTAGTGTGCTGAGTAAATGACACTGTCCATGGAAAAATACATGAAAGAATTGTTTGAAAAACTGTATAAACTGGCAGAGGTGATGACTGTACTTCACTGTCATTTCCTGCATCTACTGGTTCTTTTGGAGCAGTTTGTGTCATTATTTCATTCAACACATCTGTAAAAATACCTGCTTTACAGTTTAAAGCATCAGACACAGCAAATTCTCTATCCAAGACCATTTTTTCTGATAGCACAGTGGCTTGTCCTTTAGTTGGATTAATAGTTGTTTCTTCAAAAAACTCATGCTTGTTGCTGTCATTATCTGTCATTATTGTGGAAATTGAACAACCTTGTTTTTGGTAGAACATGTTTTGAGCTTCTTTGTACTCATGCTCTATTTTAATGGATTTTAAATAGAAAGGCTGACATGACATGCATATGTAGTCTGGAAAAGTTCCATCACAAGGATCTACACTATACAAGTCATTATGTAAATCAGTCTTATTGCCAGTTCTTTCATCCAAAAATTGCATCCCACTGAAAACATATTTTTAAAACTATTTATGTGGTGTTTCTTGCAGGGAACATCACTACTCAGGCAAACCTTGTTGCCACATTGTGAACAAGGCACTATACATGGTGTAACTTTCAGGATGCCCAGCTGGGCATCGCTGCGTGATCTAGTGGAGCTTTTCCCCTTAGGAGGCTTATGCCCTCTTGCTGATAAACTGCCGTAATGTTTATCACATACCCTAAGATCTTTGAGATTTTCAGGTGTAACATCATCAGGGGCACATTTCAGTTCATACCGCCCAACCATACTATCAAATTTTCTTGATCCTGCCTCATTCTCACATCCCTTCAGACAGCATTGTACACCTCCCATCAATCGCCCATGCATAAAAACTGTTCCTCTTATTTCTTCCAAAAGTAAAAAATCAAATAAAGGCTTTCCACAGCTTGACAACCAGTACAAATCACTCGTTATTCTGAATTTAGTATTTATTTGAGATCTTAGATCTTTTATTGTGGCATATGGTGCAAAAGGGGGGGTGTGTGGCTTGCCTGTTATATCAACAATTTGAATTGTTGTCATCAACCTTTTAGATCTTATCAACATGCTAAAAAGGAAACCAGGGTGGTGTAATTTAAGCAGTCTGGGACAGGGATAACTTAAAAGTACACCAAATGAGAGATATAAAATTGGAAAAAGGAGTGGCATTTCTGTACAGGATCTGGAACTGACATCAAAGGTCTCCCCAAATATAATAATAGTCACAACATATAAGCCCACAAAGAATGAAAATGGGAGTGCAGAAATTATCAGCAAAAAAGCAGCAGTTGCCAAGTAAACAGGATATTGAAGTTCACAGTTTAAAGAACAATTTTTTGTAATACCAAGGTTCAGTAAAAAGCCATGAGAAACAAAAAGGCACACGGTCATTAGACAGGAGAAAAAAAGCTGTGATTTTAATCTCCAAAAATATTGTACCAGTGAAACGTTGAATTGGGGCTTTACATGTAACAAAATTTTGTAAACTGGATCAAGCAAAGATGGAAATAATTTCAAGGTAATAACAGCAGGGAATAGAAGCATTTCTAACAAACAATTTAAAGTTGATCTATGCTTAATCATTTGCCTTAAAGAAACCATGCACAATACTTTCCTGTAAAACAAAAACGTCAGTGTAAAAAGAATGGTGGTTAAGGCTAAAAGGGAAACAAGGAAGTTTGAGAGGTTGAAGTTTTGAATTACCTTCACTTTGAAGTGGATAATAAAAAAGGACAAAACAGAGGAGACCAACATTTTTACTACATGAAAAGATTTACTTTGTAACTCAAAGGAGTGAGGGATTTGTGTCTCCAAAAAAGATGGGGGCTTTGAAGGGATGCAGAGGGCACATGGAAGGTTTGAAAGGCCTGGGAAAGATATTGCAACTGGACTGCAAAAACAATATGGACATGCACAACAGCCATCACAAGATACACAATCTTATGATTGTGAGGACTAAAAAGCCAAGCAATGTCAAAATATAAATCATACAACAAGAGGCCCATTGTCAAATATATACATAATGAAATATTTTTATTCATCATGATGTTTTCTTCTTCTAAAGTAAATAATTATAGATATATATTATATAAATATGATCTTACTTTATTAATTTTCTCCCTAAGTAATTTTTCCTTTTTAAAATAATATAACTTCTTAAATTAAGCTATGTACTTTTTATTTAAAATATTTTTTTCTGTCTCTTTTATAATATGTCTTTAATATTATTATTATTGTTTTTTTCTCAAGCAATAGTCACACTAAATTAAGTAAAAGAATAATCTTTTTAAAAGGCAAATACAGAAGCCAACAACACTGCTAACAAGCAACAACAACAATGACACAGGCAAGTAAAATACGGGGAAAAAGCCAACAAAAAACTGCAGACAAATGCAAATAGCAAATTTTACCAACAATAACAAAACAGAATAAAACAACCAACAGCAGTTAATTTTCAAAGCAGTAAAGGCCAGCAATTACTTTGATCAAAACAGAGGGGCACCAGATTAACCAGCAAACCTTAGACACAAGCAGTAAACAAACAAGCAAACTTAACACACAATGACAGCGTTAAAGTCTGCAAAATTTACCCCAGACAGTCAAGAAGCCAAGAAACCACACGCGATTCAACACAGTATCTTCACATTCAAAAGGATTGATGAGCAAAATGGCCCGTTACATCAACACAAATCAACTATCGTATCAAACTTCTGTTATTAATGAATTAAACCTCCTCTTCTCAGGAGATTTGGTTGGCAATTTAAAGAGAAAACGGCTGACGTTTAGGGTGGATTTATCTAGTTCCGAGTTCAAAATGGCGCCCACGTCACTGACCCGAAGTGCATTGGAGTAGTATTTAACACAAACGTGCGGACAAAACAAACACAGCTTTTACACACAAACAATATAAGCAACAAAGCTTGCACACTTACGACAAATTGTTTTACCAACGCTGAACAAAAGCCTGTATTAGCCCTTTCTTTTTTTAACTTCGATGGCTTCTCCACGCTAAACTGATCAAGCGACCCGAAGCTCTGAGTCGTTGCTATGTGACGTCACACTGTCATGATGACTCGGTCACAGACAAATACCCGAAAACAATAGAGACGCCTCCTCCCTCCTGTGTAAGCTACTGAATACCGGTCAAAACTCGATTGTTCTCTAATACCGTACCTTTCCTACTGACCAGTTGCCTTGGTCGTCTTTTCTGCCTGGTTTAACGCATCTCTTAATCGAGACCTCATCTGGCTCACCGACACCAATCCGTCGTCCGATACATCAAGAATCTTCATCATTTCAAACAGTTGCATGAGAGTCATTTCATCTACGCTTTTCGCTTTGCCAGAGGCCATTTGGCAGAACTTATTGGCCGGTTTTTGCTAGAAGAAAAGCTGTTGAAGTACTATCTATGTCAGCGCTACATTACTCCGTCTGACATATTAAAGTGTAAAGACCATTTCTTCGAAACGTAGCTTTGTTTTCATAATCTAACACCTGCTGCCCCCTCCAAAAAAAAAAAATTGAAAGAAAAGATAACCGCGGAGGACGATGGGAACATTGAAGAGCAATGTGATGCGCGGAAGCATCATGTGAAGAAAAAATGCTCGCCAACTTATGCCAATAATTAGGCTAGTTTTTGTAAATTACCGTAAAATCCCGAAAATATAAGCCCCCCCATGTACAAGCCCCTCCACATATAACCCCCCCTCCAAACTCGTAACGCAAAAACCTTCCGTTCAATCGCCCCTCCAAATATAAGCCCCCGGGGGCTTGTACTTGAAAATCGCCCTCAAATTCACAACAAAACAAAGCAAAAACTGTACCGTAACACATAAATTTTTACGTATGCCAAATGATTGCAGCCCAAAAGTATCACAGTATAGTGATCTATTTTGAATGGCGTGACGCTGAAAACCAACAATTATTACGTATGCCAAATGATTGCAGCCCAAAAGTGTCACAGTATATTGCTGTTTGCATTCACTCTTAACTCTTGGCTTGGATTTCCTTGTTTCTTATAGACAAAGTACTTGCGTGGCTGAGTTTTAGTAAGTTCTTCGTCCGCAAGGTGAGTTTCAGCAAAAACCTTCTTCAAATTACTGACCTAAATTTCGTTCCAAATAAAAGCTAGCCTATAGGAACTTTACTATAGTGCATAATTCATCAAAGTTATACTGGCAATTATCATTGTATGCACTCGCTGTCGAAGACGCCATCTTGGGTGACCAAGCAAGTTTGATGCGCACGCAGCAGTCCTTGGTCACTTCCTATGGGACCCAGGTCCTATCAGTGTATTAATAAGCAGACAAAAATTTGATTTTGTTACTTAAATTTACCTGCTAACACTGATACTGGGCCATAAAAATAGGTTGCATGATCAATTTTGTGCTGCAAAACTAGCCACAAGTGAAAAATTATGCTATCTGTGATTTTCTCAGAAATCAGATTATGCTCGTAGCGATGAATTATGCCAAACTGAAATTATGCTAGCAAAATCTATCAAAGCCTAACTGTATGACAGTGGGTGGGACTATGGGGCTTAGTTGCTATAAAATAATTGTCTCTAGGGGTTCAAACAAAAGCAACGCCCACATTATGAATCACATTTAGGATTTTGATTCTAATTTACTGACGAGCGAATACAAGTTAAGCCGATCTAAATCGTCTTGGACAATCTCCCGGACTCAGACTGGAGCTGTTCATGCAACTGGTTCTATCGCTGCTCCAGTGTCTTCACCCTTTCACTGCCAAACGTAGTTAAAGGCAAATTTCGACCAGATTTCCAAATTTCATTTTCTAACATTTTGAAAAACAAAAAGTACCATGTGTAAGTACAGGCAGGGAACTTTCATTTGAATGGTCACATCACAGGATTTCGTCCACAAACGCAAAAGTTACAGTCACCTTTCAAAACTCCATCAACCACTCTGGCAGTCGAAAGGGTTAAACAGCCAACAATTATTTCAGAAACCGGACATCTACAACATAACAAACCACATCTGCAACAACCAAAGTTCCCATTCAAATTAAAAAAAGTTGATTGAATGCCTCGCTACTTCCTACAATCTCTGACCCCCTTAAAGTACTGAAAAAATTATTAATATAGAGCTGGTTTGAATGGGAACAAGACTGCGCTAAAGGTAAGAATAAAAAAGCATAAATTTACAATTCGTCATTTTTTAACTCATCCTACTTTTTACTAATCTACTCAGTTTTTACTTAAAACAGTGATTCATTAATTGATCTTTAAGACCCTTTAATTTGACCCACGGTCAAATTAAAGAACAATTAAAAGACAAAACAAAACTTGCATCTGCAAAAACTTAATATACAGGCTACTAACTTCACTCATGTCCGTATTTCACAGAGATCCTCTGTAACTACCTTCTGGGAACCATCTCCTAAGACTATGTCATAAACGCTCTTGTTTACAGATAAAAATAGTTAACGCCTTTCACTTCAAGAACATGTAATGGCGAAATTACTTGTCACTCTATAACTAACTTTTAAATTTACGGACGGCAACCTCTTGAGTTACTATACAAACTAAAACGTTTTGGGTAGAAGTTTTGCACAAAATTCAATTCAGCTTCCTCAAAATTATTTTTTGGCTTGTTTGTTATTTGTATTAATATTGATTTTGGAAATTTTTTGAACTTACAATTTGTAAATTCTCAAAGATCTCAAAACGTTCAACATAAACCTACTTATAGGCTCCACTGATTCCTTCGAAAAGTCGTATTAATATTACAAAATAACAAAATAACAAACAGGTTAGACAACTTAACTGGAGTTTGAGGTTCTTACAGGTTCACTCTACGATTAGTCGAATCACTTCATTTTCAACAGTGTTGTCATATTTCAGTTCAATATGATCACCGCTCTCAGTTTACGAGAACTGGGTGACGCGCAGAAGATAGCCGAGTTCAAATCGCCCTGCATTGCCCGCTTTGTAAGAAAACTGTCTGGTTATTAGATGAAATGGCTGGGTGTTGAATAGTTCGCCTTCTTTTCCTTTACTTTGCACTTTAAAAGTTTTTTATATGGGAAAAAATCGGACGAACCGAAGGGCACATTAACTTGAAGAATCGGGCATGTTCGCGATCTTGTTCCACACTGCCATTAATGTTTTGTCACGTGACCTGTGAGGTGAAAACGCTGTAGAGCGGAAGACTTTCAGTTTCACATTTAATAGATAATGTGAATAAGCTTCCGGAAGGGGGCACATTTCTTACAAGAAAAATATTGAGAGGATTCTTTTCCATATGAAAAAGTGCATCCTAGACAAGAATTGGACTGTTTCTTAAACAAAGCTGGAAGACTCTCGATGAGTGTACATCAGTACAATTTGTACCACAAATGTTTCGTGAATCGTGCCTTATCAGACAGTACAAAAATGCAGAGCTTCTCTGCTCATGATCAGGGAAGAGAAAAGGTGCCGGGTGCATCTTTGATCATTACATGAAATAAATCAAAATAAAAACTGTAATTTACAGCCAGTCTAGTCCTTATGTCTAGCAGTAACCCGAAACAGTTTGACGTCGCATAGCTTCATAGCGACCACGGAATGTCGCTCCTCTTGAAAGACACTGATGAACCGGCAAAACTTGTTACGGTTCTGAAACCTTCACTTACACTGAAATACCGTACCTTTCCTGGTGACCAGTCCGATGTCTTTTCGCCTTCGTATAAGGCGGATCTTATTCGAGACCTCGCGTCGCTTAGGTTCTCCACCCCTTCGTCTGATACACCAAGAACCTCCATCACTTTAGTCAGTTCCGTCATTTTCATTTCTTCGATGTTTTTTGCTTTACCAGTGGCCATTTTGCATAACCTTCGGGCCGGCGTTGAGTACACGTAAAGTTATTAATAAAAGAACTTTGTCAGCACGCTACACTGCTGGATTAGTATGTCTCGATAAAGTGCAGACGACGATCGAATAGTATCCCATGATACACCTCGATTCATGTTATATTTTCACTGCATACGTGACACATCATATCAGTAATCTGCAGCACGCGCGAAGTGAATATCGATCGCAGTGCTCGATGTGGATGGTTTCCAAACATGTTTCGGTTCAGCAGCTTCTGCTTTTGAGATTATCGAGTTGGCTTATATTCACTGTCCTTTAAAGGAGAATTTCAGCGTTACTTTGATCAAGAAGGGTTTTACATCAAGAGACTATAAAGGGGACAGAGAAGGCATCCCCCATATACACCCTATTCCATAGGTAATTCGTCTCGAGTTATTTTTAACTCCACAGATCTCAAGGGGGATTAGACAACAGCCAATCACATAGCGCGAATGTGCTCCGCGTGGATGACCCACGCTGAGAGCCACGCGTCCTTCACGAAATAACGCAGAACAAAATGGGGGAAGACGCAGAGAGCGATTTTGCTATTCCTTTTGTCGACGAAAACGACTACAGCGAGATTTCTGCGAAAGCTGTGTCAGCGAAACCGAAATTAAAAAAGAATCGCCCTTCCTCTCTTGTATAGAGCCAACGGTAGAGCAGGGAAATCCTTAACACTCTGAATATTCTCTCAGGATCATTTATAATTTACAGTTTGAAGAGAGCAATTTCTGGTTTGATGTTTATTTTTTTCAGTCTTTATAGCGATTATTCCTACCCACTTAATTTGTCAATTGTAGGCGAACCCTCCTAAAGCTGAATTTCAAGGGACCATATTCAAGCTCAGAAAGAGAAATGAAATTTCGTCGTTGCTTATTTACGTCCTCCATAAAACGCGAAATTAGGCATTTTCACGTCGTAGTCGTGCAAAAACGGGAAAGAAATGAACAAAAAAGTGTTTGCACGTGCGAAGTTGTTGCTTTGCTAATTAAATCTATTGTTTTTTTGACGTTCTAGTTGTCGTCCGCGTCGTTGGATCTTAGGGCCTGTTTACATGGAGGTGGGGGATCCCAGGTAGGTGAGGTAACCCGCTTAGGTGGGGTAACCCGCCTGTCCATATAATCTCTCATTTTCATTTGATCACGTTTACATGATAGGTGGGGTGACCCGCCAAGGCGGGTAGCCCGGTCTACCAGACCGGGTTACCCTCTCAGCCGGGGTCACAATTTTTCATGTAAACGTTTCAAGGTGGGGTAACCCGCCTGGCCGGGGTCGGATTCGTGATACATCAAATTCGCGCAAAATTCGCTTTCGCGGTGTCTTTGCATTATGATTAAAGTTAACAATAGAAAGCTATTGCACTGACGGGTTGCAGCAAGAGCAACAAGTGAGTGAAGAAGTGCATTAATCGCCAAAACTCGTGGTTTGCCAGCATTCTTCTTGTTTACGTGCTTAGCGACCATTCAATAATCTTGAGAAAGTGCACCCCGGGAAGGCGGGGTTGTAAGATTGCATGTAAAGGAGGGTTATTTTTTTACCTCACCTAAGCGGGTTATCTCACCTACCTGGGGTCCCCCACCTCCATGTAAACAGGCCCTTAAACTCCCTAAATTGTACAAACGACCGCTTTCAATAGACCGGCGAAATTTCT